CTACACGCATGGAGGGATTTTAATGAAATTTCATAAAAATGTTCACCATTATGAGAAGCCATGTCACGCACATGAACTAGGTCTCTAGGTCAATGGTCAAGGTCACACTTAGAGCTCATTGAAAAACGCTTGTCCGGAGCAAAACTTCCACATGCATAGAGGGATTTCAATATAACTTGGCACAAATGTTCACCATTGTGGGGCGGAGTGTCGCGCACAAAATTCAGGTCCCTGCAGCCAAGGTCAAGGTCACACATAGAGGTCAAAGTTTAGATAAAAATATGAAGATGTGTATAGGGACGATTTAATCATCATTTTATTGAGGGATTGTAACACAAATGGTCATTATCATGACTACGGCTGTGACACATGTACTTTAGGTCAATATATGCAAGGTCAAGGTCACTAAAGATGGTGAAATATCCAGATTTTGTCTGGAGCATATCTCCTACATGTATGGAAGAATTTTTATAATACTTTATGGAAATGTTCACCACCATGATATGTATTGCTCCATGCATGATCCAGGTCTCCAGGTCAAAGGTCAAGGTCACACTTAGAGCTCATTGAAAAACGCTTGTCCGGAGCAAAACTTCTACATTCATAAGGGGGATTTCAATATAACTTGGCACAAATGTTCACCATTGTGAGGCTGAGTGTCGCACGCAAAATTCAGATCCCTGCGACCAAAGTCAAGGTTACACATAGAGGTCAAAGTTCAGATAAAAATTTTAAGATGTGTATAGGGACCATTTAGTCATCATTTATTGATGGATTGTAGCACAAATGGTAACTATCATGACTACAGGTGTGACACATTTAATTTAGGTTAATATTTGCAAGGTCAAGGTCACTGGAGATGATTAAATATCCAGATGTTGTCCGGAGCATATTTTCTACATGCATGGAGGAATTTTAATGTTACTTTATAGAATTGTTCACCACCATGAGACGTAGTGCCCTGCACATGAACCAAGTCTCTAGGTCAAAGGTGAAGGTCACAGTTAGAGCTCATAGAAAAACGCTTGTCTGGAGCAAAACTTCTACATGCATAGAGGGATTTCAATATAATTTGGCACAAATGTTCATCATTGTGAGGCTGAGTGCCGTGCATAAAATTCAGGTCCCTGCGACCAAGGTCAAGGTCACACATCCTGTGCATATCTTCCCTACTGATTTGTTTTAAGGTTCATTTAACAACACAGTGCCAAGAATAAAAACTTGCTTGCTAGATAACACTTATCCATAATGCCCCCATTTCCATCTAAAGCTTTCGTAAACGGGCGTATTTTGTGACTATGGCACCCTTGTTCAATGTTATTGGGAAGAAAAAAGCTCCAGTTCTTTTAAATTTGTGTGTGGGATGGGGAAGGTGTAATTGATATATTAGCTGTTCTTACACCTACTTTTTAGCTCGACTATTCGAAGAAAATGAGAGCTATTGTAGTCGCCCCGGCGTCGGCGTCAGCGTCCGCGTCGGCGTCTGCGTTGGTTAAAGTTTTTTGTAAAGTCAAATATCTCAATTATTACTTGAGATATTCAATTGAAACTTACAATACTTATTTATAGTAACAAGGTACATCAGATTGACAAGTTGGATAACTCTGCCTACAATATTGACAGAATTATGCCCCTTTTTAACTTAGAAATTTTGGTTAAAGTTTTTTGTAAAGACAAATATCTCAATTATTGCTTGATATATTCAATTGAAACTTACAATACCTATTTATAGTAACAAGTTACATCAGATTGACAAGTTGGATAACTCTGCCTACAATATTGACAGAATTATGCCCCTTTTTAACTTAGAAATTTTGGTTTAATTTTTTGTAAATTCAAATATCTTAATTATTGCTCGAGATATTCAATTGAAACTTACAATACTTATTTATAGTAACAAGGTACATCAGATTGACAAGTTGGATAACTCTGCCTACAATATTGACAGAATTATGCCCCTTTGGAACTTAGAAATTTTGGTTAAAGTGTTTTTGTTAAGTCAAATATCTGAATTATTGCTTGAGATATTCAATTGAAATTTAAAATACTTTTTTATTGTAACAATGTACATCAGTTTGCAAAATTGCATAACTCTGCCTGCAATATTTGCAGAATTATTTGCCCCTTTGAAACTTAGAAATTTTGGTTAAAGGTCTTCAAAGATATTTACTTGAAACTTTACACATGCACTTAGGGTCATAATTGGAGGCTGATTCATATCCCCTTTTCTACTTAGTCTCTTGGTTAATGTTTACATGCAAGTTTTACATATCTCAATAACTATTAAAGATATTTATTTAAAACTTCACATATGCATTTAGGGTCATAATTGTAGGTCACTGACAAAGATCAATAATTCTATATTGCATTTAGGCTGATTTTTCTCCCCTTTTTCAACTTAGAAATTCATGGTAAAGTTTTGCTTGTAAGCTGTTATCTCAATAACTACTGAAGGGTTTGTGCCTTTTTTGGGACAATTTTATGCATTCATAATAATAAAGCAGTGATTTACTTGATAAAACATCTTAATAAAAAGCCTTTGTACCTTTACTGTCAAATTTATGTATTCATAGGTAATTAGTATTATTATACTCAATAAAACAACCTTGTGACATTACCTTCCAAATAGTCAAGCCAATACTGTATACTTAGACTCTCTCTAAGGCCTATAACATGAATTTATAAAAAAAAATTAGCCCTTTTGTGAATATAAAAAATTTAACATTATCAAGGCTCTTTTACTATCAAGCACTTAGAATAGTCGAGCTTGCTGTCCTACAGACAGCTCTTGTTTATTAAGTGGTTTGTGTTAAAATTTGTAGTAGTGTAGTAGCGTAAAAAATTGTTGAAGGATCAAAAAAAAAAATTTTTCAGGGGGGGGGGGGCAATATACATGTGGGAAACTATAAGTTACAATCTTTGTAAAAAAGCAAAGACTTGTGCAGGTAGTTATTATAACAGGATGCCATATTTGATTCAGGTAAGTCTTGGTTCAAGCGACACGGTGTTTCTATGGTTACATGAGGCCACACCCGGAACAGATGGTCATATATTTGTTAATCCACTTGATTCAAACACATTCATGGGCCTTGTTTGGTAAAACTTTATTTTAATTACATCTCCATTATACCATATGATAGTAGTTAATAGCCTGCCTTACATGTATGTAATCATGTTAATGTAAGAGAGAAAGCCTGGCTATACCCTGTGTTATAAGTTCATGTTATAGTAAACAATAGAGGTTGAAGCTAGTCCCCTGCTCTATTTGCTTCTTGCCTAGGTTGACTGTATGATTTAAGCTCATTAAATATACTGTTAAATATGTCTTTTAAATGCAAATATGGTCTAAAGAATGTACAATTTTTTAGTGGCTGAACAGAAACTTAGAAATAAGAATATACAATAAATGATACAACTAAGTTTTTGTTCTTTCACCTTGTTGCCCTTCCACTTAAACTGTAGATTGCTTAGACCAGCAACATTATATTATCTATACTGCATAAATAATTTCGGAAGCAAATGTATATATATGTATAATAGTCATGTACTTGGTATTTAGAGATATTTGACAGATATGGGAAAAAAAATTTAAACAAAAAGCACCAATAATATAATTCTTATTAATATCATTTGCTTTGAATTTGGATCTTTCACCTGTTTTAAGCTCACCTTACTATAACATACTCATGGCAACCTTTGGTGATCCCTCTCTGTCTGTTGTTGTGCATCATCAACAATTTCTTCAAACAATATCTCCTCTAAAACCACAAGAATCAGAATATATTTGGTAGTGTTAACTTTCAACATTCACACCAATATCAATATGTCCTATGTGAACAAGTTTTGTGATGTATTTTGACATTGACATCTCTACTGGTTTGGGACAACCAAATCTAGAGGACCATCAAACCTGGGTTGTCTTCTTTGTACGGTGGTTGACAATTAATCAGTCACCTTTTTATTGACAACAGATGCATGCATCTTTTATAATCAATAAATTGAAATTGATTTTTACTTTCTTAAATTTAACAGTTTTATGATAACCACATGTTGTAAACATTGTAAATTCTGATGTAATAAGTGCAATACCTGACTTCTTTCACTAGCTGTAAGCATTTGCAGTGTAAACAGTAGACACTTAAAATTTCAGCATGTGCAGCTGGAATACAGTATATTATCATAAGAATAGAAAAATTGTTACATTCTAGTCATTATCTGGATTAAATTTAAGTTATATACATCTGTCCAGACACATGGTACTGTAGTGAGGACAATTTAGGTAATTTTGATATCCCTTGTAAAGAACTCAAACACAAGTGTCAGCATAACCAGAATAAACAAACAAGCTCTTAATTAAGTTTGGAGAAGACCCCAGCTGCATTATTGTGTAATTTATGAATGGATTGTCTTTATATTTGGACACTGCAATTCTATAGGCAAGACCTTCAAGCAGATTTATTTGATTTTGATATTCACTCTGCAGTGATCTTGACCTTGATAGTCAAACTTTTGAATTTGGCTAGATCTTGTTGCTATGATTTCTAAAATGATAAATGGATTGTCTTCATACAGTTACTTGAGCACAACAATCCTTGGGACAAGACATTATTCAGAGTATTGATTTTAGCTCAGATTATCATTACTTTCTTATTTATATATATATCTTATTTATACATAAACCTACATGTTGAATTTTTCTAATATGATCTTGACCTTTAATTGTTGTTGACTGTCAAGGTCAAATGATTGAAATTTGCCTACATTGACATAACTTTCTTATTTCTTAACAAAAAATTTGGACAAAAGAACCCATGGGACAAAACAGACATGTTGAATTATACAAATATGACCTTGATCATCAGGGCCAAATAATTAAATTTAGCAAAAATTCTCATAACTTTGTTATTTATTTATGTATTTATTTGATTTATATTGAAACAAACGAAATATTTTGACTGAATAAAAAAATGACCTTGACCTATAAATGACATAAGACTGTTAAGGTCATTCATGTCGCCAATGTGGCCTCAGCCAGTAAAATGTTCAAATTATGCCCTTAGTGTCAAAATTGACCAAGCTCTGGGGGTCATTTCTTCACATATTGCATAGATCCAACAAGTCTTTGTGACATTTTCAATTTAACACAATAAGGCCTTGTATAATTTTAGAAGTGTGTTCACTTCCAACTAATCTGGTAAACAGACATTTAAAAAATTAGACAGATAAATCAGTAGTATGTGTCCAAAGACTGTGCTAGTGTTTGTGATAGATGTATGACTTGTTTCATATTTCAGATCAGTATGGGAACAGCTGATGTTATAATGATACTTACAGCAGAGCCCCCTGACACATTTCATTCCTGTGCCAATTATTTATGTGATAATTTTGATGAATATTATGTTGTACTCTATGGGTATTTCTTGCAAATTTTCAATTATACCATATGCATGTATCATTGTAACATGTAGCTGAATTAGATGGTGTGTTGAGGTACTAACAGAAACATTATGTATTATTTACTATTTAATAATGGATATTATATTCATTTTTCCTACTCTACTTGTAATTGTAATTTGAAGTCGGAAGTTCAAATGCCAGGACAATATGAGATTACTAGATCTAATATGAGAAAAACAGGGCTAATGGTCAATACAGGTTTTCCACATACACATATTTCTCATTGTTATATATTCATGTATATGTATGCATGCATGTAATAACTGTATGTTCTTATGATAAAATGTATTTTACTGTTGAAGAGAAAAAGTTTAATATTCTTGGAAAAAAATATAATAATGGCCAGCCAACTGTAATATATTGGCCATTGGGTGGACATCTTCAATTCTGAAGTACAAAAATTCAGTAGAGTAAGGGTTTAAATGAGCCGCGTCAAGACAAAACCAATCACGCAGTCTGATCAGGATCCATGCTGTTCGCTTACCAACCCTATTACAAGTAGAGAAACTGATAGCGAACAGCATGGATCCTGATCAGACTGCGCGGATGCGCAGGCTGGTCTGGATCCATGCTGGTTGCAAACCCACTATGTTGGTTTTGTCGTGATGCGGCTCATATTTATGTAACTAGTTGTGTTATATAGACGACTATATGGCTGTATTACAGATCAGTATGGGTACGGCAGACACCGTTACATATCTTACAGCTGATTCTCCTGCCACATTTCATTACAGTGCAGATCATTTTTGTGACAATTTTGATGAATATTACATGATACTGATTGGGTATATTTTCCTTTCCCCTGTCTCTCTTTGTGCTTATTAAGTCTGCTTATGACATTGTTATAAAAAGGTGCTTTTTATACTAGCTAAAATTATGCTAGTCTTGCTGTTACCAATTCTTTCCCAATTTTTTGCAGCTGTTAGATAAAGTCATATAATGCTCATATTTTTGTCTGTCAAGATCAATTAGTAATGTGCATGTATTTTAAAAGATTGACTTTTATAACCATGAAAAATATTGAGTGATACTAAAAAAAAGGATTGGAGCGCCACACTAAATACCGTATTCCGGTGCATACGGGACAAGATGCTTGTATGATTAAATGCTAAAATTTCGCCTTCTCACCTAACGGAATGAACTTTTAAATGTGTAATTCATCTTTTCACACTGATTTATATATGATAAGGAATCAAAAATGTGATAATTGCAAGAAAAACATATTTGTCTATTTTGTTATCATGATTTCTGCAAGCGTCTAGAGGTACTGCTCCAATCCTGTACTGAGTTAAATCCAAAAATATTTATGATACATTATCAATCAGCCTAAATGATAAAGAGATAGGCCCTCGCTTTTTTTATGAATTGAACGTTACCTATACATTCTGAATTATATTAATAGAAATTTTTGTCCTGATTGGGTCCACCAAATCCGGACAACCATGAAACCTGGACAGCCTCTGAAACTTGAAAAAGTTGTTGTCTTTGTTCTATGGTTGTCAATCTATCAGTTGCTTTTGTATCAACAATAAATGAATTTTTTTCTTGATGTTGAAAATTCTGATGTAAGGAGTGCAATACCTGACCTCTTTCACAAACTGTAATCATTTGAAGAGTAATCAATAAAATGCTTAAAATTTCAAACTAGCTCTGCAGTTTAGAGAATAAACTAGCTGTACTGTTGTCAATTTTCCAGGTATCTACCTTTAAAATTGTGTAATCTGTATGGGGAAAATATTCAAAAAGTGTTTTGTTGATGGTCCGTGACACCAGTAGATCACATGGACTCTTGATTAGTTTTTTATAGTAAAATATAAAATTGAACACAATTATGGCAAAATGTCCAGTCACTTTTTTACCTATTCACTGACCATTTACAGTTTTATGGGCATCTGTGTTACTTTAAGCTTTCTGCTTGCAATTTGTTATGGTTTTTGACACCTAATATTGCTTCGGTTTTGACACCTAATATGACTATCCAACCCCTAGTTTAAAGCCCTTGGTGGCTAAGGGTGGCTACACCATTTATCCTTGTGTTATTGAAAGAGGCTACTTCTGAAGTTTATGCATCTCTTAGCTCCAGCAGGTGAGATGGAGATAGAGTTCAACGATCAGATAGAAAATATGAAAATGTTTCTATGGACAATTTGTGGTTTGGAATTGAGGGATTAAGTCGCAAATGTTAACTATCATGAGACTGGGTATTGTCAGCATAATTATCAATAATTGTGTTAATATTTGGCATGCTAGTATGTTGTATTTTTCAATATAAACAAGCAAATTCGTTGAATTTATATCCCCCACCGAGTACTGGTTATTATTAACACAAGAACTGAAGACATAAGGCTTTATTTCTATATTAATCATGGCATAAACAGTAATATTCTTTGAACTTGATAAATATTCATGGCAAAACTTTATGGGAACCTTCAATACCAAGAGGAGATGCGCATACCGTTGCCTTGTTCAGTATCTGACCGGAACAAGGCGACTATATGCACATCTCCTCTTAGTATCCCATAAAGTTTCATTGAATTCCAGCCAGTAGTTACAGAGAAGTAGCACGGAATGATTATTGCTCTGGTTGTATACTGCCTAAGTTATCAAGGGTCATAACTCTAAGTTAAAATGTCTGACCCGAACAAGGCGACAGCCAAGAGTTGCAGAGTAGTAGCGCAGAAACAATTTTTTCTCTATATGCATACTGCATAACTAATCAAGGGCCATAACTCTGAGTTAAAGTGTCTGACCCGAACAAGGCAACGATATGCGCATCTCCTCTTGGTATTGAAGATTCCCATAAAGTTTCGTTGAATTCAAGCCAGTAGTTGCAGAGAAGTAGCATGGAAACAATTTTTACTCTATATGCATACTGCATAACTAATCAAGGGCCATAACTCTGAGTTAAAGTGTCTGACTGGAACAAGTCGACGATATGCGCATCTCCTCTTGGTATTGAAGGTTCCCATAAAGTTTCGTTGAATTTCAGCCATGAGTTGCAGAGAAGTAGTGCGGTAACGATTTTTACTCTATATGCATACTACATAACTAATCAAGGGCCATAACTCTGAGTTAAAGGGTCTGACCGGAACAAGCTGACGATATGCCCATCTCCTGTTGATATTGATGATTCCCATAAAGTTTAAAGAACTACTCCGGAAACGAAATTCGGAAGGACGGACGAACAACGCCAAAACTATATCCCCCTCCCGATTCCATCGGCGGGGGATAACTACTATAGAGTTATGCCTCTCCATAAGCAAATCTTTGTGAAGTTATTTATTTTTCCTAAAGGTAACTTTTGAAGAATATGATTTATTTTGTTTATATTTGGCATGTAAGTATGTTATATCAAAACTGAGGTTGAGTTAACTTTTTTGTTGCAATCTGCTTACCAAGAGTTATGCACCTTTATAAGCAATGCATGTGTGAAATAATTGGTTAGTTTCTATGGCAAGTTGGGCATATCTTTTGACATATCTGTCTGTGCCAATACCTTTATACAAAGCACAATTAGTCACCAACGTTAAATCCACGATATTGGCAAGTCTTATTACTGTGGCATTTAGTTTCCCCAAGTTGTTTCCCATTTTTGCACTTTAAAAATAGGTATGATTAACCAGTGGACAAGTTGCATTTATTTTAAGTTTTACCTGTACTGAGGTCTTCATGCTATACCCACTTACTATTCTGTATACTGACCATGACCTTTGGATGTAACATATTTGCTCTATACATTTCCTTTTATAGACTTTGAATGTAGCTTTTGTTAACCTAGTTTGGCAAGTATTTTAATTATGTTTAAAATATATTTGACCAACTGTCCGTGACAAATGTTGTAGGCCAATTAGGTTTGATGTAAAAGTGTGAGAGTTTGATTGAAAACATTTTCGTTCTCAGATGTCAGGTCATATGAAGAAATATCTCAAATTAACACTATAGATGCAAACCAACAAATATTTTTTCATTGCCTGGTACCAGTCAGATGTTCAATATATCCATATACTTCTCCTAATTTAACTAAGCAAAGATTTCCTGTTGGGGCTTTGTGTTGCCTCATGATAAAACTCACATTGTTAAACTATGTTCCATTCCTTGAATAATTGTTATCTAGTGAATTATGGGTAATCTGTGAGGTGTCATGAATGTTCAATAGAACATTATAAATGTACATGATTGTCATGTAACAGAAAACAAGTGTAAGAGCTTATGAATATATCAAAGACTTAGTACATGTGCTAAAAAGCCTTTACACTAAGTAAGCTTGTAATTGTTAGAGGTCTAGTCTACCTTCACCTTGAGGTCTAGTCTACCTTCACCTTTGGTCTAGTCTACCTTCACCTTGAGGTCTAGTCTACCTTCACCTTGAGGTCTAGTCTACCTTCACCTTTGGTCTAGTCTACCTTCACCTTGAGGTCTAGTCTACCTTCACCTTGAGGTCTAGTCTACCTTCACCTTGAGGTCTAGTCTACCTTCACCTTGAGGTCTAGTCTACCTTCACCTTTGGTCTAGTCTACCTTCACCTTGAGGTCTAGTCTACCTTCACCTTGAGGTCTAGTCTACCTTCACCTTTGGTCTAGTCTACCTTCACCTTGAGGTCTAGTCTACCTTCACCTTTGGTCTAGTCTACCTTCACCTTGAGGTCTAGTCTACCTTCACCTTGAGGTCTAGTCTACCTTCACCTTGAGGTCTAGTCTACCTTCACCTTGAGGTCTAGTCTACCTTCACCTTGAGGTCTAGTCTACCTTCACCTTGAGGTCTAGTCTACCTTCACCTTGGTTTTGTCGTGACACAGATCATTTCATCACTAACAATGAAATAAGGGTAATCTGCTAGGTGTCATGCACGCTATTATTTGTATGTTATTTGTCTAGAAAATCATTTCATCACTAACTGTGTAAACTTGTATAAGCATAATATAAACTTAGCATAAAATCATACAGTCAACACCTGGTGCTTAGGCTTCCATTAATACAATACATGTGTATTATTTAGATTCATAGCCTGATGTCAAATAGACATTAACTATAGAAATGATAAATGTGTAAAACATGACTTATTGTGGCATTAATAAATTTTAGAGTCTAATAATAAGAAATCTAATTAGGCAGTTACTTTAACTTATAATCACAATTATGAATTGCAGACCATCATAAATTTCATGATATCTCATTGATACACAAATTATTATAATTTAAAATCTTGTGGTGAGACTGTTTTAATTTAAATTATGAAGGGACTGATTAAAAGTGTTTACTTTAATCTTAAAGCAGCATGTCTCCAGATTTATGATAGTTTTAATGAAAATTTTTAAAATATTTAAAAAAAAAATATTGTCAGGTAAACAAAGAAAGTAATTTACGCATTGCAGACGGCACTCACAATCTACAAAAATTACTAAAAATAGGTCAGAATATGCAAAAATATCTGCATACCTGCATTAGTAACACAGTAGAAATATGGTGATAAATACTGCAAAGTCAGTTATTTATTGCTTAGAACATGTAAATTGTTTCTTGAATTCTGATTATTTTTACTTCTTAAAATATTAGTAAATTTGCCTTTAATTGTAAAATTTTCTTCTGGTTGATTTTCTTGAAATATTTTGGCTCATCTGGGGGCATATGCGGCTTTAAAACATCTAAATTTTCAGGAAATGAAATTATGAGTTGGATGGTAGTTAAAGATAATTCCACCTATTCATGTTGAATTTATACTTCATACAACTTTTTTTCTGATTTTGAGCTTAGTATATTACTGTTTTCATGCCTGGTCATGCCACAGCAGATTTCATACATGTTTTACATGTTATATATTATTGTAGATGAAACTTACTCTTGCCTGAATGTAGGCTATGTTCCAACTAAACTTGAACAAGTTATTTAAAAACTTGAACATTAAGGTGAAGCTTGCTAGCGAATGCTTCCCCTTAACTAAAAGTTTTTATATAATATTACTATTATTAAGTGTATTGTATTTCATTTATCTGAATAATATGCCATGAGTTACTGAGAACTATTATATGTTTTATATCCCCTAAATTCCGTAGTACCTTTTTACCCAGTTTTAGTTGTTGCCTAACTGTCCACTGAGTGGAACTTACAACCATAATTTAGATGTGTCCTAGTATTACTAATATCCACCAAGTCTTGTTACTCATAAAATATTGCTGGTCCTATATGTTTAGAAGTTGCATTGTATGTAAGCATATGTAAGCATCATCCTTTTTATATTACGAAAAAAGACTACTGTATTTTCTCCTATTAACTGCAACAAGATACTTGACATTTTCCAAGACAGCAAGCACATTTACTTTTAGACCAAAATAAGCAGTATCTAAACTTTTGATAAAAATACATTAGTTCATCATTTTAAGCTGTTTATCTCCTAAATAGAATGAATGTTTTTTCTCAAAGAACATTAAAACAGGCATTGTAAAATGGTTTAAATTATTAGTATACATAGATTTAAGATGATATTGTATTGTGTGAAACATTTTCATGATAATTTCATTAATTGGTACAACTTTTAGTTTATTACTCAGTGAAATATCATATATTGTGTTACAGCTTCAAGAATGGTTCTCTGACACGTGAGAATGTGATGAACAGTTGTGCAGGATCATGGGAAAAATTTAACGAAATGCTGAGTAAGACCCCACCAGGCAATAATGGCAATATAGGTAGATTATAGAAGTTATTTTATCCGTAGATGCGAAATGTTTTATGATATATATACATGTATAGTAAAGAATGTGAGACTATAAGAACAAAGATCATTAGACATTTATATGTCTGGTTTTTTTTCCCGACTTTGTTGTTGTAAGAATTTAAGCAATTTTTTATGAAATATTGTATCTTTAATGAATAATTTATAAAGTTCTGTAGAATAAGAAGCTGATTATATTTGGACAAGTACTTGGCCGCATAATCAATATAGCATGAGCTATCAAGTGGAAATTTTGCATTTTTCTTACTGGGTACGAGTTAGAATCCGTCCCCATCCACATTATACTGTTACAAAACTTTATTATTTCATTTGTGTTGCCTCATATCTGCCATGATTGATACTTACATAATTGTGCTTTATCATTTTTATGCCCCCACAATGTGGGAGCATATAGCGTTGCACTTGTCCGTCCGTCCGTCAGTCCGTCCGTCAGTCAGTCCGTCCGTACGTCCCGAAATCTTGTGAACGCAACTCCTCTTAAACCGGATGGCAGATTTTGCTTAAACTTACAGGGATGAACAACCTTAATGTGTAGATGGTAGTAAAGGAAGGAATTTTTGCTGCGACCAAATTTAACAGAATTATGGCCCTTTGTTGATTTTTTCACTAGATACTATGTAGAAATTTTGTGAACGCAACTCCTCTAAAACCGGATGGCAGATTTTGCTTAAACTTACAGGGATGAACAACCTTAATGTGAAGATAGTATTAAAGGAAGGAATTTCCGCTGCGATCAAATTTAACAGAATTATGGCCCTTTGTTGATTTTTTCACTAGATACTATGTAGAAATTTTGTGAACGCAACTCCTCTAAAACCGGATGGCAGATTTTGCTTAAACTTACAGGGATGAACAACCTTAATGTGTAGTTGGTAGTAAAGGAAGGATTTTTTGCTGCGACCAAATTTTACAGAATTATGGCCCTTTGTTGATTTTTCACTATATACTATGTACAAATTTTGTGAACGCAACTCCTCTTAAACCGGATGGCAGATTTTGCTAAAACTTTCAGGGATGAACAACCTTAATGTGTAGATATTAGTAAAGGAAGGAATTTTTGCTGCGACCAAATTTTACAGAATTATGGCCCTTTGTTGATTTTTTCACTAGATACTATGTAGAAATTTTGTGAACGCAACTCCTCTTAAACCGGATGGCAGATTTTGCTTAAACTTACAGGGATGAACAACCTTAAGGTGTAGATGGTAGTAAAGGAAGGAATTTTCGCTGCGACCAAATTTTACAAAATTATGGCCCTTTGTTGATTTTTTCACTATATACTATGTAGAAATTTTGTGAACGCAACTCCTCTTAAACCGGATGGCAGATTTTGCTTAAACTTACAGGGATGAACAACCTTAATGTGTAGATGGTAGTAAAGGAAGGAATTTTTGCTGCGACCAAATTTTACAGAATTATGGCCCTTTGTTGATTTTTTCACTTTATACTATGTAGAAATTTTGTGAACGCAACTCCTCTTAAACCGGATGGCAGATTTTGCTTAAACTTCCAGGGATTAACAACCTTAATGTGTAGATGGTAGTAAAGGAAGGATTTTTTGCTGCGACCAAATTTAACAGAATTATGGCCGTTTGTTGATTTTTAGTTTTCAACTTGTGGCACATGTAGTCCAAAAAATATTTGACCTAGAGTCATAAGATTGACAGAACAGTGGCGTGTGGGGGCATCAGTGTCCTATGGACACATTTCTAGTTCGTAATAGAAACTTATCTTATGATAGAGCACAGGAAATACAGGCTTCTCACCATAAAGTCACACTGAAATCAACCTTTATCCCTTTAAGGATTTTCTTCAAACTTTGGTAAAATGTTCTTCTCAACAAGATAGCGATAATTAAAACTCATGCCACTGCTGTATTGGCTCATGGTCATTGTCACTCTTTATAGACAAATATAATTGTGTGTCCCCTAAATAAATCTTATTCCCCATTTAAGCATTTACCGCAACAAAGCAATGTGCAGAACCCATGCTGCTGCTGTGTTGCCTCAAGGTCGAGGTCATACTTGAAGTTCAAATACCAAAAACTTTTGTGTCAACTCTATATATGTTTTTATCCCTTGACAAATTTTCTTCAAACATACTGTAGCTCAAATGTTCATATTAAAAGATAATTTTAAATGGACCAAAACAAATTCTTGTGTCATAGAAATGGAAGTAGTTTTCATCACTCCTTTGGCAGCTTTAGTATGACATGATAATCAGGGGGTTTCTTTTGTTGTTTTTCAGGAATTTACTTTGACAAGAAAGAAATACAACCAGTTGTGAGAGGCATCTTTAGATTTAATGAAAACAATGAACAGGTATTTTCTACTGTGTAGAACCACCAATCTTCTACAAGCTAGTGAAATAGATGCCTCACTTGAAAGAATACAGAGTCCCTGGCAGAACATTAAATTCATGCCAGTCAGAAACTAGTGCTTTAAAGCATCCTATGGACCTCCATGTTTAGGCTGTTTTGGTTGCAGACTTTAAACATCAGGCCCCTTATTGCTGTGTATTCAAATGCCTCCATGGACTTTAGATTCTGTCCAGCTAACAAACAGGTCTATGGTTCTACTCGGGTGCCTGTCTTCCATATACGTTTCTATATGACCTTAATGTTAATGTGACTTAAGCCTATCCAAAAAAGGCCCGAGAGTCTAAATTCACTTAGCTAACTGAGTCTTCTTACAAATAGTTTACTCTAACCAGTACATGAAAATGTGTATTAATAATTTAATATGTGCAAGTTGATATCTCCAAAATTTTTGAAGGGAATTGGTTAAAACTTCACACACTTATTTCAGAACATGTTAGGAGGTCACGCTCCAAGGCCCATGATTACCAGAATTATGGCCCTGTTTTAAGCTAGAAATTTTACTGTCAAGTACAGTTTAAACCAACATGATTGTTTCAAAGTTATAGAAAACAATATGGTGTATAATTTACTGTAATTTAAAATGTTTCAAAGTTTATATAAATCAATTGTCTCTAATAAAGCTAATAATGAACTATTTCAGGTTGAAAGTTTTACACCGGAGATAGAAGTGCGGGCAGTGTTAGAGAGTCAGTTTCTTGCGAGACTCATGTATGCTAAACTTTGTGGATTACAAATAGGTTAGTCCTTTCTACAAATCTATGTACATGTATTTATAATTTAGTATGTAAAAATATCTTGTTATATTCAATTGTTTGAAATGGTTGATATCTGACATTTCACTTTGAACATTTTTAACTTATATTATCTTAGGTTAATAGAGCAACATGTGCCTGAATGATAAATTTTGTGATTAGTCTGTAGGACTGTACTTAATCTTAAAGAGGGTGGGGTCTTGGGTAGGAGAATTTTGTGTTGGAAGGAAAAGGGGAGTTTTGTCTGTCAACAATACTTGTAATGTTAATAGACATATTAGTCTACTAACTATTCAATTTTACAAAAAGCAAATTTCAATAAGGTTTTGTTAAGGCTCTTTGCTTTTGATGGGTATAATTAAAAAAAAAACTTTTGTGATGGGAATTTGAATGGAAATTTTAATAAATATTACTAGTAATAGGGGTGGATTGTAAAATAAGGGACCATAATTTTCTTTTTTCATTCTGTACTTTTACTTACTAGTGTAGGCTTCCTTTTTTATATTGACAGAAAAAAAAAGAGTACAAAACAACAGATAGGTATGCAGATAAATATATATATTGGTATTTAATGTGTAGTGTTAAATTATTTTCTTGTAGGTCCTAAATCACGTGTGATTGCTACAGGTGGTGCCTCGGCTAATCCAGCTATACTCCAGGTAAATATTATATCCTGTGATACATATACACGTATGTTCAATATTGTATGTTTTAATCTGTCTTGCTGTAGAACCTGTTTCCGAACCTGTTATGTTGATCAGAAAGTCAAAGATATCACTTACACATCAGCTATGAAATAACAAAGAAAATAATGTATTTAAACTTCATTACATTCTCAACTAAAAACATAGAACGACGTTGAAAATGAGCTGCCTTCGAAAATAAGCCATTAATATCTTTACCATATCTAAAATAAGCCCCAGCTTATTATCAGATATTTAGGTTATCCAAATAATATTTTAATATGTTAATTATTTCTACAATATTTCTAAAATTTTAGTGACATGTTATTGTGTTATATTGTAGATAATAGCGGATATATTCAACACAACTGTATATATCACAGATGTCCCAAACTCAGCAGCTTTAGGTGCATGCTACAGGGCCAAACATGGTAAAATACTCTATGATATTGATAACATTAACATGCAATACAAATCACTGTAGATTTTATTGACAAACATAAAACACATTTGATTTGTTGGTACCTTAAATGGTTCTCTGTCTTTATGTTAGGTTTGGGTTCTTTTGGATTAAGGTCAAAGTCACCAGGGCTGACATAGACTGGTGTCTACATTTCCTTAACATGGCCAAGTAGCTTTAAAACACTTACCTCTCACCGCTGTTGGTTTGACTCCTGACAGGGACTTTGGATTCTATCCAGAATGTTGGTGTTTCTACTCAGGTGCCCGCCCGTTTTTGCCCAAAATAATGCACATAGAGGCACCTGAGGTCTTCCTCCACCAATAAAGCTTAAAAGTTTTTATATGATTATACTGTGTTGCTGTGATGTTAATCGGAACATCAACATTTCCTCATAGATAATTATATGCTTTTTTCAGAGCGTCATTAGAGACGAGTCATTTCAGATTAGCTATAGTAAACATTTTGTTTCTATTTATCTTTTTTTCTGAAATATTACTGATGACTTTTAGATTAAGAAGATATTATTTCATTTGAGTTAAATATGAAATGTATGATAAAATTCCAAATGTTTTAAACTATATTGAATTTTTTTATTATTAGCAAAAATATACACCATATTTCACTTAATTGAAAAAATGTCCTTTTCATTTAATTTACCAACAAGAAATACCATAATCATTGTAAAGAATTGGCGTGCAACTACAATTGTATAGCATGAAGCAATATTTTGATTACTCATAAGTGAGTGGTGCGGTTCAATACACAGTTTGCCGTCTTTGATCACAGTCTTGAACTATGTTGAGATAATATAACCAGAACCATTATTTTAATTTATGATAATGTAATGAATAACTGATGCTACTGACTGTTAGAGAGAGAAAAAATCTTAGAAAGTAGTCCCTAAAATTTAATATAAATTTTGACTTTGCCCACATTCATATTTTTGAATTTTGACTCTGCTTACATTCATATTTATGAACTTTGACTCTGTCCATATTCATATGTATATTTCGTATTTGTTTTGAACAAATATGAATATACTTGACTGATATAGCACCATATTTCATGAGTATAATGAAATAAATATATAATATGTTGTGTATATTTTACAGCAATGATGCCAGAGGGTACACCATACAGTGAGATAGTAAAGAATTTACCAGAGCCTGTCTGTGCTTGTAAACATACACCTGGTCTAGAAAAGGTATCTTGAATTTTGTAGCTTAAGGATTCAATGCACATTATGCCTCAGAAATCAATAAATTTTTAATTCTTTAGAAAGGTCAGATATGTGTTTAATAATATTTTGATAAGGAATTTAAAACATCTTAGATGTTAAACAACTGCAAAAAATAGTGTTGAATGTACTGGTTATGGACCATAAAAACCGGACAACCACCAAACCTGGACGGCCCCGAAAATGCTTAATTTAGTGTTTTCTTCATACAGTGGTTGTCAGTCACTTTTTTTTATCAACAATAAATGCATGTTTTTTCTATAATTAAGTAATAAAATTTATTTAAATTTTTGTAAATGGTAATATTTTAATGTCTATTTCAAGAATGTTGACATTGAAATTTGGGTGTCAAGAAAGCAATGCCTGACCCCACATACCAGCTATAATCATTTGCAGAGTAAACAATAGAATATCCAAAACTTCAGTATTTGTTGCTGAAATATTGTATATCATGTTAAAAATCAAAAATTAAAACACCCAAGCTTTTATCTGAATTAAATCACATCATGTACACATCTGTCCGGACACATGGTACTGTAGTGTAGACATATTAGGTAATTTTGATACCCTCCTTGGCAAGCCTGAGATACAAGTGTCAATACAGTCAGAAATAAACAAAGTAGTTTGTTAGTTAGGAGAAGAACCTAGCTGTACTGTGTCAAATTTTTAGGTCTCTAGGTTTGAAATTATAAAATCTGTATGGAAAAATCTGGTTGATTGTCCCGACCAGTACAGTAAAGTGTTGTTAAGGTAGCGAAATGTAAACAAAGTAGTGTTTCACTTTCATACAAAATACTAACTCACTATAATTATACCAATTGCCAAAGAGCAAATGAAGTATATAGCCAAATAGTAATTTTTTGTAAACTCTAATAAGATACAAAAATAAAAAGTTTAAATTTGAGAAATGAAAATAATACCATTTCAGGGTTTAATGGGCATCGATTATTGACTGGCACTTTCTGAATCCTACTTTTACAGTTTAAACCTTCATTATTATTCATCTAGGAAAATGGCTTATGAAGATATTTTGTTTCTACCCATATATCTGCTTCTGTCTTAAATAACACATGGAAGGGCACTTGGAGGTTTACATCAACGAGTCATGCTAGACATTTGATTCATTATGTTCTGTAATGATAATTGAGTAACTCAAAATCCAACATTCTGGATGTTTTTGGAAAGGATATCATTCACCATCAGGATAAAAAAGGTCCAATGTCAGCTTTATTATGCTAAGTTTGAGAAAATCCTTCAAAGTGTAGAATTTCAAACATGGCTCTTCCATAAGGCAATTTGCAGAACTGATGCTGTCAACTCAAGGTTAAGGTCACTCTTGAAGGTAACAAATGAGTGTGCATAACTGTGGTTAAGGTCACTTTAAGGCCAAATGTAAGACACATTGTGTTTGCTCTATAAATTCTATGCCATTTAAGGATTTTCTTCAATCTGAGCTCCAATATCAACCACAGTAAGACAGTGTATCCATGCCACCCTTTGACTGGCTGAAGGTCAAGGTCATGCTTGAAAGTTTTATATCAGACAATTTTGTCTCCACTATAAATTCTATACTCCTTGAAGGACTTTGTTCAAATTTAACTTCAAAAATGTTTATAAATATTTCAAACCTACATAAAATCCTGTGTCATAGACAGTGGATGGGTTATTGTTCTTGTTATTCTTTAATTCAGACAAGGCACAACTAAAAACACAGTACATGAATAACATACTTTTGGTATTTCAGGTATATATGCCTATGATGGAAAGATACAGGAAACTTGAGGAGAAAATTTCTGCCATGTGAGGAAATACAATAAGCATAGAGACAATAGGGGATAATATATCCACACCATGTTTTATAACCAGGTTATGGGGAGCACATGTGATTATATTGATATCATACAGGAAGATTTGTATAATAAACAAGAATTTCAAAGTGATTTGGTAAATGTAATGAAATTGTCGAGGAAAAGGTGTACTAATTGATAGATTGTGGTTAGATATGGCTATGGGCTTTAGATAATGATATGTGCAGGTGATATATTGTAGGTCAGGGCTTTTGTTTGGTAAAATTTGGGGCAGAATATGGGCCCCATTCCCCCATTAAAATTGCATGTTTTTTTCCTTGCCTAATACAAAAAAAAACTTGAAAATAATATTTAACAGCCATAGATCAGTGATAACGTTTTAAAGTTGAATTTTTATACAAAGTATCAAAGATATATTCATTTTTGGCCGGGTTGCACTGGTGCAAACCCGGGTTATAGTATGGTGAATGTTGGGCGGCGGGCGTCTGGGCGCGCGGGCGGGGAAAAAACTTTCGTAACAGTTTTCTCAGTAACTACTAATCATAGCCTTTTGATATTTAGTATACAGCATCAACACATGGTCCCATACTGTGGGATTCGATTTCAGGTCTGTCGCTCATCTACTTCCTGTTTGCCGACTTAGTTAAATTTTCAACATTAATGGTCAATAGTAGGAAATTTTCGTAACAGTTTTCTCAGCAACTACTTATCACAGCCTTTTGATATTTGGTATACAGCATCAACACATGGTCCCATACTGTGGGATTCGATTTCAGGTCTGTCGCTCATCTACTTCCTGTTTGCCGACTTAGTTAAATTTTCAACATTAATGGTCAATAGTAGGAAATTTTCGTAACAGTTTTCTCAGCAACTACTTATCACAGCCTTTTGATATTTGGTATACAGCATCAACACATGGTCCCATACTGTGGGATTCGATTTCAGGTCTGTCGCTCATCCACTTCCTGTTTGCCGACTTAGTTAAATTTTCTACATTAATGGTCAATAGTAGGAAATTTTCGTAACAGTTTTCTCAGCAACTACTTATCACAGCCTCTTGATATTTGGTATACAGCATCAACACATGGTCCCATACTGTGGGATTCGATTTCAGATCTGTCTCTCATCCACTTCCTGTTTGCCGACTTAGTTAAATTTTCAACATTAAATTTTGACATAATTAATGATCAATAGATAGTAGGAAATTTTCGTGACAGTTTTCTCAGCAACTACTTACCACAGCCTCTTGATATGTGGTTCACAGCATTGACATGACTGTGGTCCCATATTGTGGGATTCCATTTCAGGTCTGATGCTCATTCTTTTCAGCTTAACCAACTATGTTAAATTTTCAACATCAATGGTCAGACAGTGGTAGAAAATTTAAGTAACATCACAGCCTCATGATATTTTGTATACATATGCAACCCGGCCTTTTCTGTCTTTGACCCATTTTTATTGGAAATAAAAACAAATATTTCATGACAGTAGCTTATTGTTGATAATTGTTAACTGAATCTTGTTTTCGTTTGTTTTTAGTGAATTAATTTTCTTCTATTGAAATTAACCCTTGAATGAAAAGTAATTGAAAATCATGCGAAAATCATGCACATTTAAAGCCTCAAAAATGAATATTTTTTAATGTAATAATAATGGATGAAAAGCATGTTTTGATGCTAATAATGTAAAGAAAGTAGCAATAAATGTGGTGTTTTGACTTACATGCACATATTAATTCATTGTAACTGTAATTTATGCTATCAAGCAAGCAGAGCAAAAGACTAATCAGAAGTAATACATTGAACATCATTGCATTTTGTATGTATATAAATTTTTTGTGTGCAAATTATAGTGATCAGAAATTAAGTATAATGTTGTATGACATTCATGCAGTGACTTTAAATGGAAATTATATGATAAGAAGAAATGTTCATAAATTTGAATGTGAATTATATATTTTATGAAATAAAAATTATTTCGTAATTTTGAATGCATACATGATTGTGGAGCGTATGCGACAATTACCGGCATGTATCAGTTATTGGCATGTTTTTAAAATTGATGAATTTCAAATAATGCATCAATAAATAAATTACAAGAAGATTTCACATTATCAAATTATTACGAAGCATCAGTCATGTCATCAAAAAACAAACAATACGGGCTCCATTTATTTAATACAACTATAAATAAATGTTAAAAAATCTGCATTATTTTAATGTTAAATCTGTGTAATGTTAAGCCAGCGTGTAATTCACCGTTAAGGTGCCGATAATTGTGGCATATGCTCTATATGTGTATAACATTACTCTGAAAACAAAATGTTTGATATCAAAAACGTGACATGTCACATTTCACTACACTGACTAAATATCTTAAATGGATTTATCCACCTACATTTTTGACAAGTCAAATTTTGGTATATGAAGATGAATATTGGAAGTGTGTCAGTCGTCAATAATTATGTAGACTCTGGTCAGACTGCACAGATAATTTGGCTTTATAACAATGGTAATAACTATTCACTTTGCTTCCAGCATTGTAAGAGCTAACTACACATCTAGTTAGTTATATTGTGTAACATTCTTGTCTTGTTCTTAAGCTTCAATCGAGGTCAAAAAGCCTAAAAACATAAAATTTGAAGTTCTTACATATATCAAGTGAAGCACTTTACTAAGAAAATCTGAAAAGGAAAATACCAAAATTTACTTGGAATTGAAGTGAATATCAATATTTTGTGTGATTCTTAGCACCGATTTGAGTGAAAAGCGTATTACAGAAATTTTGAGAATAGCAAGTTTTAATAAGTTGTTAATATATATAAATGTACTGGTTTTATGCAATATTTTTGATATACATGTATGTATTGTTTTTATATTCATTATGTTTTACCTTGATTTTGTACAGTAAATATAATTATACTTTAAATGGCAAAGGATGTGCACAAATGATATGTCACGATAATATCAGTGATATAAACTGTTATACAAGTATATTACCTCTTTGTTTTTTATTTATATAAATATGATGGTGATTAAGTGAGAGAAACAGATGTATATAATTCAGACATGCCTTGATAATCAAATATATGTATAGTAATGATGATCATGGAACTTTTAGTCAACCCTTTATCTGCTGGAATTTAAGAGTGAGACTAAAACAATTGTTGGAGCACCACACTTAATACCGTATTCCAGTATATACCGGTCAAGGTGCTTGAATGAATAAATGCTAAAATCTTGCCATTTTAGCTGCCGAAAAACACTTTAAGATGGCTAATTCATCTCGCACTAATTTGTTTACAATTATGAATAAAACATGTAAGAACTGCCAAAAAAAGCGTTATATTTCTACTTCTGATCATTTCTGTCAAGTGTCTACATGTACTGCTCCAACACTGTAGTGTGTTAAATATAAAAGTGATTAATAGCTTTTGCAACAAGTATGGACCAAACCATTTTGCATGTCTCAACAGTATTGGAATCTCAATTTAAGAATTTCAGCAGGTCATGGGTTAAAGATGGACACATATCCTGCCATGATTACAGTCGTACATGCCATAATTTCTAGGTTACTTTACAGGACACTTCATTGTGGGTGAGGTGTCGATGCGAATCAGGGAGCAATTGTTTCAAAAATTTACATAGTAGCATACAAGCTTAAGATAATATGTGTTGAATTTTGATAACTGTTTTTACACCCATCTGTTTGCTGATGTAAATTACTTTCGTCAAAATTTTAATTGAAAAAGCCAAAAAAGTAAAGAAACAAAGCAGAATAAAGATTGTTCTTTTCATAAAGACTTTATTTTATTTTGCATATAACAACACATGAAAAAGGGAAACATTTGGACACACAAAATATATTTTCTTCAATAAGAAATGACTTAAATTTCACAAGCATACAGCATTCTACAAATTAGATACTAGTAAACTGTTGTATCTACAAATCATTCATCATCCTATATAACAACAACAACAAAACAAAACATTGATAAACTGACCTACTGAGCAACACAATTTATATAATTGAATAAAGTTACACTAAATACTGGATTTATATTTTACCTCGCCATTTCCTTAAATAACTTTGATGTTTTAGCTGGCAAAAATGTTTTTGAACATTTAATTAAGCAACAATTTCTCTTACAGTAAAATGAAAAGAAAGAAAAATTGAGCTGTATATTTTTCAATGTAGAAACAAAACTGGCTGTAGATGCCTAGATGGTAATTCGAACTGGCGTATCTATTAAGGTTATATATGTTTAAATGTTAATTAGATACATGTATTCTTAGCCTTTACATAAGAAACAGAACAAGCATCTTTGCATGATAGGAACCGACTTGTCAGCCCACAAAATATTTAACAAACCAAAACTCAGGCCATCCCTACGTTTTTTGTCTGACCACTGATGTTCTGAAAATAACATTCTTCGTGCAGACACTTAAATCAGTAAAGGTATAATATATACAGTACTAATACCTATACTTATAAGAGGAACAAATATGATAGTATAAGTAAATTAATACATGGCCAAGTTATTGTCCAAGTGATATTCAAAGGTGGTCTGATTTCTTGAGACCTTTATATCGTTCGCATAACAAAAGACTAGTTCTTCGATAAAGCTATGTTTAAATTTTAGACTTAACGTTTATTTCATTGTCTTACTTTTGCTCATATTATTTTTACCTTCACACCAAGATACTAAAATGTATCCAAGTTTCAATTCTAAAACAACAACCCAATAATAATGGCAACAAAATAAAAATAATAATATAATAGGTGTAAAATCAAACACTGCAATGTGCTTTATCAATGCTAGATAATTAAGAAAAAAAGTATTAAAATTACTTTCACTAATAAAACAACATTACAAGTTTTGTATTTTAAAGAAAATGTTATATTGAAGTTACTATGCTTATTTGTTATTAAGATAGGAGTCCTTGGTAATATATAATCTTTCTTTGCTTTTGATTAACTTACTTACAAATATGAGTATGGGGTAAAGACTCTAGTTATACTTTCAGTACCAATATGCTCACAATAAAGATAATATTTATGCATATTGCACAGTTTACAATACTGATATTTCTGATACCAGATCTCTATAAAAATGTATCTTTAACAATTCTAACAAATAAAAGGTAACAACATCATAAAATGGAGCCCAAACATGCAGTCAATTAAAGGAACACATACAATTGAATTATGCTATGATGAACATGTGGGGGAAAAAATCAGTTTTTGTTTTGTATGTACAAAATTAATACTCTACCATCTTAAATGAATAACAACTTGTACCTATCTATATTCACATTCTCTGAAAGCTCGCAAGTTATAAATCAGTATATAATCATATACTTTTTTGTCCTTTTTGCATTAAAAGACCTGGGAACAATTCATTATATCATTGAGTGTGAGTGACAGAAGAATACATCATAATTTGTACTGATTTAATTAATTTCATTTATATATCTTAAATATGAAACAAAATTTAAAATCTACACAGAAGAGAGAAATGTTAATCTTTAAGTTGTTAATGTTATTCACAGCATTTTTTGTAAATGTTTAAAAATGAATTAAAGAAAATAAACATGGTGTCTCTTTATGTTTCAGAGAATAAAAGATTTTGAAGTAAATAAAATTTTAAAAAGTAACATCTTTTTACATCTTATTGACAAAAAATGCAATATATTTTTTTGGCCACTAAAGTTATTATATTACCCTAAAGAGTACATTTTACAGAAACCCTGTGTGGCCCTAGAATATAATACTGATACTTTAATACCATAACAATAATTGGAAATTTCCAAACAAGAATAATGCTGCACAAATCATGATCTTTAATATATTTAACACTAAATATTTTGATTTTCTGTATGCAATAAAATCAGAAGATGGAAATAATTCAACATGATTTTATTCTTATAAATACAACTGGCAGTAGAGTTATATAAATATATACTATAAAAGTTTGTTATTTATGTTATAAATGCCTTACTATGTGCTAAAAATATCCATTCCATCATAACAAAGTATATCTCTTATAAAAAATATATTTCAAAGCTTTACAAAATATTTGATATTTTGTTAAAATATTCTCTCATTACTAATCAATAAAGGCAAATAAAAACAAGGTCTAAAATAATGTAAATTCTCTGTTAGTCAATGCCATGTTGTCCACAAATCTGAAAAATAAAATAATTTATGTGGTAATGATAAGAAATAAATAATAGATATATAAATGAATAAAATGATAAAATTGTTCAAACTTCCAACAAAATTACCATACCCCTCTTATCATAATACAATCATTTATAATAAAGGGTACTTTTAACAAAACATTTTGAAAACTTTATCACTTACGAAATTTAAAACTCAAATGGAACACATGTGTTGTTCAGTCAGCTTCAAACTTATATTATAGCTGCTGCAATATTTTAAGTTCCACACAACACTCACAACTTGTTCTTAAACTTGTAATGATGAGCCTTTTATTTATAGTACATGCACAGTAACTTTAATATTCACAAAGATTATGCAAAAGAATGAAAAACAGGTTTAATCCTAGATAAATAACATGTAAGTATAATGATTATTGAAGTACAGGAGCAAATTACCTTGTCATTTCACTGTTTAGTTTTACATGTCTTGGAACATATGCCCAGCTCATGTTCTTCTTCAATGGTTCATGCTGTGTCCACCAACCACAACCTTGACTTGTTGTTAATGGGTAATTGTATAACTGTGGTGGTTCTGAAAGTAAACAAATTTATTTGTTGGATAATACTGTAAAGGTCATATAATAAATTTCCAGCGTTATGTGTGGATACTTCAGATGCCCCTTTGTACATTATTTCATGCACTTAAATAGAACCACCAACCATCTAAAAGCTTTCTGGATAGCCTCTTCACATGAAACATTCCTAAGTAATTTATCTCTGACTCACTAATGTGGTGCAATAATATACTGGTCAGTACACTGATATGTTACACCACTTATTTGTAAGCCCCCCATTCTTGTTATTAAGGATTGTCATCAGGCCTGACTAGTAAAATCTCTTTCATGTGCAAAGAAATCAGATGATAAAATCCCCCAAGGATTTTTTTTCCCTTTTATAGCAGGGAGGGACCATTAAGTTAACAGAGTCTTTCTCAGAGGAAAATTCTGATAAAACAGGCAAGTTTCCCCTAGAATTCAATTCCCATCAAATTTCAATCCCCTCCTTAAAAATACTACATGTATACTGTTACTTTTAGGGAATCTGTGAAAAAAAGCTGTGAATCATCACTAATTGCCCTGCAATTCAGGCTGTATTCCTGTCTATTTTTGGTTTGATAATAAAATGGCTATATTGACCCTGTAGTTCTTAGACATCACCGTCACATCCCTCACATTGTTGCCAAGGTTAGGGCCAGGGGTTACAAATGACTTACACAACAGAAGCCCCATGAAGTGGTGAAATTTCTTGTTACTCAGCAGTGGTAAATCTCAGTAGACTTCTAATATATGTCTACTGGTGTCATTACGTCCGGGAAGCAGTTATCTGGTATGTTTAGTGCTTTTGAATTATACACGACTTAAACCAAATTTAATGCACAAGTCATTTATAAGCTAAGAACACTTGGGATTCAGCAGAATTAATTGAGCTTTTATGTGTAATTTCCTCAACAAGGCAGGTATCTTTTACAAAAATCTGCTGGTCTTAGAAAAGTTTATGTTTGGGTTGGACCAAAGGTGTATAAGGGCTCTCAGTAGGGTCAGAATTTCACAAGTCAAAGACTCTTTGGCCAAAAATTTCATTATTCAAATCAGTTTTTTCTTGTGTCATTTGTCTACATGAATTATTTTATTACTGTTTGTGAAGTCCTTTTGAGTAGATTTTCAAGTTTAAAGTGATAATACTTAACATGGAAAAAATGCCTAACAATATTCCTTCTATAATATATATACCCCCCCCCCCCAACAAAAAAACAACAACAAAAAACACTGAATTGCAAATTTATGGTGGAAAACTACTAATAAGCTTTTCTGATTAAAAATATACTAGGAATATTTACTGAAAAAAAGAAATAAAAAATATACAGGAACTCTGACTAAGTAAATCAAAGACGTATTATAAACTTCACTTAATGCTGCTTTAAAAGTACTTAATAATTGACATCTGACAGTATGTAATTCTTAACAGTTGTGTAGAGCTACTTTTAGCACTGTCAAATTGCATCGGGTGAAGTCGCGCTCCAGTGCACAGGCAACTTAAGATACTGTCCTCCAAAAGTGAAAGAAAAAGCATACATTAGTTTGGTCAGACCTAAACTGGAACACCCTTCTCCAATATGGAATCCTTTACAAAAGACACAAGTTAAACAGATAGAACAAATCCAAAGAAACACAGTGAAATCAGTAATATACCATCCTACTAGTGTAACTGAACTGATAAATAAATTACAATGGCCCAGTCTTCAACAACGTTACGTAGAGTATGGGCAGATGTGACTCTGATGTATAAAGTAGTAAACTTTTAATAGCTGTGCCAGTGATTTACCATCCCACTCAGTGATTTTTCTCACTTAATTGGGAAGAGGCCTTAGCCTCTTGATTTTGGGAAAAATTATCGCTAAAATTGCTTATTTGGGAAGAAAAAAGCAGGTTTAAGTTCAGATTTTTGGGAAAACTGCAGGATTTTAAAGAAAATTTCAATTGGGAAGAGGCCCTTTTTCAGAGTCTGTTATATAAGCAGGAAAATCACTGCCACTATTGCCACCGTTCGTTCAACCTGGAGAAGTCACAGTATGAAATTCATTCCAAATCAATCTAGAATCAACATTTATCAACATTCATTTTTTCCAAGGACTGTTTATACCTGGATTATTATACCGGATTCTTGTGTTACTACCAGAGACATAGATAACTATTATCTATGTCTCTGTTACTACTGAGAGCCTGGAAGGGGTTAAATCTTCCATCCAGCTCATTCCAGTCGTACCATCATATATATAAATAGACACCACCTTGTAAAGTGTAAATACATGTTGGTCAACAGACCTATTTATGGTGTATAGTGTGGAACATCAATTTTTCACGGGACAGTTGTGATACAATTGTGTAACATAGTTTTAACAATTTATGTCAGAACACGCCACTCTAAACCGATTTACAGTCTTCACCCCCTCGACGTTGATGTCTACCTGGTGGATGTTGTTAAGTAACCCTGTTGAAGTTGAAGAAAACATGCTATGTGTAAAGCACTTTATACATGACTTAAATTGCCTGTTAAATTTTTTATTGAGTGTGATTTAAACATATGTAGGATTTGATAGGTAACCAGGAGATGGTTGAAGGTAATCTTTGGGTTGGACTTTACTTAAATTTCTGTCTATTATAATAGTGATATACCTTTCGGAGTTCGTATGTGTTTTGTCCTCATTCTTGTAAATTCAACGTATGAATCTTTTGGACCAGGTCCATATGCTGAAACCTGATCTATTGGGACAATAGATCTTCTTGGGGGATCCTTTTCCACAAGAGGTGGAAATGCAATAAATCCAAGTTGTGTTTTCGAGCGAGTTGGTTCTAATCTTGCCCTAGCAGAGCCTTCCCTTATTGTGTTTTGGTAGCCAAGTTGTGTAACACCAAAGAAAGACATGGTATTGAGACTTGTTCCTTTGTAATAAAGCAACAAGAGGAAAAAACAAATTTCTAGCTCTGAAAATAATCCGCGAAATATGTTGCTAAGCAAGCCTAGATTACTTCCGGGTTACATAAAATATACGATAATTTTTTAAACGAAAACTTAATCGGTTTTCTTGTGTGCACCTATACACTGAGGTATGCGCCTTTATTTAGATAGAACATGTACAACAGGTTACTATACAGTGTCTATATTACTTCTGCAATAAATAAATTTGATGCTTACAGTACTAAAGTCATTAATTTGTAGAGTTTAGCGCATTTAATGTTAATGTTACATCATGGTCTTTCAAATAGAACATCAATAATTTTGAAAGACTCGGGGTAACTCTTGACATGGTTTTGTGAATCGTTCCTATTCGATATTAAATCTTTCTTATTATCAGATTCATTTTGCAACATAAAATGAATAATAGAGGGTCTATAAAGTAAGTTACAATTTAACAAATAAAGACAGTTTACATAAGCTTTTATAAATTAATTAAAATGTAAACTGTGTGTTAATTAGATCAGTAAAATTTTATGATTTTTATAAGACATGTTGTACATATGCGCATGCACATGAACTGTTTTGAAAAATTAGGGGGGTCTAATTAATTCATTGAGTATCTGGTATGTTATGGAAAATAATAACTTAATTAATGTAAACCTTGTATACTCCTGTTTTCGAGACTGTGTGAAAAAAATTAATTCATGGTTTGGTGCAATATTTATCAGTACAACTTTTTTAGAATATAAAAGTTATAAGTCAAATCAAATTTATTTAAATTGTCATTATAAGTATATACATGTGTAACATTTCACAAAATTTAAGCTATGTATAGCTTTTCCGACATAAGTGATCAATGTAATATAATTAACTTAAATCTTATGTCTAAAGAAGCCGATACGCAACCAGAGAAACAATCATGTTTACCTGTTTATTTTCACAAATTATTTATAAATTATACCATCTATTATTATGAAAAGATAGAATCTAGCACGAATGATAATCGAATGAAAATCTAAAATAAGCAACATCTTGGGAAACATATATTGATAAAACATGTTTTAAGCTTGCTTCTAAAATATCCTTATTAATTGGAAAGAATTCAAATATTTCTAACACCTAAAATGAAACAATTATTTTATAACGCATACATATAGCTCTTACTTTTGATTATGGATATATATTGTATGGTCCCAAAGTAACAAATCAGACCTTAAATAGAATAACGAAATTACAAAGAAAGAACCGTCCAAATTATTTTGAAGAAACCAGTTAAGAAATGTTTCAAAATTTAAATGGTTATCTAAAATTCCATCTTGTCACCGGCCGAATTATTTGTTATGTTAAATTGTTCCGTTTGCCTTGCACTGTTTGTCATTTAGACGCGGGAAAAGTATACTTAATGTCCGCGCATGCGTCGTTGGCGGTTGTCTTCGTGTATGCTATTGTATTATGTCGGATGGTTCCGTAACATATGCTTATTAGCGGAAAGTCACGGACACGGCCGAGACAATTCAACTATGTCCGTATCTCGTGTAATTTTGTGAACTGTTTTTGTATGTCCAATATTTTTTTACGTTGTATGAAAGAGATTTGAGAGAGACATTGGTTTTTAACATTTCCTTCTCTGCGAACTTTTCTTCTCCAGTACAATTTGTCTTTATTCTCTTAAGAGTTTAGATATACATTTTATACCAGTTCTACTTACATTGATTCTAGATATAAGTTTTCAGTTACTTATTATTAAGTTATTTTCTTTTTGAATAACATTATTTTCATTTCATTTATTGACTTGAAATATTGTTAATTCTTATTTGCATCGCTCAATTGTTGTATTGTATGTATGTCTTAATTAACTTGTATTATAATCATACATTTATGTTTTTAGGCTTTTTCTTCGTATATATTATATATTCATTAATTTTTGACGAACCTACGCCAGGAGAAGAAAGTCCAAAACGGCAAAATTGAAAATGAAATAAATGAAAACATGGAGATTAATTAGTATATGTATGTCTGTGATAAAAAAAAATGAAAATAAAACATACTAGTAATGAATTAATTTTATAATTATTTTTGTTGCATTTTTTTGTGTTTTTATATACATGTATATACAAGGATATATATATGATACTATTGTAACTGTTTATGTACATTCCCTGAATAAATCGATACGAAAGCGTTGAATAAATTAATTCCGTTCTCTCGGAATAAAATGTACATTTACAAGTTTACTGAGATAAAAAAAAAGACATCATCATTCATGCATAAACAACCCAAAACAAATTATTTGGAACATATTTTCTATTATCTAGTATGGAGTTATGAAACACTATTCCTTTTTAAATAAAAATTTTGCCGACAAGTCTTAAATTGTTTATTAAAATTAAGATAAATTCTACACCATCATTAATTCTAGAATAGAATTATATACATGTATTTGAATGACCCTGGATGTACTGAATGCGAAGACAATAATTTAAAATAATTAAGACACAAAAGTAATGTATAATTATATTGACACGCTTTTAATTTTGATTTTAATTGATTTAATAAACAGCTCCAATGTATTTTTTTTAACTCCAATGTATTTTTTTAAAAATTCGTTTAGAATAAAAAGTACTATTGTCATTTCATTCTCGTTCTAAACGTAAACAACGTTCATCGCGAGAGTGAAATTGTTGACATTTTCTAGCACATCTGAAATAAAGTTGGTATCGAAAATCCGTGAACATCCTGTGAAGTACTGAAGAAAATTTCAAATAGCCTTTGGAATGGATTCCCGTGGGTCTTTAGCATTCGATGAATATGGACGTCCATTTATTATCATTCGTGATCAGGAAGGAAAATCCCGTCTTAGTGGGATAGAAGCTCACAAAGTATGCATGATCCAGAATGTTCTATGAGAAATTTTGATATTATTGTAATTACAAGAACTGTCAGTTCAGACAATTGTAAACTTAACTATTGTATTTGGTTGTTTAAACGTTTAATAAGTAATTTATGTATAATACTTTTAAACCAGTTCTATGTTTTCTGGTTGAAAGAATGTTTCACACGTTCTGACATGTAGTGATGTACAATCTGGGTCTGAAAAAAAATATGTCATCTCGGCACTGTTAACTCTTATCATATTTATTGTACTGGTTTTAAAATATAACTTGTCGATCATATGCAATTTTTCAGGAATATCGAGCGTCTCTAGATTCCATGTCAATAATTTGAAGGTTCCAACAAGTACTGAATGATTCTGTGAACTGGCCGGCGGCACGAAATACCCAAATACACCCAAATATACCCAAATGTTGCCCAAATATACCCAAATATAGCAATATTTATTTTTGTTTGTATAAAATATAGATCATAATGAGAAATAAATTAATATTTATAAAATAATATGACTTAGCCTGCTATAACTTTCATTCATTCCGTTGAAATGGGCAGTTAAGATGTTGTAAGAAAATAAGTTGTGACATTTGCTTATCTACAATATCGCTTCTTTATGAATGCAATTTTCATTCAAGATATGATATTTGTTGTCTACACTTACATTTCTAAGGTGTAATTTTGTTGAAATTTCATATCATATAGAAGAAGAATGTCCATAATATTAAAAAAAAATAGCTTTAACCCATTACTTCATATACACGCCTTTTAACGCCTTTTTCACACCCCCCCCCCCCTTTTTGTTGTCTCAAATAATGAAAAAATGCCTTATTTAGGCCCCAAACACTTGTTTTTGTTTGAGAAATGTTGTTAAAAAAAGTGACCCTTTTTTCGGCGCGGCCCCCCAACCAAAAGATACATCAGGGGGTTGCCAGAAGGGGGATGTGCCCCCTTCTGTTTGGGGGGGTTGCCAGAAGGGGGGCGGAGTCCCCCTCATCGCCAAGAAAATTTTGGACTTGTGAGATGCTGTAAATGACCCCAGATTGATCATAAGGTAACGTGTAACCAACGCTGAAAAGCATTTGACTCTATCTCAATCCATTGAGAAGTTGCAGCACTTAGAAATCAATTTTGATGGAAAAATCAACGCAAAATAGTGATTTTTGGCAATTTTGAGATGTCCCCTCGTTGCCATGGTAACAGAAAATTTAAGCCTGAGCATGTTGTTGCAAGGACAATGGTCCAGTCAACATTTGTGCCAAGTTTGATTAGTGTTGAAGCAGTTTTTATAGTATTATCAGGGGTTTTTTTTAGGAAAAGGGGAAGACGCTGGACGCTGGTAGGAAGGGGAAAAAATATACGAAAAAAGTCAATTTGGGGAAACTTTATTTTGACGTTATTTATACTATATACTTAACTACATAGTAGAGAGTTACAACTATATCTTTTTCCCCTTAAAAACTTTATCATCATGCAAAATATTCTTTGCAGTATAACATATTTTCTTAATATGTATGGTGGTGAATGGTTTTTATACTTCTATTTTTGTATGAAATTTAATACAGTATAGGTATAATAGTGTATCTGTGACACACTTTAGCTCCATACAAGTCATTTTCATAATAAGAAGTACAAAATATATTACTTTACTTAAAATAACCAAGAAAATGACAATATTTTGATAGCAACTGATTTCCAGAAATAGTACCGTTCAGTACGGGATATAGCCAAGAAAAAAATGGCTGCCTCCATGTTGAGACAGTACTTGCAGTTTCCTGCAATGTTTTTGGTTATTTTGAACTACAATTGGTGGTTTATCCTGCATAAAATGAAGAAAAATAATATTTTAAACCATGTAGATATTAAATCTGATCCAGTTTAAAGGAAAAATAGAATTTTTGGGGGGAAAAAACTTGGCTATTTACCGAGGGGAAGACGCCGACTATCGGTGTCAATTTGTTAGTAAAAAAAACCCCTGATTATAGAAATTTGAACTTGTAACGGGAGACTTTTCAATGAAAACAGCCATTTTTCACAAAATGCTCATGAAGTAATGGGTTAATGAAAAAAATAAAAAAATCTACAAAACAACAATTTTTCTTCAAATTTATATGACAGGCCATGTTTAAACATGAAAAAACGCGATTTAGGGTAATTTCAAGTATTTTCATCATTTTCTGTTAACCCATTACTTCATATACACGCCTTTTAACGCCTTTTTCACCCCCCCCCCCCCCTTTTTGTTGTCTCAAATAATGAAAAAATGCCTTATTTAGGCCCCAAACACTTGTTTTTGTTTGAGAAATGTTGTTAAAAAAGTGACCCTTTTTTCGGCGCGGCCCCCCAACCAAAAGATACATCAGGGGGTTGCCAGAAGGGGGATGTGCCCCCTTCTGTTTGGGGGGGTTTGAAGGGGGGCGGAGTCCCCCTCATCGCCAAGAAAATTTTGGACTTGTGAGATGCTGTAAATGACCCCAGATTGATCATAAGGTAACATGTAACCAACGCTGAAAAGCATTTGACTCTATCTCAATCCATTGAGAAGTTGCAGCACTTAGAAATCAATTTTGATGGAAAAATCAACGCAAAATAGTGATTTTTGGCAATTTTGAGATGTCCCCTCGTTGCCATGGTAACAGAAAATTTAAGCCTGAGCATGTTGTTGCAAGGACAATGGTCCAGTCAACATTTGTGCCAAGTTTGATTAGTGTTGAAGCAGTTTTTATAGTATTATAGAAATTTGAACTTGTAACGGGAGACTTTTCAATGAAAACAGCCATTTTTCACAAAATGCTCATGAAGTAATGGGTTAATGGAGTACATATACTGTATCTCACAGGCGCTAGTCACATAATCAAATATTTTACATTAACGGTCTATATATGTATATAAAGATATATAATATATCTTATTATAGTATATAGCCCATATAAAACTTTAAAAAGTTTGTTTCAACCACCTGTGCTGTATCTTGGTTCAAAACACAATGATAGGAAAATGTATATTTGGGTATGTTTGATTATATCTTAGTGAAAGTGTATTTTGTATTCATGATTAAAACAGCACTTTTTTAGTATAAAACATTTATTTTTAGTATAATTTGACAATATTTGGGTATATTTAGGCAATATTTGGGTATATTTGGGCAATATTTGGGTGTATTTGGGTATATTTGGGTATTTCGTGCTGCCCGAACTGGCTAAGACAAAGCCTTAAAGCGAGCTCTGACAGAAATTACAGTTCATTATAATTTAAACCCATCAGCCGGGCATCTACACATTTTATGGTTTCAATACACTTCGAACTGCACATATTAGGCCAATTCGAACACAACAATGCAGTATATAGGGCCATTATTATATGTAAAATTGCCATTCTGTATTTTATAAAATTATACACTGCCGGTTCCCTGTCCTATTATAGCTCCCATAGAAATGTGCAGACCAGTCTACACATCCGTTTTCAATCAGAATCCCGTGGCTTTTATCCTTATCAGTCAATGAATTTAAGAGTTTGAATTTACTACCCAGAATTCCAGTTTTGAATTTATTCTACTATATATTAAACTATATTTTCTTTAAAATTTTCACTGGCCCGAACTAATTTTCACTGGCCATGGGCCACCAGGCCAGTGCTAAATCCGATGACTGCCTTTTTTTGTAAATCAAAAGGTTGCGATTAATCAATTACCCATAATTTTGTAGTACTTCTGCAAGGCCTTTTTTCCTTCTACAACTGGGGCCGGTATAGGGCTGCTTACCCAAAGAAAATTTCTTTAAAATCGTGCAGTTTTAAAATTGACAAACATCAAGTTTTTTCTTCCCCTTTTGCAAATATACCATGTAATTTTTCCCCAAAATTAAGGGCTGGGCTGCTTCCCCAACCTATGAAAAAAAAACCCTATTCCGGCAAAAGTTTTCAACATCATGTCTAGCAGGTACTCTCGTTTGAGTCGTTTCTTTAATTATCGCTTTCTGGCCTGCTCTTCGAGATCGCTATTAACACCTTTTCTATCCCTAAAATAGTCCAGTTATGAGGGAATGACTAAATACCGAATATGAATTAATATACTTGCCAAATATGAAGAAAATACCAAATCAACATTATAATTAACATATATGTACCATGGTGAATATTTGCTACATGAAGAAATCCTGGAATAGACCCCGGGATATAAAGCAAGATATATATAAAGTTCATTCTGTTTTCTTTAGTGTATCATTCAGCATTTTCTTTCTCAGAGCGTGCTCACCTGGGTATGTTTCAAAAGTAAAACTTGCATATAATTCCCTTAATAAAATGGAATGAACCTTATATACTTGTTATACCCCGGCTTCAGGCAGCTAAACATTTTTTTTATGAACCATGAATGTGTTTAATTGAATTAATTATGACTTATTAGATAAATGATGAATTTTTTTGCAGTCCCATATAATGGCAGCAAAGACAGTTGCTGGTGTTTTGAAGACATCATTGGGACCTAAAGGTCTAGATAAATTAATGGTGTCACCTGACGGGGATATCACTATCACCAATGATGGAGCTACTATATTGAAGCAGATGGATGTGGAGCATCAGATTGCCAAGTTGATGGTTCAGTTGTCTCAATCACAAGATGATGAGATAGGAGATGGTACAACTGGAGTTGTAGGTTAGTAACACTGGTACAATTATAGCTCATTACTTGAATGAGGGCTACACCATTTAACATAAATTTGCATCCTCTTTTCTTACAATGAACAGCTATGCTATATCTTTCATTTGAGGTGTAACGCATGGCTTCCATTAGTGTCATTTTGGCAGTCATTTACTCCTGATTTCAAAATATAATGATTTTCCATTTTTACCTACATATGTTTATAATGTTAATTCCAATGACTCATTTTTGTCAGACATTTTTAGTTTCTGACTTCCAAAGATTTAAATTACTGCAAGCCCTGTCACTGCATGACAGGATGATGTTCACTGACGGTATTGTTAACAAAAATTGAATGGTATATGGTGAAGAAATATCAGCTTCAGAATAAATATTTATTACAAAATGTTTATCAGTATTAGCAAAGAAATTCCCCACAGAATGATTTTGTTCACTCTGTGGTCAAGACACTATGCAAGATAAAACTGACTTTCTGAACCATGGTCAGGTTGTCAATATTAGCCTGTCACACTGATATGAAAGCAACAAAAGTAGTATTTCGTATCTAAAGTTGATCAGTGTATATATTCAATGTCAGAATTTTTAAGTGGAAAGAAACATTCTGTCATGGTTGTAAGACTGGTATGTACTTTGTCATTATACCCCCAAAAACGAAGTTTGGGGGGGTATATAGGAGTCACCCGGTGGTCGGGCGGTCGGTCGGTCCAGACGTCCGTTGCATTTTCCTTGTCCGGAGCATAACTTGAAAACTAATGGTTGGAATTCAATATAACTATATACAATGGTCAAGCACATTGAGAGGAAGTGCAGTGCACAAGAACCATAACTCTATCTTGACTAATTACAGAGTTATTGCCCTTTGTTACTTTTCCTTGTCCGGGGCATAACTTGAAAACTACTGGTTGGAATTCAAAACAACTTCATACAATTGTCAAACACAATAAGGGGAAGTGCAGTGCACAAGAACCATAACTCTATCTAAAGTAATTACAGAGTTATTGCCCTTTGTTGCTTTTCCATTGCTTTTTTTGGCTTGCAGCCACGGTTGCAAGCCATTTCATTTGGAAAACCTGTTCCGGTTAGGTGGTTTTCTGCTTACATTTATAAGTGCATGATTGAACGGGAAACCAGCTGAAATCGTGCCAATCGCAACTTTTCGGCCTTTTCCGTCACTCTTCGGATTAATGATAATAGCCGATGTACTTCCGATTGCACTCGTGACAATTCGGGCGATTCCGTCATACTGCGGAATCAGACGAAGTAATATTACGGAAATCTAAGCTATTTTAGTTACTTCGGTAATCCCAGTTTGTTTATATAAATAGGATTCGTATTTTTACTTGATTTATTGATTTAAACCGTAATAAATTATAAACGAAATTGTTCCGTTTCAGTTCTTTTTCAAGACGCAAAAGTTAGTTTCTTTTATAATTGTTTTTTGTCTGTATTAGTATTTAGAATGTTGACTGTAGTAGTATTCCGTCTTCAAAGGGTGGTCCAAATCACACAGTGCATGATCGAGTTATATTTAGATCTACTGAACTTGGTGAGGTAATCTAAAAATAGCCCATGCATATCATTAACCTTACCACGTGATGATTTATAGATAGCGCATCGTATCTGGGAACATGCTTATTAATTAAATGAAATGTGCACACTTGTTTCCTTTCAGTATGATAGATCTTCACGTTAGTATTTTTACGATTGATTATTTTCTTTATAAGTTTTATACAATAGAGAATAGATTTCAAATCGTTTTGACAAAAATATTCGTTTTTACAAAAATAAAAACAAATAAGTATGTTGGGATGAAGGCACAACTGTGCAAGCCTTTCCTTTTAAAAGGAAACTTTATTTTGTCTGTTGCATTTTCCTTGTCCGGAGCATAACTTGAAGACTAATGGTTGGAATTCAATATAACTACATACAATGGTCAAGCACATTGAGAGGAAGTGCAGTGCGTAAGAAACATAACTCTATCTTGACTAATTACAGAGTTATTGCCCTTTGTTACTTTTCCTTGTCCGTGGCATTACTTGAAAACTACTGGTTGGAATTCAAAACAACTTCATACAATTGTCAAACACAATAAGGGGAAGTGCAGTGCACAAGAACCATAACTCTATCTAAAGTAATTACAGAGTTATTGCCCTTTGTTGCTTTTCAATTGCCTTCTTTTTTTTGTCCGGAGCATAACTTGAAGACTAATGGTTGGAATTCAATATAACTACATACAATGGTCAAGCACATTGAGAGGAAGTGCAGTGCATAAGAACCATAACTCTATCTAAGGTAATTTCAGAGTTATTGCCCTTTATTACTTTTCCATTGCTTTCTTTTGTCCGGACCATAACTTGAAGACTAATTGTTGGAATTCATTATAACTTCATACAATGGTCCAGCACATTGAGAGGAAGTGCAGTGCACAAGAACCATAACTCCATTTTGACTTATTACAGAGTTACTGCCCTTTGTTACTTTTTCCTTGTCCAGAGCATGACTTGAAAACTACTGGTTGGAATTCAAAAACAACTTCATACAATGGTCAAGCACAGTAAGGGGGGAAGTGCAGTGCACAAGAACCCATAACTCCATCTTGACTAATTACAGAGTTATTGCCCTTTGTTTTACTTTTCTTTGTCCAGAGCATAACTTGAAAGCTACTGTTTTGGAATTCAGTACAACTTCATACAGTTGTCAAGGACATTCAAAGGAAGTGCAGTGCACAAGAGCCATATAACTCCCATTTTGACAGAGTACAGAGTTACTGCCCTTTGATACTTTCCTTGTCCGGAAGCATAACTTAAAACGTACTGGTTGGAATTCAAAACAACTTCATACAATGGTCAAGCACAATAAGAGGAAGTGCAGTGCACAAGAACTATAACTCTCTCTTCAGTATTTATAGAGTTATTGCCCTTTGTTCTTTTTCTTTGTCTTTCTGGACTTATTACAGAGTAATTCAATTAAACTTCATCAATGGTCAACCACATTGAAGGGAAATGCAACATACATGAACCACAATTATCTTTAATTGCCCACAACCGTAACTCTATGTTTCAATTCTTTTACAAGGTATTCTGTTACTAGTAACATCCTCATTTCCGAAGCAGACTTGTTGGGGTATTAATCACATTTAGTGATAGTTCTAGTTCATGCTTAACTTACTCAATTGAAATGAAAGAAGTGAGAAGGGGGAATTTATATATTTTTTCATTAGAAGTATGGGTTTTTAAAGTTTTTAACTTTTTTTACTTGGGATTTTGAAAAAAAAGTTATTTTTTCATAGTACCCGTGAGCTATCTTTCATATATTGATTATAAAATGTAAAATGGAAGTTAATGCAGTTTTAAAAATTGCAACTAGTTTGGATTTTCTTCCTGAAAAAATGTTGTTGTTTTTTGCATGAAATACTTATGTAGTTTCACATCAGATATGATTCAGATATCAGAAGGAAAGTTAAAATATCTGTTCAAAGGGAGTGTGGGGGACCTAGAAATGTGCTAGTGCATGATCTAGCTTGGTTATTACAGCTTTGCACAGAGAATTCCAATATTCATTATATATGTATACATGGTCAGACACTGTGCTAGAATAATATTCTCTCTGAACCATGGTCAGGTGGTCATTGGTCAGCCTGTCACACTGATATGAGAGATACATATTGACAGTGCAGATATTTCTTTCCCGCTTTTATGAAATCATAATTTTTTAAGAAATGGTTCACTTGTAGTCTAACAACTTCTATCATTTCAGTGCTTGCTGGTGCTCTCATGGAACATGCTGAGAAGTTGTTGGACCGAGGAATTCACCCAATCCGTATCACTGATGGTTATGAGATGGCTGCTAAAGTTGCTGTTGAACATTTAGACACTATTGCAGAAAATTATGTCATCAATCGAAAAGACACTGATACTCTCACACAGTTAGCCATGACAACTCTTGGTTCTAAAATGTGAGTACATCATGTATAATAAACATATACAGTATATATAATACTCCTATTTGATTTGTATGAAAATGTTTTAAAGGTACATGTACATTTTAATTGATAATTACATAATTCCAGTAAAGTGCAACTTCAGTGGATTTTTTTTTCAGATGATATATTGTTAAGCATGAAAAAAAATGGCATTATATATTCATATGTTAATGACCAACTACTTGTATTTTGGTCCAGAGTCCTTATATTGCAAATAAATTCATTGTCATGTTATATTTTATGTATTTTTGTTTTCCAGTATAAACCGTTGTCACAGACACATGGCACAGATAGCTGTAGATGCTATAATGGCGGTGGCCGACTTTGATCGAAGAGATGTTGACTTTGAGCTCATCAAGGTGGAAGGTAAAGTTGGAGGAAAACTTGAGGACACAATGCTTGTAAAGGGAGTTATTGTTGACAAAGATTTCAGTCACCCTCAGATGCCTAAGGTTAGTTCATAGTCATTACGGATTGTTAAGTGAACAATAAATTTGAAGTACATAATTTATTTCTAATCTATGAAATAGGGAACATACTTTGTTTTCTTTAATAACTCTTTTCATCATATTGTAAAGGCATTAAAAATTTCCCAGTATTATTCTACCTAGTTTAAAAGGCAGTAGGTTATGTAGGGGTAAGATGTCTTTCTCTCTTATCGAAAGTATTACCTGTCTGAAGTGTTAATGGATGATAATGAAGTATTAATGGATGATAAAAATATAAATTTCTCTTAAGTGCATGGTTGATGTTATTTTCAGGCTGTCAAAGATGCTAGAATGGCAATTTTAACATGTCCATTTGAGCCTCCAAAACCTAAAACAAAACACAATCTTGAGGTGAAATCTGTAGAAGACTACAAGAAACTGAGAGAATATGAACTGAAAAAGTTTGAAGACATGGTTAAGCAGGTATATATCAAATACTGTATTCCTAGAAATTATTTTGGCCCTTTTATGTTAGCACTTTTCATTAGATTCACATTTCTGTAAATGTTATAACCACAAAAAAAGGCATCTAACTAATATGCCAATATTTATAGCTTTAACCAATTATATAATCATTACTTTGATGCCTAGCAGCCTACACTTAAATGATATACATTTCCAGTTAAAATTTCTCTTTGAAAAATAGTCTTGCTGTTTGAAAGTATCCATTATTTACAGAGTAATTAAGATCATAGGAAGACATATGCTTGCTTTCAGCTTCATTACAAATGTTCTTCCATAATCATTTATGTTTCATATAAAATACCATTTGATGAAATTAAAAAAAAAAAAATTTCATTATACTGGAGAGGCCTGAACTAATGGGCTGCACTTTGATCTCCTAGCTCCTTGTTATTTCAGGATTGCACAGAGAATTCCATTATTCGTTATATATGTATAAATGGTCAGACACTGTGCTAGATAAATGTTCTCTCTGAACCATGGTCAGGTGGTCATTGGTCAGCCTGTCACACTGATATGAGAGATATATTTAGTTAAATGTTTCATGGAGATGAAAATTGAATTCAGTTTTATTATAACAGACAAAGAAAATGTGTGTTTCTTTTATCTTATTTATATATCGATGAATTCTTTAAAAATTTAGCTATTTAGCTTCTTTTAAGTTGTATGTAGATGAATTCTTTCAGAAAATCAGCTGAGGTATTTCATGGTCAATTTGAATTGTACTATAAGAATAATACTGCAATGTAAAAAAGAAATCTGATGGATTTAACTTTAATACATTATGTTCTTGTATATTCTAGGTGAAGGACACTGGAGCAAATCTTGTTATATGCCAATGGGGATTCGATGATGAGGCAAATCATCTGTTATTACAGAGGGAGTTACCTGCTGTACGATGGGTCGGTGGTCCAGAAATTGAGGTGAGAATATTTTCTGAATTTGTAATTATAAGTGACCCAGAAATAGCTGATTTTGTGTAAAGGATTTTCCCTGCTTTTAAATTTGAACAGTCAGTTTTAAAATATTAAGGGACTTCAATATAGATTAAAAATACAAAAATTCTGCTTCCAACAGTATAGAGCCTGGTCAAACTGTACAGATATGATGTCTGGCTTGCTCTATAATGGTGGCAAAGTTTCAGCAGATTAAGGGGTTAAATGTACACTGGTTTTAAGGTCTGACTATTTGTATGGAAATAATAAAGTGGAATACATAATAGTGTATAAACCTATGAAAGGTATATTTTAGATGTATACAAAGTAAATGAATTATTTGAAAACTATGCACACTATCACTTGCACAGACAAGTGAAATATTTCTCTTTAGTTAAGGCGAATGAATGATATTTTACCATGTTATATAAATACTATATATATTATTATGTGGTGCTTTTAATTCTCTAGTAAAACATTTGATTTTCATATTTTAAAGTTGATTGCCATAGCAACTGGTGGGCGTATTGTTCCAAGATTTGAGGAACTAACTAAAGAGAAACTTGGTAAAGCTGGTATCGTGAAGGAACTTTCATTCGGTACAACAAAGGAAAGAATGTTGGTGATCGAAGAATGCCAGAACTCTAGAGCTGTCACTATCTTCATCAGAGGGGGTAATAAAATGGTAAGTTCAGAATAAGTTCACATGCTATCATTACAATTGAATTTTAACCAGAAGCAAACAGATGCCTTTGTGATGGATCTAATACTTTCCAATTAAGATTTTTCATTTTAATAAAGTCTAGCCCCAGATCTTTTTGTTCGTATCACTAACGCTTGAAATTTTTGAGGTGATGTGATCATATTTGATATGTCCTGAGTTCTAATGAATGATGGAATAACCTGAACGTTTGCTTTAATGAACTTTCCCAATTTCCTTATGCTGGATAGCAATTTAAGTTACTTTTGAACTGGTTTCAAAACAATGCAAATGAAAGGGGAAAAGCCTTGGCCTGTCTATGAGAAGTACAATTTTTTTTTCAATAGAATATTTATTTGACTGAAACTTTCAGATCTGTATTTTGCAATATATTAAGGTTTTAAAGATTATAGAAAAACTAATGCAAATGTGCTATGTTCTTTCTTTAGATTGTGGAAGAAGCAAAGAGAAGTATACATGATGCTTTGTGTGTAATACGTAACATAGTAAAAGATACAAGGATAGTGTATGGTGGAGGGGCACCAGAAATCTCATGTTCTCTTGCTGTAGCCAAGGCTGCTGACAAGGTTAGTGTTATTTTCATCCTTGATCTGCTACATGTAAAACACTTGCAAAAAATAAAGGAGATCCCCGGAGAGCAACAAAAACAAAGTTGCAAAATTGGGTTTTATTTGGACAGTTTATGGGAAATAGTGAGTTTGTGCAAAATCATTCATGCACCCAAGCATTAGCTTTTGGAATTTTTGATTAATGTTTTGTGCAAGAAAGGTAATTGAATAATTAACTTTATACATTTACATGCTCAGAGAATTCCAGTATGTTTTATATAGACATCATGGTCAGACACTGTGCTAGAATAATGTTCTCTCTGAACCATGGTCAGGTGGTCATTGGTCAGCCTGTCACACTGATATGAGAGATATATTAGATTAAAACCTTTGTTTTCTTTAAATAGACTGCATATTTCATATACAGTTAAACTTTGTTCGCTCGAATTCAAGCAGTGTTCAAAATATGTGTATGTTTATTATAGGATTAATACTTTAAAGAATGATTTCATAAAAGATTTCCAAATTATTTTACAGCAGTATATATTTGTAGTCATATATTAAAATAAACATGTACACAGTTCATTCTATAAATAGATAACAACATAGGTAGAATACACATTACGTGAACTTTTCCTGGGTACTTGTGCACATTTCATTTATTTCCCCAAGTCATTGTCTATGTATCATAACTAAAGACTACAAGTAAACAATATTATCATAACAAACAAATTGATTAGCGAACAACACCTCAAATTATGTATCAATTAACCTTTATTGCCTTTATGGAGATAAAAATACATGTGACGCCAACTGTCAATAATGAAACCAAAAAGGTGTAAATTTCACTATATTTCTACCGAGGGGGCCTGAGATTAGGTTCTAGAGTTTGAGCGATAAGTGTTCGACCTATCAGAGGTAGAACAATATATATTATAAAGGAATTTTGCCAGGACTGGTCGGTGAGTTCGGGTGAAGGGAGGTATTCCAGCTAACGGAGTTTATCTGTACATGCTTAAAAAGTAAATTGCACAGAGAATTCCATTATTCGTTATAGATGTATACATGGTCAGACACTGTGCTAGATAAATGTTCTCTCTGAACCATGGTCAGTTGGTCATTGGTCAGCCTGTCACACTGATATGAGAGATATATTACCCTTGTATTTATTTGGCATATTAGGATCTTGGAAAACATTTTATTGAAATTGAATAGTAATTTTAAATGTTACTCATTCAAAATGTTCAGCCATTTTGCTTGCTTTATGTTATGAATTCATTTGGCAAATGAGATGTCATAAACTAGAAAATCGGAATGAAGATCATAAACAATACCGGTAGACCTGAGCAAGTAAAAGTAGTCTTTGTATAAACTGTGAAACTGTAAAATTGAAATTTGTCTTTAAATTTTGTACCATCTATATAACATTAATGAAACATTTAGCTTACATAATATTTTTTCCAAACAACAGCAATAAAAGAATGTGACTGAGATTTGTAAAAAAAAATGTATTATTTCAGATTTCCACATTAGAACAGTATGCAATGAGAGCATTCTCTGAAGCTCTTGAAAGTATTCCTCTAGCTCTAGCTGAGAACAGCGGTCTATCACCTATACATACACTAGCTGATGTTAAATCTAGGCAAACAAAGGAAAATAACCCTAGATTAGGAATTGACTGTCTCAATAAAGGAACAAATGGTGAGTCTTCTTTCCAAAGTTTTCGTCCATTGGTTGATTTTATTTATACTAGAGGCAATGCATTCAGTTCTAGTCAGGCCAGCTTACATATACCTGTAGTATGATTAAACTCTACGTCTGTGTCTGTGGTACAGTAGTCATCAAGGTAGTTCACTTCAAATCACTAGCCTCTTAAAGCTATGGGTTCAATTCCCACCCGATTTTGTATTCTTTCATAGCTGATTGAGTGTCTGTGATTCTACTAAATTGCCTGCTTGTGTTTGAAATAATGCTCAGAGGAGCAATTACGATCTTCCTCCACCAGTGCAGCTGTGAAGTTGTCATAATGACCTTAAAAAGTGCCCAGTTTGACTGAAAAACTTGACCAGTACAAAAAATTTAAAAAATCAAATTTTACATTGTTGTGTTACATTTTGCACACAAATTATTTGTCCAGACCCAGTGGTACATATACCTGGAAAGAAAATGTGTCTTGCCTGGTCATCAAAAAACCTCCTGTTTAATTACTAGCTATGGTGAACGCCTGAAAATGTATGAATTACTGTCATTCATTTATTATATACTTTAAACTTTATTTAAAAAAAACAACTTTATTACATTCAGCGAGATGAATAATTCTTGTAAAATAGTAAGAGAGATTTAATGGTGGCTTTATTAAGCAATTGTTAGCTGTAATTGGTGCGAGTGTATTGTTGAAGTACAATATTTCTTTTAAAATACATGTAAGTTTGACCAATAATATATTTATTGAAGCAAGAATTGAACTTGTTAACTATAATTTTATATACACTTACAGATATGAAAGCCCAGAATGTATTAGAGACATTATCATCAAAGAGAGCCCAGATCATGTTAGCTGTACAACTTACAAAGATGATACTTAAAATAGATGATATTAGAGCCCCAGCAGATCATGTATTACATTTATGATATACATTCTTTCTATGCATTTATGCTGTATACTGCAAAATCATTATTATTTGTGGGCACTAATTTACAGGGTTGTCATGGTTAGGTCAATATCCAAAGAAATTACATTGGAAGATTATTTTGCATCACTTTACATTTTACCTTTTGGAAAGATAAAAAGTCTACAGATTTAAGCACCCGCGTCAAGGTCACAGCATGACTTTGCAGCAAAATCGTGTCCGGTCCATAACTTTGTTATTTGGAGTCGGATTTTAAAATTATTTCACAGAAATAAGCACCATATTAAGAGGATGTGTCGCGCGCAACATTTGGGTCGCTACCTTGAAGGTCAAGGTCACAGCATGACCTTGCAGCAAAATCGTGCCCGGTCCATAACTTCAACATTTGAAGTCGGATTTTAAAACTATTTCACAGAAATGATCACCATATTGAGACGATGTGTCGCGCGCAACATTTGGGTCGCTACCTTGAAGGTCAAGGTCACAGCATGACCTTGCAGGAAAATCGTGTTCGGGCCATAACTTTGTTATTTGAAGTCGGATTTTACAACTATTTCACAGAAATGATCACCATATTGAGACAATGTGTCGCGCGCAACATTTGGGTTGTTTTTACGCTTTGAACTTTGTCTGTGACATAACTCTGACACTACAAGAGGTATACCTTCCTGTGTCCAAAACCTATTCGGGGAGCATCACCCGGTTCAACCGGCTCTTGTTTATTTATGAACTTATCAACATTAAAGTTATAATTATTTATATTTACTTATTCTAACAAGTTTTAAAGTCAGTATAATTAATGACTTTGAAAAATTATTGTTCTAATATTTTACGCCATATTTTACAAAATCCAATATTCACAACATCAAATTTATTATGAAAAACTATTACTAGTATACAGATATCTATATTTATCTATCTTTTTGTAAAAGTCAAATTGCTATTCATTGAAATAAAAGGTAACTGCTTAATACATATAATAGGTCTGGTGCACTACAAATGCACTTATGAAGTACACTAGCAGTGCACTTTGAAGTGCACATCTAGTTCACTCCTAGTGCACTTTGTGTAACCTTTAGTGTGAACTCGACTGTATGTGACAAAAACACAAAATTTCATGCCCTCAAAAATTAAACGAATTCACAGTATCATATCTTTACATTTTATATGTGTACATTTTATAGGTTTACATTCTTTCTGTACATATATGCAATATACATGTACTGACAATTTTGATGAAACAATTTCTCAAACATGATACAGAAGATTTAAGCTCCATTCTGCCAGTGAGCACATGTTAAATTGCATTACAATTTGGAATCTCGCAAGAAACTGATTTATTTATGGACACAAAATGCTATTTCTTGTTATAGTTTTGAGACATTGTAATATATTGAATTATTGTATATTTCAGATGATGTGAGGTGTGAAGATATCGGAGAGAATAGTGTGTGTGTTTTATAAACGTCTACCTACACTATCCACATGTTACTGTGATATACAAGAACAAAAATCCAAAGTGCACATACATTGATTATGTAATAAAGAACTACAGAGTTGCAAAATTTTGGTGAAATAATTATGAAACGGCTTTTAAATAAAAAAAACAACAACTGTTTACATTTTGACCACTGCTAGAAGTCGACTGAATTTTTATAACATTGAAGGAGATTTAATATGGTTTGATCCAGTAAACGTGACCTTTATTAAAAAATGGGGAAAACCATGAAATAGAAATTATTTTGACCTTTATATGTAAGTAAACGTGTTGTATGTGTCACTTGGTGTAATATGTATTAAAAAGTTTTTCACAGTTGTGAAAATAGAAGAAAAAACTAAATTAGTGCATTTTAAATTACATATTTTGTTAATGAAGTGTTCATATTTTGCTTCACTGCAAACCCGATAAAAAGTTAAAAGCCAGAATGATTAATGGTGTAGAGTATAACAAAGTGGAATAATACTTCTAAATTTTATTTATTTATTCATGAATTCACTGTACATTTTAAAATGTGTTCTGACATTACAATCTATGAATGTTCATATATACATTATAAATCATGTGCATTGAAAAAATGTGCTTTGAATGCTTTTGATAATTTTTTTTATATTAAAAGTGTCATCATAATTAGAATTCTTGTTTTGTTTTTATCACCCTAATCAATAAAGAATACTGGTAGTGCAGAGTTATGTTGTTTAAAATCTTACGAGTGGGATATACTTGTGGCAATTTGGTTTCAGCAGCATCAGTTTGTTGTACAAGTAAATCGGTAAGAAAAGTGGAAATAGTTTTATTTTACTTTTATGTTGCCTGTGTTTGTTCAGTTGAACCACGGATTTATATTACAAATCCGTGGTTGAACATATATTTGAAATGAGGTCATTAAAGTACAATGGAAGATTCTACAATATGGTATTTCAAGCTCATGGTAACGTCATAAACTAAACGCATCTACAGATGCTGTATGCAGTCAAGTTAGATATCTTGTAAAGCATTAAAGTGTGGCACCCCTACAGATGGCTAAAATGAATCTTCAAAAGTGAGACTTTAAAAAAATATTTATATTAAAAGTGAAGGTTTCAACAATTTAAGAGGAATTGTGTTTTATGCAAAATACGATCGAATTATTATTTTATCTTTACATGCCGGGAAGCCCTTACAGCACCAAATAATCGTTCAAAGGTCAAGGTTGTAGTGGCCATGAGGGTTACCAGTCACCTATGTAACCTGAATTGGACGACTCTAACTCGTTTGAAATTCTTTGTTTAATTAAATGCGTCTAACAAATGACATTAATCCTTCAATAATTTTCAAACACAAAAATAAGTATGACGGAGAAAACATTGACTATGTCCTCAATGAAAGTAGATAAATGGTCTGATCTATGGCCTAGTGAACAAAGTATAGGGATTATCGCTTAAAGCCATACTCGGATCATGGCCATGTCTCCTCGTTTGACACCAGTACTGATTAGTTCCAGAAAGCGTGGTGGTTTTTGTACTTTCCCTCCGGTAACGGCAGTAAGTTACTGACTCCACCAGAACACAGCTGACAATTAAGAAGTATACCATAACTAGATGTCATCACTTACGCAAGGGACTCCGGTTTTGCTTCTGTACATGTCTGAGCAGAGGTACAGTGCGAATGAATTTAGAAAAGATTAAATGATCAGTCACAACTGAAGTAACGTCCGCCGTCCGAGAATCGAACCCGAGTCGACCGAATCACAGTCCAAGTCCCAGGAAGCTGATTTGAAAGTGATTAATATCAGCAAGAACTTCTTTCACAAAGATATTTAATGTAACAAACTTCCTCCTTTTCTATATTTATTTATTTTTACTACATTTCTATTCTCGTCTGACATATATGGATCTGTAAATGATAAACTCGGAAAATCGCGACTTTCCACAAGCTGTAACTAACAATTTATGAAAACATATTTATGATGCAAAATCTTCATATATATCACTGTGAAAATCGGAAAAAGCATAATGATAAACCATAAAACATGTCCGGATCATGATGAAACTTTTAAATAAAACTAAAATCAGAACCGAACATTATAAATGTTGAAACACATCTCGACCTCTAGAGTTATTCCGTCTGGTAACAGTTACACTCATGTATCTATTGACGACCACGGGATATGTCCTAATGGAAGCGGTAAAGGAGGAAACGGGACAGAACATACACCGCATGGACCCTGGTGAGACGGACATGGATGACCCGTACCGACAAAGTTTGAATACCCGATCGTCCTGAAAAATGGAACAATATGTTTGTCAGATGATGTTAAAATTTGAAATCGGGTGAATGGTAATATATTTATACATTAAAGAACATCTTGAAGTTTCAAGAACTTCTTATCTTCAAGTTAGATACCTTACTCTTATACACTGGGTAGCATTTTTTCCATACATTTTGTGCCGTTTCGGCTCTAGTAGCATTCAAATGACATTATAATCAGAAAGTAACTGGTGTCATTTCTGTCCTTAACATTAAACAATTGTGTCATAATTTAACAACTTTTTTTATTGTTGTTATTAGTATCTTCTTTTTTTATAAAAAAAGCAAAATGAATACACTAAAAAACAAATAATACAGATAAATTTTGAACTTTAAAACATGCATTGATCATATAAAGTGAAATAATAAAGACAAAACTCCACAATGAAAAAGGATTACTATAAGTGTTATGCTTGTTTTCCAATCCATATATATTTTGATGTAAAATGATACATGTTTTTAAATTTGATAAATAAAATATGTTTAAACTGAACAAAAACTAAACAATTGTCTCATGCAGAAAAAAGGAAAACAGCATGTAAAATTTAAACTGATTATTTCTCAACAATGCAAAAACATAATACAAGAACAACAGGGCAGATCATTTGAAAATATTAAAAAACAAATATTTTCTGAACACTTGTCATTCAAGTACTTCTGGATCGCTTCAAACAAATATTTCCTCAGACGCAAGTACTAAAATTCTAAAACTTATCTAACTTGATTCTTCCCTCCAAGAAACCGTCAGAAATATATTACTTTGTTCTTTTTTGTGGAATTATAAAGAAAAAATGCCTCATTTTGTTCTTTTTGTGGAATTATAAAGAAAACGAATGTCATATTCTGCATTCGGAATGCAAACAAAAACCACTTTTCTCGAGTTATTTTCTTATTGAAATTTTCTTGAAAATAGTACATCATTAATAAAAACGATGGAAAAAACGTCAATAAAGAATATACAAAATTGAGAGTTTTTGACGATGAAAATAAGTAACGAAAAACAGAAAACGACAAGCATTCTCATTATGCAATGTCGCTAAAAATTATGAAAGCTAGTTATTCAGAACTAGCAGATACTTGGAAACAAATGTCAGTTAAGTATAAAAGTAAACATTCGACAATCCTTTTTAATATGTAACGAAAACAGGTAGCTAATTAAACATAATTATCTAACAATTACCGTAATTGTTGATCCATTTGAGCCTTCTCGATCCTTTTGTCTTTAGCTCGGCGATTTTGGAACCATATTTTAATCTGGCTCTCGGTCAAGTTCAGAGTTTCTGCGAGCTCGAACCTACGTGGCCGTGTAATGTAGTCCGCTCTATTGTACTCAAGCTCCAGTTTTAATGTTTGATCGCTGGTGAATGTGGTCCTCTGACGCCGCGGTCTGTTTTCTCGCCGCCGCCGACGCTGAACTAAAATAAGAAAATACAAAAAATTAAAATATCAAACTGTCTTGTAAGCTTTTCAAAAATATCTCTATGCAACTGCATGAAAACTTCAGGCATGTTTGACTAAAATATTCATATAAAGCACTGTATTGTGCTGAAACACCATTATCATAAATGATATTTCTTAATAGTAGTGAAAAAAACCATGGCTACAATTTTCTGTCAAAGAAGTCCAATTGAAATTAAGGTTCCTATTATAATATTTCCGATCAGCTTGCAGTCAGGTTTAAATCTCCCTATTCCGAAACAGTCTACCAAAATGTATTATAAAGACTCATTCTGCTTCAGAAATGTAATTCTCAAAAGCTTTTCATTGATGGTATCCTATTAAAGTTTCCAAAATGTAAATTATATGCCATTTTCCTGAACCATCTTTTGTTCCTGTTGCTTTTCAGCGATAAGTACAGATTTAATGATTTGTTTTATTTCGTATGGAAGTCAAAGTACTATTTTGTTCACATTCATCTATCATGACAAATAATTTCACCTTCATTCATTTTTTGTCACTCCGTATATATGAATGTTCTGTTTCATCTTACATTCATGAATTTTATGACAGATATCAACAACAAAATTTCGGCCTCAATATTTTTTCTTATCTCTCGTTATTTATGAACACTGACTGACATGCAGTACTTTCAAAAGGGAGAGACCTTGTAGAAAAATGTAGGCTAACAAGTCTTTTCCTTTTATGCATTTATAATGCGATGTCCCTCACCAAATTTTACACACAAACGGTGTATTATTATACGATCTTATTATGAAACTTGTTACTTACAAATTTGTGCAAACGCTGGTGCAATTGGTAGTTCTGTCGGGAAATCTCGGCGGATAGCACAAAGTTCCGGCGCCATAAACTGGGTACGAAATGGGCGCTTAAAGAGAAGTTCATCTGCCAGATGGCAATTTGGAGACTCATGTTGACGGACAAGACCGGAGAAGGCCGAATACGGTCCGCCTATTGCAAAATGTCCACGTGCCCGTGCCTCTGTATCTAGAATTACAGACCGATTGTCGCTGGTTGAATCTTCAGTCGAACTCGTATATTCTTTCTGCTCGCCTGTTATTATTGCCATAGTAACGGTTTATTATTTTAATTTATTCTGATTTTAGTATATCCAACAATATCAATCTAAAACATTACGTATACACCAAAATTTAATAAGAATTTATACTATTCCTATAGAGAAACTATATTATAAATTAACATCATCTTTCTATGCAGCTGATTTATTTTTCTTGCGTTAATCCTTGCAGGAATTCTACAAGACTGCGACAATATCAACTTCTGTGAACAAGGCAAGTGTCCCGGGTTGTTTTCATTGTTTCCCTTTTAGGCATTTATTTTATTGGACGTTAATTAAAGGTTTCCGGTATGAGGACGTGTTCTCTATTAGATAATTTCGTAGGCAATCTCAATAGGAATTAACCACCCTCTTTACTAAAGCGTTTCTCATGAAAAATTGATAGCTAATTACGGCGTCTTGTCGTTAAGGGTTATCACCTGCTACATTACAACTAGTTTAGACGACAATAACTATTAATTTTACTGCTTTTTCTATTAAATGATAACAATTAAGAAACAATCATTGCTTTTCGTGCTATTCATGTTTCTCCTCAAAGTGCTATCTGTTATGACGGATTAATTGATACTGATTTAATTGAAACTGTATTAACATGTCACGAATAACGTTGTTGCAGGATGTATTATTGAAGAGGGCACTAAATATATTGTCAGATGATATGTTAATGTCTTTCTCTATGTTTCAATATTGATATACAATGAATTAAAATATCTAGGATTAATCCATGATAAATTTAATCTTCTTGTTGATTTTTTTTCTGTAAGGAGCCACCATAATACTTTTACGTAAGCATTTCATATCACCGAGTATAAATTCTTACTTGAAAGATTGCTTCTTTGCTTTCTTTCCTTTTTTAAGATTATCTATCCATACAATTTCATGTTGTTATTTTGTACACGTATATATACATTTATCACTATATCAGCTCTACATGATAATAAATTTATAATGATCATTAAAAATGAATACGTGTAATATGTTCTACATGTATATGTGACGTGTGAACACTCTCTTGTCGACTCAGCACACGCACTGTTTCATACAACTTTTATGGTATTCTCAAGTCGCTCCGCGGAGAAAGAATTGTTTGTTAAAGAAAACCCGTCATTCTAAGCGACAAAGATGAGATGAGGTTTTGGTCCGAGAACTAGCTTTGCCTCTTACGATATTTATCTTTTAATTCAAAGCGGGCTAAACACGAAGCAAAATTGTTCTATTTTCCTTTTTTCACAGTCATAGAAACTGGGCCTTCAGGAGCTTAATTAATTTGAGTAAATATAGCATAATGGTAAAATATGCAATATATTTTACCTTTCACCATATCAAACATTAGAGACGTTGCTTTGCTTAGACTTCTTATATTTATTTGAAATATTTAATGGAGCTCTTAATAGAAATCAGCAGAGGATGAGAAAAGTATTTTGACCACTGTCCGAGGATATTTAATTCCATGTTTGATCTCTGTCCCGAAGATGTCAGATCCCATGTTTGACCATTGCCCAAGGATGTCAAACCTCATGCTCGAGCAATCGTCTCATTTGAATGTTGGTTCTGAAGATAATGGAAGTCTTTTCACCGGAATGGACGTTAAAAATGTGACGTGTTCGAGAATATTCTTGCGAATACAAAGTTACAAAGAAAATCATTTGACGATGTTTTCTGAAGTTAAACAGAAAGTTCGAAATTTCTTCTATATTTTTGTCCCCAAAACCATGTCCTTTTAAAGTGGCCAAATTGTACATAATCTGCCTAAGTCTGGCTCACACAAACTGCACAGCAATACTGAATTAACTGCAACTAGTACTTTCAAGAAGGGACATTCTGCCACTCAACAAAGCTGTGTATCTAGCCCAAAAGTTGAGCTTACCTGAAACTTTATTTTGGCAATTTAAGAGGCGAATTTAATTTTGTTGCTTATAACAAATAAATTATTGATAGGTTATTCAAAGTAAACAAATAAATAATATATATTATAGTAAACAAAATCGACAATAAAATAAATTATATATAATTTATTAAGTTAAATCTTCACCATCTCAACATTTAGTAGCACATATTTATTGAGAAACAATTAAACATAAGAGTTAAATACAATAAACATGTAGTTAAATACAATGTGGAAAACATTATTTTCATAAAAAAGCTGTTTAGATAGTAATAGATACTGTCAGAAAACTTGAATCATTTAATTTTTTCATGGCTGAATTTCAAGTCAAATAAAAATATTTAATTGTTAGCTGCTACTCTTTAAAGAACTTCAAGCACTGTAGAACAATCAACATTGTGCTATATGGTAACTCTCATGACATTACCTTATAAATCTATAGTTATTTTAAACCATAGTATTGACAGGTACGTGATTCAAAAATCAAAATCAAACACCACTGAGACTACTATAATTCTGAATGAAAACATTGCCATGCCACAGTATCATGACTCAGACTGTTTCACAAATTTTTTTAATGGAAGGGTGAAAAAAGTCAGTGTCTATGTATCACCCATTTGTTTTTAAAATCACTGTATCATTTCATTTAATAAATATCATATATTATAACATTTTCTTCGATCATCATCCCGTCATTACTCATATAAACTTCAAATGTCCTCTTTTATCAGGCTATGCAGATAACAATTGTGTTTAAATCATTGATTATCAATGATCAATATTGCCGCTGTCTTTTGATTTTAAGACTTTAGAATTTAGTCTGAATTGGCATCAATAGGTTTAATAGCCAAGTATTGCTTCCATCATCATCATCATCATCAATACTCATCATCGTCATCTGACATCATCATCATAAACATTAATCATCATCATAAATCAATCATCATCATCATCAACATCATCATTGGCTGTTGCTGCACTCACTACTTGTGCGAGATCTTCACCACTTTTCTTTAATCTTTCTCCTGATAAAAGAAATAAATTGTCACAATTATTTTAACAAATTCTCTGTACATTCTTTATATAATAATTATCACACTACATATTTTTCTTATAAATAAATAAAGCTTTACTTTAACAATTTTGCCACAATTGGTAATTTTATCCTTTAAAAGATCCCACTTGTATTATGATGCAAAAATTATACATGTGGATATATGATATGATGAAGGATGCTGACAGCTGAGTTCTTTCTTCATTATGTGCATACTAAAGACATGCATGTGAGTTTTTTCAGACTATTCTTTGTTTGGTGTGAAAAAGCCCACAACACTTTGATGAAGTCATAGCCCATATCAATAGTAAAGCATGTACAGGAAATGGAAATTTCTTTTATCTGTCGCCTGGCCTGGTAAAAGCACATGCAAGAATTTTATTTCTATTTTCTACAGATACACACATTTTCTTGACAGAAAAAGTATATTATTTCACGAAGACATTTTATGTTAAAGTTATGACTCTATTTAAGAAAATCTAAACCACTGGATGAAAATTTGCATAAACTATAAGTTCCACAGTCCAGTTCCAAATATATGTATGAGGATTAATTATTAATTTGATTAATTTTTAATCAAAAATTCCGACAAATTGTTCAAAAACATTCATTCATGTTAACTTTTAGTCATGTTTTACTGTTTTGATATTTTCTCAACTTGCAGCGAAATTTTTCCAAAACAAATATTTCTACATGTATTAAACAATAGCATAAGCCTTATATGCCTGGCACGGAGAGAATTACGGTTAAGATAAACAATAGAAAGGCAAAGGTCAAGGTCTAATACAATTTAAACAATAACTGTCTAGTATGTTTTTATTTGTTACTACAAATTGTCACTAGCATGGAGATAAAAAATATAAGGATTGTAATTGAAATCATTCTGTTTTCTAGTAATATCTATTTGCTATCAACAGTGATTCTATAAATTTGTGTTTTAAAAGTTACAAACCAGAAACTCTTGAATTTCATACATAATTTACCATTAAAGGAAACATAACTCTTACCACATAATAGTATATGGTAACTTAAAATTGAACCTTACCAGCATTTTGTTATTTTGTATTTGTTTTATTGTGTGGGAACCTTTAAATTTATATTCCATTTGCCTTTTAAAGGTAGATAACCTTATCACAAACTAGTGTGTTGTAGTCTAAACGAAAGTTAACAAGTTGTCCTATACTACATAATACTTGCAATTTAGATATGAATGAAAGTGAAATTTTCAAGTTATTGTGCTGAATGAATAAGTTACTAGCAGCGCCATGCCATAATATATCAAAACGAGACAAATCAAGAAATTCAGACAAATCAATGTAAGCTAGGACACATCTTCAGACAGGCAAACAACATTAATAACTTACGTATTAATTCAGCAATAGCTCTTTGAGTTCTTCTCTCCAATTTTTCTAATTTCTTTGCAACATCTCGTTTGAGGTCCCAGTCTGGCTTTCTAGGTGCAAGGTTTACTAAATCCTATACAGAGGAAAATAATAATCATGTTGACCAATTACCTTAAAACAATTAAAGAAATAAGAATTTTCTGCTGACCTTATGTTATTCTTTGTATACTACATCAAATGAGAGATATTTATAATCCCATGTGAATGAACTTCCAATCATACTTAAAAATGAAATTAGAATATCCTTTCCTAACACTTTTGTTCACTTCGTGAAAAAGAAAATCACAATTTGATGATCAATAAATAATTTGAACATAATATTTCATCATTCATTTCCTGAATGTGAACAAAATAAGTGCAAAGTATTTTTCGCTTGAACACAAAGCCAATATTATTTACCTAGCTGGAAATTAACAATAACTACAATTGTAGCCTTTGCCACCAGTATAGAGCCAGGCTAACCTATACATGGAGACTGACCAAGCAGGACCATTCCAAAAGTGGAGAAGCTGGCTGACGATGCCCTATACTGGTGGCAAAGGCTGACTACTAATGTTTCAAGCAGGGAAAGGGTTTAAAGCTACTTTGTTCTCCTCTGACCAAAAACTTTTTTTCTCTCTTTTATGAAAAAAGTTCATCCTAAAAAGGTCAAACAGTTGTTACAAAATAACACTTTAAGTCAACATACCACTTCTTCTATAACAGTGTCAGTTTTAGTAGCTTCTATATGTCCCTGTATCTTCTCTGTCACTGTTAAATGATATAAGTAACTTTAATATTCTGTCAGCATTGTTTTCTCATGACATAAATTATTATAACTTCAATATTTCTCATAAATAAAATTCTTTCTGAATTTGTATGTTCATAATTATTAATATATCATTTTACAAAAGGTGGATAACACATTTTTCATTTTTGGTACTTTACCCTACCAAAAACCAGACAATCATTGAATGTTTATAGGCAAGTAAGCTGTTGTTACTGAACTTTGACAATATACATATAGTTTGTTTATAAAGGAAACACAAGTTTACTCTAAAGCTACATTCTATTACTCCTCATACATAATGTATCATAACATTACTTTAAACAGCATGCCTCAAGATTTGCCTATTTTCATGAAAATTTTGAAAATGTTTTATTTAAAAGTAAAATATTGTGAAGTGAACAAATAAAGTAATTTACACATTGCAAACAGCACTTACAATCCATGTTCTTTACCAAATAGAGGTCAATTTATGCAAAAATAGCCATTACTGCATTATTTACGCAGTATAAATAATATTAAAATGACAAATACTGCAAAATCAGTCATTAATCACATATAACATGTATTTTTAATATTGATACTTAATCTTGATATTTTTTTTTTGCTTTTCTAAAAATCTTAGTACATTTTTCTCAAGTTTGATTTTCTTGATATATTTTGGCTCATCTGGAGGCATGCATGCAGCTTTAACAACAAGATTGCATTTGAGAAAAATGCTATGCCACCGCATTAATACAACACTAAATAGTAGTGTAGGAACAATTTTTATTTGTTTGGGTCGTCAGACCAAACAAATAATGGTAGCGAAATTTCAGAGTCTAATGTTGTTAATTGCAAATGCCGAAAGTAGTCCACTTTTTTGAAGCGGTGACTTCCCTTTATATGTACACTAACGCCGAAAAATTCAGGGGAGATCACTGCATAAAGATGGTCAAAGACAGGCACATTAATTTTCAAGCAAAATAATTCCCGAATGGTCGAAGATTTCTAATATTGTTTTATTGTATTTTCTGATCGAAAATAAGTAAATACAAAGCGGACATTCAATCTCTGACACAGAAGTTTACGACAAACCTAACAACAAGTAGTTCTCAGAACAGCTTAAAACTAGCAATTTAAAAGAAAGAAATATTTTTATTTTGTTACAAGTATCCAACAAATTACAACGCATTCAAAGTTTGAAAATAGCGTTGGCTTATAGAATTGTCAATAAATGCACAATCACAAATTACGCGGATGAATATGATTTTATCAATGAAAATACTATTTTTAGCGATGTCGATTACCGAATACTACCCAAACCGAGTAGTGGAATATATAGATTCTACACGTCGGACTGTTTGGGCGAGAAGATTTTCGCTAAATTATTTACTTCAATTTTAAACAACAGGTTTATCCTGAACAAAATACCTCTAAATTAATAAGGATTACTTGATGTTATTCAGACATTGTTTGTATAACTTCTCCGTGGTGCAGGGGTAACGCGCTCGCTTAGTGAGTGAGAGGTCTGGAGTTCAAATCCCAGTCGAGGAAACTTTTTTTTAAAATTCTTTTTTAAGTGTCTTTGTTAAGGAAGTAGCCATGATATGCAAGGATAAAGTGTAGCTGTCGTAAAAAATGAACATAAATGATATTTTGATGCAACTATAGTTATGCAGAATTCTGTATGTATCAAACTTTGGTGCCTTGCAAAATGAATTATAATACATAAAAATAAATTTATACAGGAAAATACATACAGATATACAGTACGATTTAGATTGCAAAGATCAGAAAATACCACAGAACTTGCAGCCCTTTGATTCTTTATAAATATACATAATATACATGCTTATAGTAAGCTCCAGGATTATTTACAGCTGTGTTAAACAACAGTTAAAGTCGTTACAAGCCCTAAGTTAGAATTATATGGTTTTCTTCAGGCCGGTTACATATAAATTCACCGTGGCTGAAGGGTTTTCGCGCTCGCTTAGGAAGCGAGAGGTCTGGAGTTCAAATCCCAGTAAAGGCAACTCATTTTTTTTTCAAATTGTTTAAGTCAAATAAACATTGGATTGAATATCAGTGTTGCAATTAGTCTTATAGCCAATTTACTACAATTAAAACGCTGGAAAGCATTGGTGGCACTACTGAGTATACATATAATCTCACAACCTGTACCTTTATTACATTCTGAGACCCAAACAAATTCAGCCCCTTCTGTGCTTTGATTTTTTATTCTATTGAAGATTGTCATAATGTATAGATCCCTGACCTATCTAATTCTTATTATCAGATTAGTGGTTAAATCTATTGTTAATCCAATAAAAGATCAGAGTAGGAATATATCAATGCACTTGAGTCTAGTGAATTTGGTGGTGAAGGTCATATTTCACACAGCCTAAATTTCATGACTACATCAAAGGACAACACAGTAAGACACTCAAAATCTAGGTCAGCAGATATCAAAGTTCACTTTACATCTTAATCTGTGCACATGGTTCAAATTTCATAGCTGTACATCAAAGGACAAGAAAGTAGGTCGCATCATCAAAATCTCATGCCATATATTTACCCTCTAGTCTTTGTCAATTCAGAGAAGAAGATTTTTCAAGTTTTTACTTTATACATATAAGGAAAACTATTGCCTCTGGGGCAGGGCAATTTTAACACTAGGGGCATAATTAAAACAACTTAAGTAGAGGACCCATAGATAATATTATATACCAAATATCAAAACTCTAAGCCTTGTACCTTCAGACAAAAAGATTTTTTAATTTTTTACTATATGTACATAGTGAAAATCAATGACCCCTTGGGGTGGGCCAATTTTGACCCCAGGGCTATAATTTGGACAATCTTGCTAGAGGTTCACTACACAATGTTTCATGCAAAATATCTTAACTCTAGCCTTTGTAAATTTATAGAAGATGATTTTTTCATGTTTTTACTGTATACATATTAGGCAAAACCTATGGCCCCTGGGGCTGGGCTAATTTTGACACTAGAGGCAAAATTTGAACAACTTTGGTAGAATACCTATAGATGATATTATTTATCAAATATTAAAGCTCTAAGCCTTGTACCTTCAGACAATAAGATTTTTTGATTTTATACTATAATGGGCTATAATTTGAACAATCTTGCTAGAGGTTTACTTCACAATGTTTCATGCAAAATATCTAGACTCTAGCATTTGTCAATTGCTAGAGAATTTTTTTTAAAGATTTTACAATAAGTTTTTATTATATACATAAAAGGAAAACAAATGACCCCCGGGGCGGGGCCGATTTTGACCCCAGGGCTATAATTTGAACAATCTGGGTAGATGTCTACCAGACAATGCCTTATGCAAAATATCTAAGCTCTAGGCCTTTTGGGTCTTTACAAGAAGGTATTTTAAGTTTTTACTATATGTACATATAGTGAAAATCAATGACCCCCGGGGCGGGGCCAATTTTGACTCCAGGGCTATAATTTGAACAATCTTGGTAGGCGTCTACCAGACCTTATGCAAAATATCTAAGCTCTAGGCCTTTTGGGTCTTTACAAGAAGATTTTTTAAATTTATTCTTATAATTCCTTTTGGTTGCCATGGCAACCAGATTTCTGCATGGAATGAAATTCTTTGAACAACTTTGGAAGCCCTTTACCCAAGGATCAATCCTGCCAAGTTTGGTTGAAATTGGACTAGTGGTTTTTCACAAGAAGATTTTTGAAATTCACTATATAATCTATATATGCGGTGGCATAAAAAGACAAGTAATTATTCAGGCAACATAATTTTACTCTTATGAATGAATTTGGGCAAACTAATTGGAGAACTACAGTTGTACTGAAGCATGGATGTTTTTATTACATCAAAACAGTTATCTCTGCCTTTAACCTGCTGAATGTTTGTAACAGACTTGCCCAGCTCTAAACTTGGAACAGACAAGTAAAACTTTAAGGTATTTCAATATCAAAATAAAAACAGTACTGAGCCTATATGTGGCAAAGGCTAAACAACTTCAGGTACAGTAGACTAAGTGTTCAGGTACAATAAGTTAAGTGTTAAGGTACAGTAGGTCAAGTGTTCAGGTACAGTAGGTTAAGTGTTCAGCTACAGTAGGTTAAGTATTCAGGTACAGTAGGTTAAGAATCAGGTACAGTAGATTAAGTGTTCAGGTACAGTAAATTAAGTGTTCAGTTTCAGTAGCTTAAGTGTTCAGGTACAGTGGGTTAAGTGTTCAAGTACAGTAGGTAAAGTGTTCAGGTACAGTGGGTTAAGAATTCAGATACACTACAGTAGGTTAAGTGTTCAGGTACAGTGGGTTAGTGTTCAGGTACAGGTAAGTGTTCAGGTACAGTGGGTTAAGTGTTCAGTGAGTTAAGTGTTCAGGTACAGAAGGTTAAGAGTTCAGGTACAGTGGGTTAAGTGTTCTGGTACAGTGGGTTAAGTGTTCAGGTACAGTAGGTTAAAATTTCAGGTACAGTGGGTTAAGTGTTCAGGTATAGTGGGTTAAGTGTTCAGGTGCAGTATGTTAAGTGTTCAGGTGTAGTAGGTTAAATGTTCAGGAACAGTAGGTTAAGTATTAAGGTACAGTGGATTAAGTGTTCAGGTACAGTGTGTTAAGTGTTCAGGTACAGTCGGTAAATTTTTCAGGTACAGTGGGTTAAGTGTTCAGGTACAGTAGGTTAAGTGTTCAGGTACAGTGGGTTAAGTGTTCAGGTACAGTGGGTTAAGTGTTAAGGAACAGTGGGCCAAGTGTTCAGGTACAGTAGACTAAGTGTTCAGGTACAGTGGGTTAAGTGTTCTGGTACAGTGGGTTAAGTGTTCAGGTACAGTAGGTTAAAATTTCAGGTACAGTGGGATAAGTGTTCAGGTACAGTGGGTTAAGATTTCAGTTACAGAGGGTTAAGTGTTCAGGTAAAGTAGGTTAAAATTTCTGGAACAGTGGGTTAAGTGTTCAGGTACAGTAAATTAAGTGTTCGTGTACAGTGGGTTAAGATTTCAGGTACAATGGGTTAAGTGTTCAGGTACAGTGGGTTAAGTGTTCAGATACAGTGTGTTAAGTGTTCAGGTACAGTCGGTAAAGTGTTTAGGTACAGTAGTTTAAGTGTTCAGGTACAGTGGGTTAAGTGTTCAGGAACAGTGGGTTAAGTGTTCAGGTACAGTGGGTCAAGTGTTCAGGTATAAGTGTTCAGGTACAGTAGGTTAAGAATTCAGGTACAGTAGGATAAGTGTTCAGGTACAGTAGGTTAAGTCAGGGTTCCCGCTGTCGCTCGCCAATGGCGCCAAATGCGACAAAATATTAATTCTGGCGCATAAAATCTTTAATTGGCGAATTTAACTGGCGCCAACGTAAGATAAAAGCATCCGACAACTAGTACACTTAAATGTCTTAAGCGGCGGCGTCTATTACATAAGCGGCCCAAATGTGAAAGGTCACGCGCTATTAGTTTGTTTATCAGTACCGTATAATCAATTATGTCATCAATTGTGTGACACTTTGGGAACATGTGAAGATGAGAGTGGCAATTTGTTAATTGGAACAATTTACGACTTGGAGCACTGATAATTACATGTGTGGTCAACAGGTGTTAGTAGCTGACAGAGAAGCGAAAGATCGTCCGTGATGTTGACAAACATTGAACTTTAGGTAAGTTGACTCAAATAATTACAGTTTGAATATTAAATCGGATGACAATTAAAAGAATAATTTCACTAATGATTGATCTAAAGCCACTGTTACTGCAATGTTAATATTTTCATATCTGATTGTAAAGGGCTGAAGTGTCTATTCATATGCAAACCCTATTAAAATAAACAATATTTTTCATTGTTAAAAATACTTAGTATCATTTCATATTTTGTTCTCATTGATTTTTAGATGAAGTCAATTTATAGTAATGTTTTTGTTTTTTTTATTTTGTATCTGTAGATCACCAGATTGTCGGGTAGAAGCTGGGAAAGATCTTGGCTCAGTCCAGTCTGTGAGAAGAACTGCTATACTGGCAAAATGGTGGAAAACAGGATGACTAACTTAACATGATGTTCTTGATTACATTTATGCTGTCATGTGTATATATTTAAATGGAATTTGAAAACCACATAATAGTATGTCTATATTTTAGATAATAAACATGTGCAGCTGTAATAAAATGAAATATTATAAATATGTGTTTGTAATCATAATGATATATAACTGCTAGCATATCTTAGCAAAGATAGGCATATCTCCCTTGCAGAATTATTGGCTCCAACTTTGGAGCCATTGGCTCCAACTTTTACTGATTGGCGAATTTTGTGGCGCAAACTAATTTTGACCCAGAGGGAACCCTGTTAAGTGTTCAGGTACAGTGGGTTAAGTGTTCAGGTACAGTAGGTTAAGTGTTCAGATACATGGGGTTTAGTGTTCAGGGACAGTAGGTTAAGAATTCAGGTACAGTATGTTAAGTGTTCAGGTACAGTAGGTTAAGTGTTCAGGTACAGTGGGTTAAGTGTTCAGATACATAGGGTTTAGTGTTCAGGTACAGTAGGTTAAAATTTCAGGTACAGTGGGTTAAGTGTTCAGGTACAGTGGGTCAAGTGTTCAGGTACAGTAGACTAAGTGTTCAGGTACTGTAGGTTAAGTGTTCAGGTACAGTAGGTTAAGTGTTCAGGTACTGTAGGTTAAGTGTTGGAGACAGGAGAGATATAAAAATTGTCACCATCTGCTGGTTTAGTCTGTGGTAAAGAACTGTCTTTTAAACTGTCATTCACTGGCTTGTAACTTCTAAATACAGGTCTGTAAAGAAATAAAACAATGATTAGCCTGTGCTGCATACACAATTTACATTAAATGAAAATCTGGTTACATATAAACCTGTGTTAAATAATTTACCTGTTAGGCCCAAAAAAAAATTGTCTGGTTTACTGCCTATCCTGAACATTTTTCTTTTATCTTTGCTACGAAAATTTTTGGATACAAAAAGTTTAATAAGCTTCAAAATTTTTGAATACGAAAAAGCAATGAATTTCTCGTTTCATGTTTCTTAGTAAAGCGAAAACAATGTCGTCTTTATTTGAGTAAGCATGTGCAATAATAAACCGGAACTGGTCAAACAACTGAAATGTAGTCTTTCATAAGGAATTTAATTACATGAGAGGATTCGATCATGATTTTTCAGATGTGACAGTTAAAATATTTTGTTAAAAGGTATTTATTTTTTAGTTTTGTTCATAAATAGGTCGTAATTAATGTAAATACACACTGTGTAAATTGTTTTACATTCCGCCTGATTTTCTGGCGGAACGTGCTATGGGTTTTATAGCAATTTTGATATGACGTTGCTTTGCCCAGAAGCAAAAATATCTCAAAGCGACGTCATATTTATAGGACTATATCTAGATAGATCTACTTTTTGTACACAAATTGTGACTCAAAACTTGTAAACAGTGTTCGAAATTAGCAGTAGTCCGATAGCCCCTGACTACTAAATTTCTCCCCGGGCTACCAAATTTTCACAGTAACAAGTCCGACCAGGCTACTGTATTTTCAGAGGCAATATAGACAACTATTTTAAACAAATGAATCATGCTAGTGAAATATCTTTTGAGCTAGTCAGGGTTCTCGGGGACGCTTATTTCGGCGTCCCGGTACGCATGTTTTTTACAGCTGGACGCAAATATTTCAGAGCAAGGATTCCACGTACGCTTAATTTTGCCTGGGGACGCATAAACATTACCAATTGTTTACAACCAGAAATACACAAATGCGTTAGCGCGTGTCAGTCTATAGGTAGGCGGTCCTATGCACATCGACCCATGAAGCGATTAGCCAATCAGCGATAACGCTTCCGATCATTATCACGCTATAGTGATCAGACTAATTAAATGTATACACGCGCTGTACAGTACATGTAATTCAGATATAACACAAGGTGATAGATCAACAGTTGATTGGAAATTAGCAAATTTTACCGACAAAAGGATAAAATTATCGACTATTTACGCCGCAAGTTTAAAGACTGTTTTCTCAATTACAAATGAGTGTAATTTGAATGATTGTCGAATATGTTTGCATAATAATGATTGTCGATTATTTTCGGCATTTTCTAGGCACAATTTTGCTTTAGTTTCATTCTTTCAAAATCGTTCTATAAGAGTATTAAGAATTTTAGATATTGTGCCGAAATGCCAGGTACACATACGCTTTTCTTTGATATTTAGATTCTATCCGAAAATTGATCCAAACATCGGCGATTTCACGTTCGCCAGAAACCCTAAAATTTCGCAAAAATTCTCGGTTTCCAAGCCAAACATGCGAATGAATTGTTCCTTTATTATTTAATCAACATTAAATCTTTAAATATCGATCTTCAATTTGCCCCCTTTTGAAGATATTTGCTAAAATAATTGTCGATCGGATGAATCTCTTACACACTGTGTGAAGCTGTACACGACTTTCCTATTCATCCCGCTAAACGCTGCCTATATAAATTTACAGTTTTTTTTTACAAATACAAACTTTTTGTCCTTAGAGTGGACTTATTTAACCAGAATAAAATTTGATTTGGTATAAAAGTGAAAAAAAAAGACGATTTCCATGTGTTGATGCATTATAATGAAATAATTTCATAATAAATATTAACAACAAAACAATAATTATACTATGTAGTTCAGAGTTTCTTTTGAATAACTATAAACTTTGGAAGTCTCTTGAAGATTCAAAATATCAGCAATGCTATTGTGAGCATTGAATGACTAATCTGTAAACATATTAATTGCGATGCGCTTTGGACTCCAACTTTTTCAGGGTTGGGAGTCCATGGACTCCATGTTTTAAAGTCCTAGTGAGAACCCTGCTAGTGAATATTCCAATCTGTTAGTCCAACCAGCCTAGTCGATTAAAATCCTAATTTATTACACTGTAAATTTCTGGTTTCCTTTCCAAACATTTGTGGTTTTCATGGCAAATATGCAATTAACTTTTTTCTATTGAATGTTAATTTTTGAACGTCATTATTCTCTAACATTGCTGCTCATACTGGGGCGAATAGTTATTGGGACGAATCGTTACTAATTGAAAATTCACGTGCTTTAATTACGATATCACAATATACAATGTAAGACAAATGATTTACTTTGGTAATTTTTCCTTGTCTTTATCAGATTCGCTATTATCACTTTCATTTTTATTTGTTTTATTGCGTAGATTCTTCAATCTCTCCTTTCGTTTCAACGCTTCGTCTTCCAACGTTCCTACCGCCGCCATTATTACGGTGTTGTACATGCAATTTACATTCCGTAAAAAAAGTAGATCATATATTTTTTGTGTACTTTGACCAAGGTAAGTCACTTTTTAAAATTATTGCCATTTACTTTTACGGGTTAACAATGCAGGTTACTATTCATATATATCAATGAATAATGGTGCAGATCAATTCTTGAAAATTATTTGAATACATTGTATCGTGGCAAGAAATTTAACGAAAATTACAGTCACTGAGTCAGCAGTAAACGATGCTCTGTCGTGGTGTATTGTACATATGACATATTAAGCTAGAGAAATTATTAAAATAATTTGTCGGACTGTTTTAAGAGTCAAACATTATTAACTTTAACCAGTTTAAGTTGAGATGATATATAGTATACATGATGATTTTGTTTGTTTGTTTATTTGTTTCATTTATAACGCCTTTTCCCAACAGTAGTATACATGATGTACACTAGAAATTCACCCAAATCGTCTAGCTAGTACAGTATAGGGAATGTCAAATGTACGGAAGCGTCCTGGTGCCAGTTTAACATGTTCTTTAAAAATTGATAACTCCTACGTAGGCAATGGTAGGAGATAAAAAACCTAATAGGACTTAAAACAACTTCTACGTAGGACTTTCCTATTTAGGAGATAAAGCTTTATTAGGAGTTTGTAACTCCTATGTAGGACTTTCTCAGTCCTACACATAGGACCTTGTAACCCCTACGAAGGAGATTAAAAAATCTAATTTGGAGTTTATAACTCCTACATAGGACTTTTGAGCTCCTACATGGGACGTTATATATCTCCTACGTAGGAGATATAAAAAAAGAGCCTAATTAGGACTTTATAGCAAACAGAATGCTCTGCAAATCTCAACATTACGGACTGGTCTACCGGCAATCATGGAACAAGATACATACCCACCCCAACTGAAATTTGAAATCTTTAATTTTGATGACACTTCACCTTTCAAAACAGTGTTTCATGTTTCTGGAGTGTGAAGTGTCTTGTGCTGAGGTGTCTGTAAGCATTTGCGATGTATTCCGGAAAACTGTTTCACAGCACTTCAAAAATTTTACTCGACAAGAAGCATTTCAGTGTCTAAAATATGAATATATCTGAATTATAAAAGGCTTTAAAGATAACATTTTCCATACGAACTAGCTGAACAAAACGAGCAAATTTATCCATTTTCGGTCGCTTTGAATGATTACATCCTTGGGAGTGGGGGGGGGGGGAGAGTTGTTTGTCCCAGCTCCGGAAAATTGCGATTTGAAAAGCATTATGCATGCATAAGTTTAAAAATGAACTATGTCCTTTAAACAAAGTACACTATTTTTGTATAATCAATGTAAATAAACGGACATAATACATAACCATCGTTTAATATATGTAATGAATGCTTAATTTATGTATAGAATGCATCTTTAAAAAGTCCTACGTAGGAGATACAAACTCCTAATAAGGCATTTTTTATCTTCTACGTAAGGAGTTATAAAGTCATACGTAGGAGTTATGAACATCTAATTATATTTTTTTATCACCTACGTAGGAGTTATCTTTTTTGATAGAACAGGCTTCCGTAGAAATGTCTTTTAATTAAGTGTTGTGTAATGTTATAATAATACTATACTCTCCTTAGTGGTGTGGGTTTGATTCAGAGGATACTAGTATATCTAAGTAAAGTAAAATTTTTATGTAAACTTAGAACAATGACTCATCGTCTGCCAATTAAAAAAGGTCTGCATCAAATGATCTTAGTACTGTATCTAGCGACACTTGAAAACGTGTACTTTTTGTGATAAGAACATGATTGGTGATGAATTTCACTATCTTTTGTAGTGTGTTTGTTCTTATCTAATGCATATTACATGTCGATAAATGAATAATACGGAACGTCGGTGGTTCTACTCAGGTGCCCGTTCGTGCCTGAAATAATGCACGGAAGGGCACCTGAGGTCTTCCTCCACCAGTAAAGCTGGAACATCACCATATGACTTACACTGTTTCGGTGCGACGTAAAACCCAAACAAACATAAAATCCTGGAAAATCTTGAAATCAAATCTTGAAGTTGAAAAATCAACAGAACTTTATCACATTGGCCATAGCTTTCGCAGAAGCGGTACCATCGAAGCGGTGGTGGGCCGGAGTATTCGTCGCAGAGGCGGTGGGGAAAAATTGTCATTTCCTGTTGTCGGTTAGTTTATGGCTGAATTTTTTTGTTTTAATGTTTTACTGGAAACACTAAGTGAGACGGGAGTCCACATATGCACTCTTTCAACTTATTGTCTTTGACGAACAGGGTGTATACACTTCTGTAAAGTTTGACGAGGGGACGCCATTGTTGCCTAATTTTGGCTAAAACACGTGCAAATGTGTGCAAAACGACCCCATTATACAAGGCATCACATATTTTTTTCACAAAACAACCATATTTTGGAACTTGTTGGGAAATTGTTATTGCCTGTTTTTGAAATAAATAACAAAAATGATTGCAACGCGAACGGCGATGAATTGATTGCAACGCAGTGCGGTTGGCCCGATACAATTCTTGTATATTTTGAGGGTTAACTTTTGACGTAACGCACTTTGAATTGAGTACAACCACTGTTGTACAGCGTCCACCGGATATAGCCCCTAAAAACACCGAAAACGAAAGTAGAAAGCTTCATACCGAGTACACACAAGGAAATGTTTTAACTTATAACTTCATCATAACTTCATCGATTTTTCCAAACTAAACAATTTTCTGGTATTAGAGCAAAATTTGCTTTAGTCTGCAAATTGAATACTAAGTATTCATTACCTGGGGTGTACTCGGCGTGAAGCTTTCTACTTTCGTTTTCGGTGTTTTTAGGGGCTATATCCAGTGGACGCTGTACAACAGTGACAACCTTTTTTTCTAACCTGGACATCTAAGAAACGTGCTTATTTGATGTTTATAACAATATAAATATATGTACGCTAATACAAATAGATGTCCGAGTTTCGCTTCCATTTTCCTTCCTTTGAAAATCCCTTTGGCTGGAATTATCAAAGAATAATCCACGATCAACCTAGGACTTAAAGGACCGTAAGTCCAGTTTCAACAATGAGTTTGTATGTTTAAGTTATCTGTCCCTGAAATTAAAAAATCAAATTCACGATCGTTGACCTCTAAGTTTTTTTTTCCGCTTGAAATGTTATGTTTTCATATTCTAACATCATGCCAACTTTTAAGAATATATATTGAACATCCTCAATTTTGCGTATATGTGTTTATAATACTGTACGTTTGTTACGTCGCTTTTCATTGGATAATCGTGACGTTTATGATACATGTACAATGTACTTTTATATACATGGCTGCCGTCGATTTATGAAATTATCTTATTTTTTTTTTCTAAAAAATGCTTGATGTTTTATTAATTCGTAATAAATATTCCGATCATGTTGGTCGTATATAAACGGTTGTTTGCAATATTAATACCTATCGCAATTCTTTATAATGCTTGTACATGTATGAAAAATTAGAAAATAAAGTTACAAAAAAAATAAAGTTACGAATACAAAAAAATCTTTATAACCAACTAAATGTCTCGATTATCCAATGAAAAGTTACGTTACAAACATGCAGCATTACAAAGTTTATTATACAGATTTCCAAACAACGGCCATATTTTATAACCTGTCAGAAATTTTTATAACTAATAATATGCTTTATGTTTGTATATCTCGTATGCTGTAATGCAAAAACATATGCACGGCCGTGCCAAGCTGCTTTTAATTAGTCAGAAATCGGCAATGGTATATGGGTATAACACGTGATCACGAGTTACATTTTAATGTAATATATATGCTATAGAATGGCATGTATAAAAAGAACTTTACATCTGCAGCCGACAGTCAAAGTCGCATACAGGTTTCGCGATCATATGTCATGGATTCACGCACAGGGGAGAAACAAAACCGATTTTGTATCATAGTTTGGAGACCTTTCTGTTGAAAATGTGTCGGGGTTAAATCGTATACATATACATGCACAGTGCGTTAACTGGAGTGCGGGTATTAGTTACCCGCACTCCAGAGCATGTCCTTGATTTGGCTCATTTTTGCTGGGGTTTACATATTGTGACGGCAGAGAAAAGGGAAAAGCGACAGAAATGTCATATTCAGATGTTCGTTCATTGGTTCTTTTTTGCCGGGTTTCATATTGTGACAACAGGGAACGTGCTTTTATGTTTGACTATGATACAAAAGAGAAAGAACACCGGAACACTCGGCAATCTGATTAATACTCGGGGGCTACGCCCCCTCGTACAAATCAGATAGCCTCGTGTTTCGGTGCTCTTTCTATTACTTATATTGATCATTGTTGGCTTCGGGTAACATGTCGGCCACACAATTTACGGTTATAAAGACTTACACCGTCAGATTTGGTAAATGTTAAAAATTAAAAGATCGCGATAAATTGATACTAGAGGTTGTACACTAGGATAATAAGAAAATATATTTTGGATGTAGGAAAAGAGAAAGAGAATCTAAAGTGTGTGCTTCTGTTATATAAGATGTAAAATTGGTGGTGTCATCGGACAGCAAATGACATAGTCCGGACTCGATATAGGCGTCGAACAAGCGATGTAAATGCTTCCTCCTCATATCCCCATTTGCGTCCGCGCCGAAGCGCGACGCCCATTATGGAATGAAATCAGATTTTGTGAAAGGGCAAGTGCAACTTCTCGAGCCTAATCGTCAGTCACAATAGCCGAACATTCCGATTGGTATGAGGGTGTTTGATTATCAAAATGAAAGGTCGCAATATGTACAGTGAATAGCGAACTGGAGAATTTCGCAATGCAAACATATTCAATGAATAACGAACTGGAGAATTTTGCAGGAAATGAAATGCAAACTGTATTTCAAAAAATTAATTGGGCACTCTTTATAAACCCTATAGAAAACATTTAAAGTTTATGCCATTTTTACGAATTGTTATATCTTTTTAAAAATTGTTTTTTCTTTTTTGAGCAAAAATCCATATTGGGTGACTTTTTTAAAAACAAAAAAATTTCCCCGGGGAAATTTTTAAATGATTATTAGGGGTTTTTAATAATGGGAATGTAAAACAAAGGGGGGGTTTTCCAAACATTTTTCAAAGTAAAAAAATTAAAAAAGTAGTTTATTTTCCCCAAAATAAACCCAAATTAACAGACTTGTTCATTTTGACTACTTTTAAATTATTTAAACAAAAATACGACATGAATTAATTCATAAATTAAAACCCAAATTTTTAAAGGATGATATCCAAAAATACTCTCTATTTTATTTATAAAAAAAATTTAAATTCCCAAATAGGGGGGATATTTTTTTGGATATAAAAAACCCTGAAATTTTTTAAATCGAAACATAACATGACAAATGAGATCATTAAAACCACATTACAATATTTACAATTTCTAAGTTGTAGCATATTATAACATAATTTTTACAATTAAATAGCCAATATAACAATTTTTGTAATTATTTAAACAAAAGTTAAAAAATTTACAAACCTTTAAATTAAAATTCACAATTCTTTTAAAAGAATTATTAATTTGTAAAACAACTGAAAAACATTGTTTCCTTTACCAAAATCATTGGACAACTTATGAAAACGGCGGAACAATTACAACCATGACTAACTTAACAATTTCCTAAAGGGGAAATTTACTTCTATAATTTTAATTTAATAAACACAAATGATTATTTTTTCCTTTGGGTCTCGATTCAAGTTAGTCGGGTTGCCAAGCTTTTATATAGTTTATGAATGTCGGACGGTGGACGGGCCAAAAAGTAACCATTTCTTTTGTTCAATTTTTTATTACAGCATGTTTTACCCGACATATTTTAATTTTTTTCGCCCATTAAGGCAAAAAGAAAATAAATAAGAAGATTCCAAAAAAATTTTTAAAAAAAAGGGGGCGATGGGGGGTTTTGTGGGTAATAATCCATTGGTAATGTGCAGTTTTTCAAAACTGTAATTTCTTTTTGCCCAAAATTTTGGAGTGTTTGCCTTTTTTTCTTTTTTTACATTTAATTTTTCCGGATTTAACAAAAAACTTAATAATATGAACAAAACTTTTTGTAGAAATATATTTTCTTGAGTAAAGGCTCACATGAACCGAACTTTTCCCTTTCCTATTTTTAAAAGTTTTCCCCTTTGTTTTTTTTTCCCTTTTTAAATTTTGTCCGGGACATTAATATGAACCAAGAAATTTTGTGGGTAGAAGATTCTTTGGGGTTTAAATACAGTGAAAAAACCCCTAACTCTTCCCCACTTTTGCCGGGGCCATCACGCGGTTCAACCGGTTCTTGTTATTGTTGTTGCTATTCGTTAATTATATGTATATTATATGTATATTCTTTCAAACAAAACAATTATGTATTTATTTTCATAACTGTAGCCCACCTCTGAAAAATCATAGACGAGTTTTGTGGGACCTTGTGCGAGATGTAACCAGTAGAGTTTACATGTTGTAAAAATTATGAACCGCAAAAAGAAAGATGGGGATGACAACAGCGACGACGGCAACAAGAAGGTACCAGAAATATTTAGTTATGTGTGAATATTTTTATAATAAAACAGAAAAAGAAATTGTTGATTTTAATACCCCTTTTGGAATAAACATTTTAGTATTGTCACGTTAAACACAAATGAGCCGTAACAAGACATTTTTTTGAGAAATAAAAAATGAAAGCAATTCCGATGCATAATGGCCCTTAAGCTTATGCCGTACCAGCCTGTGATAGGATGACGTTGATTTTATTATATATATATAAACGAACCTATTAGTTTATATATATTTTCGTTATAACACCAGGATTCTTTGTTAGATGTATTTTTGGGTGTTGGGGCTGCAGTTGGAGCCGTAGTTGGAGCTGCAGCGATAGGGTATGGAACTTATAAATTGGCAAAGTATGTTCAACAGGTAAGACACATGTGACCACTACATTTCGTAACTCATTTTCAGCGTAATAATGTAAAAGATGCAGTGAATGTTATACCATACAATTAAGTATATAATATCCTCATCCTTGATTAAAATATTTCAATCTTTTTTTAAATCTATTTTTATTGAAATCTATAGAAAATTTACTGAATATGTCTCATTTGAATAAAAGTATGAAGCTGCGTTCCCTATTTCGGTTCAGTAAAGTTGGTCATTTTGTGCAATTAATACCAAAATGGTAATCCCAGTTGTAAATTAGCGTAGGAAAAAGTTGATTATATGAATTATTGTTATTGATAAAACTTATATACGTATAGACTATGTACATTTGAGATGCTGTGTTTTATATGTCAAACATGCACATCGACGAGACTGTTTTAAAATAAAAGATGTAATATGTTGATTCTACCTCGCAGCCTTCCCTCAATGTAGACGACATTGGGGTGAATTTCAACGAATGGCGGATACCGAGGGAAATAAATAATCAAGAGATGAAACTGGCAAAACAATTATGCGATGCTAGTAAGTAGTTACAATGCTTACTATAGTATACAAGTACACGTATACATTTAAATGCTTTTATACTAGATATTTTAGCTCGTCTGTTTCGAGGGAAAAGTCCAGCTATTACATTGTATGATCACTGCTTCTCGCCGATGTCGTCGCACACAACTTTAATTGAGCCAATTATTCAGACATTTTAAAAGTTATCAACATGAAACTTGGATTTACAAGATGTATTTGTTAGACAAGGGGCATAATTCTGAAAGCTAAGATTTTGGGGTTATGTCCCTTTTTAACTTAGATTTTTTTTGTGTCAAAAGTGGTTATTTAAATAAACGAGCGTTCACAGTTTGATCATAGTATTCTGATCAATTGATTAAAGCTGTTAAATATAATTTTACCTTTTAAGCTCACTTTGTCGTCTGTCCATATTTGTTCGTTAACACTCTAGTGGTCACATTCATCAAACTTTGCCAGAATGCTTGTCTAGGTAATTGCTCGGATGAATTCGAAGATGGGCCATCTCGATGAAAACACTAGGTCACAGGAGCTAAAAATAGAAAAATCTTGTTAACACTCTAGTGGCTACTGTTTTGATCCAAATTTGCTTGAAATTAGTCTGAAAGTTTGTTTTAATAATTTCTAGGTCAAGTTCAAATATGGGTCACCTGGGGTCAAAAACTAGGTCACACAGCCCAAGTATGGAAAACGTTAACACTTTAGTGATCACAATTTTGACTCAATTATCATCAAATTTGGTCAGGATGCTTGTCTAGCTAATCGCTGGAATGAGTTTTAACATGGGTCATTTCGGATGAAAAACTAGGTCACAGGGGCTAAAAATAGAAAATCTTGTTAACACTCTAGTGGCTACTGTTTTGATCCAAATATCATTGAGATTGGTCTGAAAGTTTGTTTTGATGATTTCTAGTTCAAGGTCGAATATGGGTCACCTGGTGGTCAAAAACTAGGTTACACAGCCAAATATGGAAAACCTTGTTCACACTCTAGTGGTAACAATTTTGACTCAGTTGTAATCAGATTTGGTAAATAAGTCTAAGTAATGCTCGGTTGAGCTGTATTGGTCAAGTGAGCGCTCTAGGGCCATCATGGCCCTCTTGTTAGTTTTAAGTACTTGTACTTTTGTACTTTTACATTGTGTCATCTTGTTTGAATTAATTGATTATTAACAGGTTTTGTGTAGATTAATTATATTAAAGTTCTATTAAATACCTACATGTAACCCTTGCCACACCTTATCACGTATGACACACTTACATTCTTCACATTCACACATTTACAGAACAATATTTCATAAAATGACAAACGAATTCATGACTGCCTACATGCAACCACATCATACTTAAGTTTAAAGTTTACATATTCATATTTGAACACATACGTCTGGTTTTGCCGGTGCTGGGGGGGGGGGGGGTCCATGCACAGGCAAGTTTAAGACAGGCCTGTCACAATTTCAGTGTGGTCGTGTTGAAGAACGTTCAATATTTTTCCTTACTTCCTGACTTTTTTGTATAGGTATGTGCCCCTTTGATGGGCATTTGCCATGTTATCTTTGATCTTTTTTCCTCAGGTGACAGCGAGCTTAATATTGAAGAAGCGGAGTGGAATAAAGCGACAAAAGCTGTCAACAAAGTTTTAGATTTGTTGATGCCTGAAATCAAAAGTGAAGCAGCCAAATATGAAGGTCTTGTAATTGAAAATTATGTTAAGCAAGGTGAGATACATGTATATATCATTCCTTTAAAGGGAAAGTTATATGTTTGTACATACAACAATACAATGTACATCACTGTTTTTACGTTAGTGAGACGAGAATTCAAATATTTACAGCAAATTTTATTCCTATTAAACAATTTTCTTTTCAAATTCTTTAACTACAATTTTAACGAAACATCACATGGAATGGAGTTTTGTTACATGTTTGGCTGTCATATCTTTAGAACAGTCTAGTTAGGGTAAAAAAAAACATTCTACAGCAATATGCATGCAAACATACAGGAATCCGAATACACTTGGAATAGTGTCAATTTTTACACGAATTATACTAGATTCAGATATGATTAACTTTTTATTATAGCCTGTACATAATGGAAGTCTGGAGGTTCCGTACTGGTGCTAGACCAATATCAAACTTTCATGTTGATATCAACAAAAAATGATAAATGGATAGATGGAAACTGAAGTAGTCCCTTTACAATTTAACAGACTGAAGTAGTCCCTTTACAATTCAACAGATTAAGGGTTAAGTTTATTTTTGTTTGCGTTATATTTAATCAGTTTCATGCATACATTTACCTTTTTTCATAGGAAGTTCTCGTGAGGGCCTTAAAGTTCACGCAGCTGACGAATTTGACGTCCTTCTGCAATTCCATTTTGAAAATATCGATTATGAGGTAATCACTTTTATTGTATATACATGTAATTAAATAAAAATTTATTCTAATTGCATTTAATTAGTTTAAATGTAAATGTGAGTTGGATTTGCGACATTAAATATGTATAACATTATTTTCATACCTAAATGCACGACACATGTATATACAGTATGTCGTCATCGCTGATTTCATTCTCGTAACTCGTTTTTCCAGAGAAAAAAAATTATAATTTCTATTTTTGTGCCAGAAACGTTTAAAAGTCACTATCATGATAACAAACAAGCAAAATGGTTTGCTATTTTCTATAATGGTACATGTATGTGTAACTATTTATATATGCACAATTACATGTGTGTCTGTTTTGAATAATGTAATTGAGCTATTTTTTTCTTCAAAATTATATAAGCAAACTGCTTTAATATGTACTATATATAAATAATTAGGTTGAGCCTGTACAATCGGGTGCTAATGTGTTGCCTGAACTCGCTTATCTGTCTGTCAACAGTACCATGAAAGAGCTGTCTTTTTCACACGAAAAATTACATAGGAAAGGAGTTTTCTGCGAAATGCAAGGTGATCCGTATATTAGCACGATGGCGCTTCAAGAGAAAGTTTTCAAGTCAATTATCGCGATGGCTGCTGATCGAGTGGTACACAAGATCAACCACGGCCGGACTGAAGATACATTAGGGTTTCGAATAAGTCTTCGTACCAACCCACCATCAGTCAATATTCGAATACAGTTTACAGAAAGCGAAGATCCATTGTCAACAATCTTCAAAGTTCTAGAAATTTCCGAACAATCGTCACAGAAAGTAATTGACGTGGATATAGTGCCTGGTAATTTTCAATGTATACTGTTAAATTCAGTGCATGTTTTATCGAATGTGATATTTTCCACTGTTTGTTAAATAAATATTATTTATATAACTCGGTCGCGAAGAAAGCTTTAAGCCCATTTAACCACTCTTGAGTCCGCATCCTGGAACTATTTATTTCTGTTTTCATAAGAGGAAACATGTTTGAAACCCAAGTTAGAAGTAGAGTTTGGACTCACGGTTTTTGTAGATAGGAAGACACCTGAACTTTTTGGACAACTCTCGTTTTGTGTTTTATTTAATTTCACTCATGGGATTTCCCCGTTATAAAATTTTTCGATAAATATGTATAAATCAAGTGTTTCTATGGCAAATTATCTCGGCATTTTTTTCTTCTATATTTTCAGGGCTGTTGATATCTGATGACACTGTGCCTGACCCAACAAATAAAAGACGCACAATGAAATGTCCGAAATATGCAGTGTTTAAATGGTTTACTGAAAATCACAGATCCGCGACAGGCTACGAAGGAAGAGAATTTCTTTGGCGACTTTGTAGTTCAGGTTATGAAAAGCATGTAATGGATGTCGCTCAAGGAAAACAAGACCAGTGCCATATTGTCACAGCCCTTAGATTCTTAAAGCTGTACTTCCGAAACGGTAAACACAATGCCATTGGTAGAAATGAACCCCCGCCACAAGTTGTTACGGTTCTACGTTCGTATCACCTGAAACATGTAGCGTTCTACTGCATACTGTTCTTGCGAGTTATAAATAAAGAGAAGCTGTCCAGTGTCGATGATGCATTGACATATATGCTGGAGTTTCTGGGAGTTTGCCTTGAAGAAAGAAGACTTCCCCATTTCTTTCATGCAAACAGATACGTCACTTCAATGTTTCCAAGTCTAAAGTCTCACCCAAGAGAATTGAAATACGATTTGTTTCAAAGTAAACGAGGAGACGCTCTGAATCAGGCTATGCTGTCGTACCGCACAATGGCAGACGTTATATTTTCCGTTATCAAGAGACCTGCAAATACACATCGTATAGTGCAGCAATTTAGAAGTTATATTTCCTCCGGAAATTACTTTCAGTAATAACAGTGTTCAAAGCTTAAACAGCAATTAAAACCAGACTTTAGGGGGGACATGGTTATGAGTTTACTTGTCAATATTTATAAAGTTTTTGTTTCTTGAAATATTTGGTCTGGTCTTGCTATTAAATCTGTTATCTATTTCAATATATGCAGTTTTTTGTATGTGATTATTAAAGATTGGTTGAGTGGTTGCCTACTTGGTTTTTTTCTTTGTTTAGTCTAAACTAAGAATGGATGTACAAATTGTATTGAATATTGCATAGAATGGTAATCAGCGATTCAGTACTATTCAATTTCTACCCCGCGCAGTGAGTTAGGAAGATATTATAATGAATATGTTCAGCCATTCAGTTTCAAAGATCGTCTAGTACACGTGCTATGATTTGTATTTCAAGTTAAAGTGACATAATGCCCATTCAACGGTAAATAGTGAATGAACAGGTGAAAGTCAAAATTATAGATTTTATTATAGCTTATAATATTACTATACATTTTGCCATAATGCCTTTACTTCATATGAACGATATATAATAACTCAAGTGGCTCAAGGAATTTTTTGTAAATATCCATCGGAATTTACTTGTAATGTTTAATTTATATAAAGAGTGGGGAAGGTTTCTTTTTTATATTTTTGGCATATTTATATTTTATGATTTTTATCCTAAACATTTTCAAATATCAACCGTTGGTCAAACACTATTTTAACAGTCAATTCAGCTCAACTTGACAGTGAAAAAAGAAAAGAAAAGAAAACGAGCCGCGTTACAACAAAAGCAATATAGTGCATTTGCGACCAGCATGGATCCAGACCAGCCTGTGCATCCACGCACCCTGATCAGGATCCATGCTGTTCGCTATCAGTTTCTGTACTTGTAATAGGGTTGGTAAGCGAACAGCATGGATCCTGATCAGACTGCGCGGATGGGCAGGCTGGTCTGGAACCATGCTGGTCGCAAACGCACTAGATGTTGGTTTTGTCATGACGCGGCTCAAATAATGTCACTTTAACCAATGAAAAACTCTGTTTTAACCAATGAAAAACTCTGTTTTATCCGTGAAATATAATCTACATATATATTAGTCACTTTATCATAGCGCTTTATGCAAAACTTTTAACCATGCGACATCATAACCGATATTTAACATATTCTATAGACGAGAAATATAACCACCAATCAACTATACACATGTATTTGCTTAAAAATAAAGTAAACGGTTGATAAGATTTTAATTAAGGGTTGTTTGGGAAATTTTATATTTTCTAAAACTTCACAGAAAATATGTTTACATGTAATATATAAAATGCAGTCAGATATTAATTTTCCTCCTGAGATGTATGTATGCAATAAAACATTTATTTACCAATCTGTGAAACCCATAAGACTAGAGCTATAATAATTGTCATGAATTATTGTCTAGTGCACTCAGGAGTGTTCAAATATTACAATATTGCTGTGTCCCATGATCCTAAGATTCGGCGTGCAGTTAAATGACATACTAGTATATTGTCTGTCGTTATGTCATTCTTCTAAACGCCAAAATTCAATTAAAAAATTGCCGGACCAATAACTTTAGCGCACATTGGCCTACGATACTTAGATTCAGTGTGTAGGTTAGTCATGATGAGTTGACCAACCCGGTTTTTATGTCAGACTAACCGGTTAAAGGGCAAGTTCACTGTGACCCTTATCCTGAAAATCTTTTCTTCTTTTAATATGTTGGAATATAAATAACATGAGGTAACTTGAAGAATTTATTTTGAATAAAAAGTTGAGAACAATTCTATTTTCCAGTTGCGCCTCCGGTACAGAACTCGATTGGTTTTGATTTCAATGTTTTGTCGTCACAGTAAGCCTTTGAATATTCGCATCTGAAAACATGAAAGTATGTAGGTATTATCTTTCAAAGGTAGATCAACATATACATATCAAAAATGGGAAAATTCATAGATAGTATTTAGCGAGGGTAAGACAATGAAAGCGTTGCAAATTAAAGAAAAAATATTGTTACTAGATATTTAGGGTTAATCGATACGATTCAAAGATAACAAGGATTCAGATGACAACAACAAAATTTTCACAGAGAATCACTCATCCCAACTAAAACGTAAAACTATTAGAAAACAAAAAAACCAAAGAACCGGGACATTGGAGAATGTTCGCATGTTCACTTACTTGTTGAGGTAGAATTGTTTATCAGAGCCGCAGATTGGTGATAAATCCGTGCCACACACTATGTTATTCTTGTTCCCACAGAATGCTTCGAGGATCGGATCTAGCGTTGTCGTGGGTGGAAGAGTGCTTCCGGGAATTGTACTTCCGGCGGCAGTCATGGTGTTTACAGCTGTAACAATTATGTAAAACATTTATAACAGGGTATATAACTACATACTCTATACTTTCTTTGAACTACTGTATCGGTCATGTTAAGTTCTGAAAGTTGTGTTCGATTAAAAAATGTCTATATCATATAGAGCAATGTATAACATTTAACATTTTTAAAAGGGATATATTTTTTATACAATATACATCTTCCTTTAAATGAAATAATTAAAAACCCCTTCGATCATAGAATTATAACGGCGAAACTTACAAACCGAAAGATGCATCAACTATTTACCAAATATCCATGAACGTTTTATATACATGTATTTGCGAACTAACTATACATTGTATACATTTATACAGTGTTCACGAAAAAGGTGTAGCTATGTGTTTCTTTTCTAAAACTTATTAAATTGCATCCCCCCAATTTGAATTAAATATATATTATTGCGTAGCATAGTATCTTCAGTTAACCAGTTTTTACATGAAGAAACCTAAAATTGATTAATTCTCAAAAAATGTATGAAATTTGGTTTAATTTTATGTAAACATGAACATTGATTCAGCCTAATAGTACAATGTATTCTTTGTAAACACTTGATCTGGATGTAGTCAGATTGCATTATTATTAAGGGGAGCGGAGGTCCAGCCTCTCAACCCAGTGATCTTGACTGGGTCACGACCATGTTTCTTCAAATGACACCAGTACTGGTTGGTTCAAGAAAGCGGGCTCTGAAGTGTTTAGTAAAAGTTGCAAGAACTTGTGTCGCAATCGAGCTTAAATAAATATGTTTAAACCAAGGTAACCTGTTGCTGGAGGCATAGTGGCACCGCAGGCTCCCACATATTTCAAATCTAGTGTCTTATCATTGCATCTTGCCTGGCTGTAGTAGCAACTGTAATATAAGTAAATACAATATATCATTATTTTATAACATTACAATCATTATAATCAAGTAATATAATACAATGTACTGTGCTTTGTTAGCATTTAATGTCAGTTTATTGTGTTCATTTAATGTCAGTTTATTGTGTTAACTTAAACAAGCGTTTATATGGGGCCATATAACCTGTCACAAATCTTAATATCTAATAATATAAACTAGTAAAATGTAGACTTACAAGTTGTTGTATGTCATGTCATTGGTGCCACAAACAGTCTCGTCTCTATCAGGTGTTATGTAATTCTTACAATCAAGGGACAGCAACTCCCCACATAGCTGAGTGGGATCAGAAATCTTGGCAACTACATTGTATATACCTAGAAACAATTATTTTACTATAATTATGTATACATAATTCAGTCAAATTTGGTATAAGGTAGACATTATGATGTGCTTGAAAACAATGCATAGTTCCATGATCTGTTTAATTTTAATTATTAGATTAGTGGATACAACAAGAATTATATTTTATAAAACAAAGGAGCACGTGTCAATGTTTGTGGTTAAATCTATTGTTATTCAAATAAAAGATCAGAGTGGGGATCTATCAATATTGCGTAGTGGTCATGTTATAAATAGATTTTTTTCTTCGACGCTACAATGGTATAATGTTAATATTGAATTCTTGTAGATTATATTTATGTTAACCATTCTGTTGAAAGTCACATGATTTACAAAACATACAAAAGTAAGGCTGTTTGTCATTGAATAGACCAAAACAGAAAAGTTATTTAATACTCTTAAGTTAAGTATTATATGTCTTAAGATGAATAAATATAATTGCATAAAGCAAAAAATAAATATATGAGAAATACATTAATTATTCATTACAACATATATACAATTAAATTATTCTTAAAGAAACTCACCAGCAATAAATAAAAGTAACTTAATCATGGTTAGTTTAGTCCAAAATCTCTCGTCTTTCTGATAATCTGATGTACATGAAGTGTGGAAGACTTTATCTTATCTTTGTGTCATGTTTGGTATAGTCAAAGTGACGTTGTTGTTGATAATAATAATCTATATAAAGAAACACGTGACGAAATGTTAAATTGGTGGCATAACTTAACAAACAAGTGAACAATAATGGCCAGATCGATCGCCTAAAAAATCCATTTTATTTAGTTTCTCCCATCGTTTTCTCGTTTAGGGCACACGCATTTTTTACTTACTAATAGGGACTATATCACGCTTGTCATGGAATGGCACTACTGTGTCACATTGAAGTTTCCTTGATAACCGCCATATGAACACATCTGCTGATGTTTCAATATTTTACCAGTTCATGTTAAATGTTGTATTCTGCTTGTAAGGCGGTGCTATGTGTCGTGGACGGTAGCTTGCACTTTCCAGTACCGTCCATGAACAGGCTCTATCAAACATAGCTGACAATATTTTAATTTTGACGTGTTGGACTTTCTTTAGGAATTCTGCCTTTTCTATATTTATGAAAGATTTTTTGACAAGGCCCTAATCTAAACTATATAAAGAAGTATGTTACGTATACATCGTCATCTTTAATATAATCCAAGGTCAAATCTTGAGTTTGAACTCAGCGTCTACAAGTGGTCTTATTTTGAAGATTGAAGCTCAGTATCATATAATATCAAAGTTTAATCATTCAAGATTAAACTCTTTTATTTTACATGAATGACACATGTCTTAATCTATCGATCAGTTGTACTGCGTATCAATACGCATGCTCAGTCTGAGAGCTATATTTAGAACACTATATAAGGAGCTGCGCGAGCCTGCTGCATCCTTTTCGTTCTGGATCTCTATGAGAAAGGTAGCTGCTGATCATATTTTAAAATTTTTGTTAAAATCTTAATCTAGGTTTTTAATTTCCCGCCCTCCGCAACCCTTTTTTCTGCTGTGCTTTGTTTTTACATTTCAGGAGTCAGCTATCACAACGCTTCGTCATGATTGGGACACATGTTTTATGCTGGGCGACGGAGTACCTAAATAACAGTCAATTGCTAATCGAATAGACATTAGTCAATTGCTTGATGCAACCGTTGTCGGTGCTCTTGCAACACTATGATATGATCCAAAGGACATCAAAAGTGTTTGTGTAATTATCGGACGTACATAACACGTGTAACCGTTGTCGGTGCATTTTAATTGTGTTAATTTTGCAAAATTTCATATTTGACTACTCCTCTCAGCTGAAATTTAACTCAACGTTTTTCTATTTGCGACCGTTGTCGGAGCAAATATGATGTGTATTTAAAGTTCCTAAATTGCTTTTATACCCAGTCATGATGGAAATTATACGCCAAAAGAAATAAAAAAAGTTATTACAAAAAATTGTTGTATTTTCTTCTTGTATAAGACTGATTTGCGATGTACAATGGCCTCTCGGGTTCGAACCAGCAACCTTCGTCCAGAACACTCTTTATTATGCATTCAATGGAAAATAAAATAGTTTATTTGGTCATCGCTGAGGTCATATTAAGTCCACTCAGCACAAAAGGCTCAACAGCACAAAAGGTTCAGCTGCAAAGATGCCATCATGGCCATATCGGAGGGCTAAAGTTGATAAATTTAAAATAATTCTGTTTTCTTGGTGGCAGTCAATATCATCCACTCACACAAAGTTTAAAATATGATCTACTACTTGAAAACTTTGTATTTTGGTCACTTTTATGTAAATGGCCTTGTTTATTCCATGTCAATTCATAGAGAGAAAAAAATTGACTCTGTTCTGGTATTTGGCCAATTTTGATTCAAGGAACATTATTTCAGAATTACATGTACAAATTCTAGGCAATATTACTTGTCAAATACCAAAATTTTTGCTTTTCATACCTTTGTCATATCTTGATAATTTCATACCAACTATATCAAAGCTATCCACTGTAAGCTTTTTTTAAAAAAAAGAAGATATTTAAAGATTGACCTGGAAATATGCAATATACATGAATGATTTAAACAATTCTGTTGATTTTTTTACATATACGACAACAACAGCTAGACAGCTATACGAAAATGTCACGTGTGCACAGGTGAGCTATAATTCACACAGTGTAGTAAAGGCAGATAAATCGTGATTTAAAATTCTAAATAACCTGACACATTTTTTAAAGTCTGATTTTATTAACCTGTCGATTATGAATACATTATATAGCACTTATCCCACTTCGGTTCTGCCCGTGTAGTTTACGATCATTAATATCAGTACAAAAAGCCACACTAGCGTAATATATATTTTCTCGCACAGTCGTATAAGTTATCTCAGATATGAGAGACCTCTAATTCGATCCCTACTTTTTTCATTGTTTTAGACCTTTTCTTCTTTATTTTTGAAGTATCTTTTAATGAAAATGACCAAGTGCTTGCAAAGTTGTAAGCAACTTAGAAACATTGTTTATCTCGTTTTGTATTGTATTTTACGGCACTGAAAAGTTAATCCTAATGAATTTTAAATATTAATTCTTAAACCATATGTTACTTAAAAAAAGAGTATGGTCTTAACCAAAGTAAGAGCAAAACATATTTAAAAAAAGGAAAGAAAAAAAGAATAACATGAAAAATCATAGCCTCAATATTGTTGAAAATAGTTATAAATAAAAAAGCGGGGTCGTAGGGCATTTACATAGTTTACCGTATTGCGCCATTACGGTCTGATTTAATCACATCTTACAACGTATATCTCACGAATTTTACCGATTTATAAATTGTGTGCTTTGACAATATACATGTATTCAGTATGCATTGACAGGTTCAATACCCTTGTAAGGGCCATGTAACACCGCACTTTGGGGTCAAACGAACTTTGGGGTCCGACCCCAAAGTGCGTTACACTTCGAACCGCACTTTGGGGTCCGACGCACTTTGGGGTCAAAATCGAGAAATTGACCCCAAAGTGCGAAATTATGCTACTTATCAACGCACTTTGGGTTCAAAAGTTCTGAAGGTGTCAACTGAGTTCTGCTTAAATACAATGTACTGAGTTCTGACTTATTTTCGATCTGCGACATTGAAATATTTAAGGCGGAGTTCAAGATGGTGGTTTGATGCTTAAGTGATAAAAGTTTCAATCATTTTACCACTTGAAATATCTAAAATTATATGTCCATATCACATTTGTACTGTAGTACAAAAATCATTAATGTATCCTAAAATTAAAAGATGCTGCGAAAAATATCATGTTCTGTCAGTCATTTACTTGATAACTTTTTGTGCCATATTAAGCCCCATTTTAAATATGATGGGGATGAAATAAAATGCAGTTAATATTTTTTCCTAAAAAACTATAAAATACTCTATTGCAATGTTCTGGTGAAATATCCAGTTTCTAGATCAGACTATAAATAGTGATTTTTACAAATACATTATTAAGTTTATCAACAAACTTAAGTTTTTTGTAAGCTCCGTAACAACCGTTCGCCAGAGGCTTTTTAATGGGAAATCTTACATACTTCTTTAGAAATGGCAAACATGAATTTTTAATGTTTAAATAATAGTATCAGAGAAATTTAAGATACTTGTTACCTGAATAAAGTAGCGATAAATGTGAAAAAAATTGTCATAAAAGTAGCAAAATGTAAACAATGTAGTATTTGACGTCCATATAAAATACTTATTCACTATAACTGTACTCATTGCCAAAAAGCAACAGATGAAAAAGACGGTTCAGATAATTGGCCAATGAGTAACTTTTTGGATACTATTGAAGTACACCAAAATATTAAAAAAGCTTAAGAAATACAAATAAAAGCACAATTGGCCTTTAAAACGTTATGTTTATATTATCGGGGGGGGGGGTCGGATGAATATCATTTTTATCAATGTTACACACCTCCTCTATATATTGTTTGTGACAGGTCTATGTTTTTCGGATAGACCTGTTTAAACAAAAGAACGTCCGTTATGAGGTCTATCTTTTGCACGTCTTTTGCAGACAGACCCGGTCATGAAAAACACGTGAAATAATAGACCTGCCTATGCGTAGAAAGGAAAACATGAAATGTAATCCAAAATTGAAAATTAAAATAAATGTATAATAGATTATGATTGTCTTAATATTTCTGTCTTACGAAATCTGGATACATTTTTTACACAAGATAATGTTTATTGAATGCACTAAGCAATTATTCTAACATTCCTATATTAAATCTTAGAATAAAATAAATGGATAGCATTTCAAAAGTTAGAACACATTTAACATTTATTAAATCGCGTCTTGTTTCCCAAAGTAATAGTAATCTAAGCGGTTCTTGTTTAGAATATAACAAATATGGACGCTTAAAGTTCATTTCTATGAAACTATAACAGTTGTCACAGCATACTCATTACGATTTTTAATCACCTTATCCATCCTATAACATAACATCTTAAACGCTCTAGAAAATTCATAGTATATACAAATTGTACCAAACAGTCATATCGTAAAATATAACGAAAATATGTCCATTTCAAACGCATTTGTGATTGAAATAACGTGCATTCCTAGGAAACTGCAGCTACCCACAGTTAATAGTCAAGTCCCTGGTAACATTCCCACCCGCGGGATCAATCGGATTGTTAAATCCCCGTTAATCTCCCCCTCTCTCGTTGAGTGCTTTATCCTGTCTTACTATTCAACCGGTGAAAATCAAAACTGATATCCCCTGAAAACCTTCGATTTCAAAGAATGCTACACAACAACGTTAAAGATAATTATAATCCTAAAATTGCTTATAGTGACATGCATATAAAAGTACTTAAAGTGGATTGGTCTACAAAGGTCACATCTCCCATTAGTATTTCAAATATCGATAGAAAAGATAGAAATGTATTATTCGGATATAATTTTTTAAAATCCTTAAAAAAGAAATGTTAATAAAGTTATAAGTGATTTAGCATAACATTTTATATGACGAGCGATCATGTTTTATTCTAGAACACTTTATAATATCTGCTATATAAAATACTATTTCGGATCATGTATCTTACACTTGCCAGCAATATTCAATGTACATATGTAAGTCTTTCGTGGTTTGCCCCTCAGACAGTTGCTTCTCGGAAATTTGCCACCTTTTTGCAGTGGGGAACATTTACCCCCTTATATCTTTGTAAGGGGCGGACATTTGCTGCTCCCCCCTCTCCCTTGTTTTTAAAATGTTAAGATATTAAATTGTTGAATTGTTTGTTACAAAAAACCATCGCCTTTTGTCGAAATTCCATTGTGTTTAAATAAACAAAAACTAACGCACACCTTTGTCCATAAATTAATAAAATAAAAAAGCCTACCTGTTTATGCGCTGCGTTAAAAAATAATGTTTGTGCATTACATCAAATGTTTCGGATCAACCATTGCTCAAGGCAATAGTTTGACGGTGTGTAAGTTGGATATCGGCCTCGTACATCGATCTTTCTGTTTAGGAAAGACCTTGTCACGAATTTCATGAAATACCCCGAGCGCTACGCGCTCTCGGTGTCACATGAAATTCGTGACCAGGTCTTTCCTAAACAGAAAGACCTCGTACTCGGTCGATATCCTATACAAAATGCTATTTTTGGCAATGTCGATTACCTAATACTTCTGTCGAGTAGTGGAATATATTCATGCGAGAAGATTTTTGCTAAATTATTTACATCAGTGTTAAACAACAGGTTAATTTATCGTGAACAAAATACCTCGAAATTAATAAGGATTACAAACCCTATAATTCTATATATTCAGTTTTCTTCGTATAACTTCCCGTGGTGTAGGGGTAACGTGCTCGTCCATGGTGCGAGTGGTCTGGGGTTCAAATCCCAGTCGAGACAACTATTTTTAAGTGTCTTTTTTAAGCCACGATATGCAAGGATAAAGTGTGGCTGTCATAAAAAAATTAACATAAATGATTTTTGATGCAACTCTGGTCATGCAAAATTCCGTATGTATCAAACTCAAACTGTTACAGTAAAAAATCTAAACGCAGTCGCTGCATCTCGGTGCCCTGCAAGATGAATTATAGTATATAAAAATAAACTTATACAGGAAAATGCATACAGATATACAGTACGATTTAGTTGCAAAGATCAGAAAATACCACAGAGCTTGCAGCCCTTTGATTATGAATGTGTGACTACTTAAATAGTTTATGATATTTTTGTGTACTGCCTGTACGGACTACTACTTAAGGCCGGATCTACACCTAGTCAAGTTTCTTAAATGTCACATTTAGATAAGCTAAATAAATGTCCATTTCAACATATAATCAGACACAGTTTTTACTGAAATGTCTTATTAAGATTTCCCAGAATTTATACCTTTGTCTATGCTAAGACTATTATATTTCTATAAAATGTATAAATAAAAATAAACGGGAAAATGATGCAATTAGCTATAAACAATGGAGTTAATGAAAGGTGTACAGTCTTTGAAATAAATGGAAAATGTGAGAAAAATATATTTTGAGCTTATTAATTGATACAAATTCTTTATTTGATGAAAGTTCTTCAATCTTCTCTAAAATCCCTATTGATTCTACTATAATTCAGGAAACATGTTTTGCCTCTATTCAATACCTTGATTTTTGTTTACTATTGGCTTTGACTGCAATATCAGGGCTGGGTATCAAAACTGTACAAAATGTAAACAAACGCCGCCATCTTGGAACGAAAAAGGCATGTTTTTGTTTATAACTCTTTTTGTTGGAAATGGCTGAAAACCAAAGATATGTATTATCACGCTCCACTATTTTACTTAGTTCGGTATATGTTGCCTGCACAACTATTTTGTATAACAAAAACTATAGCGAACTTGCAACTCGAAGCGGAGCAGAATTGTTATGAAGTTTTGTGGATACGACGCAGTTCATATTGCTTTATCTATATACATGTATGTTTTTTCCTTCAAATTAATATATTTTCATTTCAGAATTCACCATAAACTTCAAAATATAATTTTGCATCATGTACTAAGATTTCATTAAAAAGAAATGTTTATTTTCCAAGAAAACAATAATTTATACGAAATGATACGACGCAGTTGAAAATAAAATATGATACGACGCAGTTGTATTTTCATTGCAGGCTGCATATTGGTTCTAGTATGCTAGTGAAGAAGAAGAAGAACTTTTATTTGCACTAAAGCCCTAAAAAAAGAGCCATTGACAAAGCATCAATATATATACATACAAAAATAGAAACATGGCAATACGTGACAAGAAGTCGAGATGGCATGTGTATTCACGGGAAATAATTCTTTAGTAAATGGAAAAGTAGCTCATACACTTTTTAAGTGAAGTCCAACAACATTTCTTGTTTGCGAATTTTTGATCATTATGAATGCGCACAAGTGACCTATACAACTTATGTCGAGAGCAGAAGTCACTCATTGGTCCCACGAAAATGGAAAATTCTATTAAGGCTTCATTTTTCGGTCGCATTTTTAGCACCTGTCATAAGCATCTACAAATTCATTTTAACAAGAAATTTAAATGTTATTCTCTTTATAATTACTTTAAAAACTTGTAATCTTCAAACTTCAGGCCAGAAGTTTATAAAACAAACTGCTTACTTGTACGGCTGACATTTAAGACCACGGTTAACAAATTTGTTTGAAAAAATCAGAGAGGTGTGTCCGACCGAGGCCGAGCTGTTTATGTTTACTGACTTCAAATCACCTGCACTTAACTGATGTGAATTTGAAAACAAATAGAGAATTCTTTCGTAAGCTAATGGTTCTCTGCAGGTGTAGCATTTTGCCTGAAACAATGCGCAAAGGCGCACCTGAGGTCCTTACCCCCAGTTAAACTAAAGTTTGAAATAAAACCACAAAAAGCAGTCATCACCTAGAACATGCAGAACCACAGTTTACTATAGCGTAGCTAGCCAAAATAAATTTTGTGATTCAAGTTCATAGACTTCCTTCTATATTTTTGCCAAAAAATACGGATAATATTGAACATACAGGAAAATATAAGAAATTATTTCAGATATTATGATAAATAAATTTACATGTTCATGTTTAACTGAAAAGTAGCTTCTGCAATGTAAATTGGACATGACACGATGCTTTCTAAATAATCAAAAGCATCAGAACATTGCTATAAACTGCAAATGATCTTAGTTTTTTTATCTAGCACAAGTGATTATCGGTAAAATAGACATATATTGTCAAAATTATCACTGTTGAAAAGACTGCCAAAATACAACTGCGTCGTATCATATTTTATTTTCAACTGCGTCGTATCATTTCGTATATATTATTATTTTCTTGGAAAATAAACATTTCTTTTTAATGAAATCTTAGTACATGATGCAAAATTATATTTTGAAGTTTATGGTAAACTCTTAAATTAGCATATAATTGATTTGAAGGAAAAACGATGGATAAAGCAATATGAACTGCGTCGTATCCACAAAATTTCATAACAATTCTGGCCCGCTTCGAGTTGCAAGTTCGCTATAACTTTTGTTATGCAAACTAGTCGTACAAACAACATGCAGAAAATAGTGGAGCGTGTTAATACATATCTTTGGTTTTCAGTCATTTCCAACAAAAAGAGTTATAAACAAAAACATGCCGTTTTCGTTCCAAGATGGCGGCGTTTGTTTACATTTTGTAGGATAAGACGCAGTTTTGATTCCCAGTCCTGAAAATATTATTTGAAACATCATGAGAATTCATTTTATTGATTGAATTTTTATGACCCCAAAGTGCGGTCGCTTGTCTGATTTTAAAAATTGCATATGTACCTGTTTAACGCACTTTGGGGTCAAAATTGGATGAACAATGTCTTTTGTCCTCCCATTTATCTATGATATACAATTCTGGTAAATCCAATTAACCTCTGAACACTTTATAAGAATATCTTGTCATCATATGTTCACTAGTTCATCGTCATTTGCTGCATTCCTTTTTTGGACGAATTTGATGCTTTGCATCAATGCTTTTCTTGTTATATCATGATTAACAATTAAGAAGATTTTGCCGCGAAACATGCAAAGGGCTTTTTGAGAAGTTAAGTCCATGAAAGTTTTTGTTTTGGCTTATTTACATATGGATTTTTATATTTCTTACCATGATTAGTTGTTGACATTTGTAGAAAATAAGTAGGATTATAGGTTTAAAAGCAAATGTACATGCTTATATCCTTATATTCTTATATTACTGACTACAGTAGTGACACTGTTGCACTACTGTCGTGTCACATTACATTTAAAAGTCTTGTAAGTCGTGTTTGTATTCAATGGAATTACTGTCCTTACCAGGTGGGCATCAGTGAAAGCATTTTTTTAATTTGATATCTGGCCCCTCCCTAATGGACAGTGCGTACGATAAGTATAATTATGCAAAAAATGATTTACAAAACAGTCGGAATAATGCACAATAGTACTTTATCTGAATGGAACATAACATGTGAGTAGGAATTATTTAGTGGGGTATCTGTAATGAGCGCGTTTTTTTGTGTTGTTTTTTGTGTTTTTTTTTGTGTTTTTTTTTGTCAATTACTGTACTTGTCATGTAGTGTTTTTCCCTTGACAACTTAAGTACACTCGTTTGACCTTTATACAAAATTGTAGTCTGCATTGCAAAGGTAATGTTTAATTGTCCACAAATGGTATAACTTGAAGACACTGGAAACTCGCAAGCCGACTGCTTTACAAGAGCTATAATTATAACGTATGAAACACCGGAAATTTCTTCTATGAAGAAAGGAATCAGTCGCACGGGAACAGGTATTGAGAACTAATTAATGCTCGTTCTTCATTTTCCATTAACCAGTATGAAATAAGTCCTACCCTATGCGACCAACCATTGCTATAAAAAAGAAATGTTTGCCATTACTTTTTCGGACGCTTATTATAAAAAAACCAAAAACAAAATTTGTATACATTCTTTTAAAAAGTGCTTAAGAGTGATATTTCTTCCTATCGGGACAGTAACTTTGAAAGGAGGATTGTGTAGAAAATATCATTTTTATTTAAAATCTCAGGCAATGACTAGTTTCAAAGATGCTAGTAGAAAATTGCCTATACATAAAATACGACTATTGCGAACGTGTTCAAAGCCGTATTTTGGCGTTTAGGACGGTACAGGTACACTAACATAACTGTTATGAATGTTTGACTCGCAAATTTGTGCTTTAGAAAGTGGATGTTTTATACAGCGAGAACAAAACGCATTGTGTTCATTTTTTTTCTTCACAAAAATAAATAAAGCAGTGCCGATGGTATTCCTAAGAGACAAACTTACTAGCTAACTTTTTTATTTGTGCGGTGACTAATACAATAATTTCATTATTTCATTTTATCATTTATTATTTTTCTCAAAATTTGATACTGACAATTATTTGATATCACACAACTTTATTCAAATAGTATAAACTTTTTCTGAGTTACCTCAGGGAAGGGCCCACTGTAATGTTGTTAGAACTTTTGGCCTGTACACTTGATTATGTCTGTAAAATTATGAAATTGTATATTGTGCGTATATTTATACAATAAAATGTTATTAAACTAAACTTTTTTATTCTACATATATGCTTTAAGGAATACCAATTCAACGGCTATATTTGGAAGTTTTCGATCTTATGCTTAATCCCAGTTATTTCATAAACGAGTTCAATCTAGTTCCCGTGTTATATGACAATAAATGTTAAGGATTGCGACTTCAAGTTTTTTTCTTGATTATGACGAAAACAGTGTGTAAAAATATCATTATTATCTAATATAAAATTAAAACAATTGATAACATATGTTTGTAAAACATGTAGGCCTTATTGGCAGCCAATTAGTCATGTGTTCCGTTTATTATGACTGACTTTTGACCTAGTGATCAAAAAACAATAAGGGTTAATTATTGGTCATGACTAGTCACTAGGTAATTGTGACCGCAAAGGTTGTGTGCAGCATTTTTATGACAAAGTTATTTCAAATCTTACCAAATAATATATGCATACATTTTATGAACATGTAGGCCTCATTAATGACAGCCAAGTTCTAATATTACATAAGACCTTGAAATGTGTATACCAAAAGGATGTTTAGTTTAATAAAAACATATCAACCAAGGCAACTTGAGTTGTTGAGTTATTGGTCAGAAACAGTCTTTACATACAAGGTCAATATGACATGGACCTTTGACCCTAAATCAATAGGGGATATCTACTGGCCAAGACCAATGAGCACCCATGAGTAGGAAATTTGATCAGAAAGCGTTTTTACCTATAAGGTCAATGGAATCTTGACATCTGACCCCTTAACGCCAAAAATCCATTGAGGTCATTTTATGACCAAAAAAATAAATCTGTAAAGCTTGAGGGTCAAGGGTCCATGGGTTGCCCAGTTATTGATAGAAAACCATTTTGAAATACAACGTCGATGCCACCTTGACCTTTGTGCCCCTGACCCCAAAGTATTTAGGGGTCATCTACTGGTAAAGTCCAATGCACCTTCTAACTTTAAGGACCAACAGTACATAGGTTTTCGAGTTATTGATTGGAAACCGTTTTTACAGACAATGTCAATGTGACCTTGACCTTTGACCCCTTGACCCCAAAATCAATAGGGGTCATCAGCTGGTCATGAACAATCATCATACCAAGTTTGAAATTCCTAGGCCTAAGCGTTCTTTAGTTATCACTCGGAAACAGTTTTTACCTACAAGGTCAATGTGACATTGACCTTTGACTCCTTGACCCCAAAATCAATAGGGTCATCTGCTGGTCATGAACAATCATCATACCAAGTTTGAAGTTCCTATGCCTAAGGGTTCTTTAGTTATCACTCGGAAACCGTTTTTACCTACGAGATCAATGTGACCTTGACCTTTGACCCCTTGACCCAAAAATCAATAGGGGTCACCTGCTGGTCATGAACAATCATCATACCGAGTTTGAAGTTCCTAGGCTTAAGCCTTCTTTAATTATTGTTACCTACAAGGTAAATGTGACCTTGACCTTTGACCCTTTGACCCAAAAATCAAAAGGGGTCATCTGCTGGTCATGAACAATCATGAAACCAAGTTTGAAGTTCCAAGGCCTAAGCGTTCTTTAGTTATCACTCGGAAACCGTTTTTACCAACATGGTCAATGCAACCTTGACTTTTGACCCCTTGACCCCAAAATCAATTTTAGGTAATCTGCTAGTCATGAACAATCATCATATCAAGTTTGAAGTTCCAGGCCTAAGCATTGTTTAGTTATTGATCAGAAATCGTTTATACCTACAAGGTAAATGTGACCTTGACCTTTGACCCCAAAGTCAATAGGGATCATCTGCTGGTTATGAACAATCACCATACCAAGTTTGAAGTTCCTAGGCCTAAGGGTTCTTTAGTTATCACTCAGAAACCGTTTTTACCTTAAAGGTCAATGTGACCTTGACCTTTGACCCCTCGACCCTAACATCAATTTGGGTCATCTGCTGGTTATGAACAATCACCATATCAAGTTTGAAGTTCCTAGGCCTAAGGGTTCTTTAGTTATCACTCAGAAACCCTTTTTTACCTTCAAGGTTTATGTGACATTGACCTTTGACCTCATGACCCCAAAATCAATAGGGGTCATCTGCTGGTTATGAACAATCATCATACCAAGTTTGAAGTTCCAAGACCTAAGCGTTCTTTAGTTATCACTCGGAAACCGTTTTTACCTACAAGGTCAATGTGACCTTGATCTTTGACCTCTTGACCCCAAAATTAATAGGGCTCATCTGCTAGTCATGAACACTCATCATACCAAGTTTGAAGTTCCTCGGCCTAAACATTCTTTAGTTATCATTTGGAAACCGTTTTTACCTACAAAGTCAATGTGACCTTGACCTTTGACCCCTTGACCCCAAAATCAGTACTGGTCATGAACAAGCACCATACCAAGTTTGAAGTTACTATGCCTAAGCGTTCTTTAGTTATCACTCGGAAACCGTTTTTACCTACACTCGGAAACCGTTTTACCTACAAGGTCAATGTGACCTTGACCTTTGACTGTTTGACCCCACAATCTTGAGGGTCATCTACTGGTCATGAACAATCATCATACAAAGTTTGAAGTTCCTAGGCCTAAGCGTTCTTTAGTTATCACTCTGAAACCATTTGGTCCACGGACCGATGGACCGACGGACAAATGCAAAGCAATTAATATACCCCCACACCATTGTGTACACCGGTATTACCGTCGATATTTGAGACCGGTGCGTATACAATGCCCCCCCCCCCCACACACACACACTTTTTTGAAGGGGGCATAACTCTGTGTGATTAAATGATAAAGAGGATATTTGTTTAGTTCAGTGTAAGATCGGAATATATTTCACCGAGTGAGCACCAAAAGGTATATAGATATATATATTTTACGACTTGGGCAGCCACGAGTGAGATATGAACTTTTGGTGTTCGATCATGAGGTGAAATATATTTTGATCTTACACTAAACTAAACAAACTATCTTTTAATTATGTGCAAAGAAACAACTACATCTGATACTAAATGAAAAGCGCGCCAAATAATGACCGGCGGCACGAAATACCCAAATATTGCCCAAATATACCCAAATATAGCACTATTTATTTTTGTTTGTATAAAATATAGATTTTAATGAGAAATAAATAAATATTTATAAAATAGTATGACTTAGCCTGCTATAACTTTCATTCATTCCGTTGAAATGGGCAGTTAAGATGTTGTAAGAAAATAAAGTTGTGACATTTGCTTACATGTATCTACAATATAGGTTCTTTATGAATGTACTTGCAATTTTAATTCGAGATATGATATTTGTTGTCTACACTTACATTTTAAGGTGTATTTTTGTACGACGTCACGTTATTAAGCAGGTATTTCACTGAAACAACGTAACGTACAGTGAAATATATATTTTTGTTTTGTTTGTACCAAAAGATTTTAAATTTTGTATAGATCTATTTTTTTCTTTGATATTGTTGAATCAGAAGAATACAGTACTGCTGACAATACTGCAACTAAGTAAACTTTTTATGTGTAAACTTTTTATGTTACCTTCTATGAATAAAGATTATTGTTATTATCATGAGATCTATTATTAATATTATTATTATTATTATTATTATAATTATTATTATTATTATTATTATTATTATTATATCCCGAGACGAACACGAGAAGTTTCGATTGATAGCTAATAAGTTTAACTCAGTTGTGTCCCTTTGATTAATAAACCTGCAAATTTAATTTATATCACAGGGTCGTCTAGAGACATTGTCGTCTGTCTAAGAGAGACGACAATGTCCGACTTTTATGCCAAAATAAGGTAAAATTGTCCTGTTTACGTGTGATATTTTAATCAGCGATAAAATATTCATAATTTGCATTCAGATTAGCACACTGTTTTAGTTAAATGATGTATAGAACAAGAACAATAACTATCAGTGTTAAAAGAAGCCGCGCCACAAATTATAGAATCTATACTTTGCTCCTCTTAGTTCACGGTACTTAACGATTTGAAGCAAGAAAGAAAACAACACATGGAACTTATGGTACAAAAATTGTCATAAGCATTAACATATTGGAATTTTCTGGCTATATCATGTATATGACACAAGAAAACACCAATATATTTAGTCAAAATCAGTTTAAATGAGCCAGACGTAGACCATTTTGAAAACAGTATGTCATCATTTAAATCGCGGTAATGGTGTTTAATTTCAGTTGTTTCATGTTTCAGTTAAAATTTCTATATGTTATTTTGCATTATTTTTAAATATAAAAGTATCTTTACATTGTAACTCAAAATTTATTTTTTCAACAAACAAGATCATTTAGAAAATGGTGATTGTTTCAGACATACAGTACGCACAAACTTAATTGGAATTTTGTTGCTTTTTGCAGAATTTGTAAAATGTTGTTCTGTTCTTTGTAAAACTCTAGAGATTTACAATATTTTGCACAAAATGTATAAGAATAATACTTCAATTCTGACCAATTTTAGCAATGGTCACATGAAAATATGCCATTACCGTGAAATAAGTTATGACGCGGAATTAGTGATGTTGAGTATACTGTAGTAACCAAAGGGACCCGGCATAGTGTTTGGATTAAGGCCCCCACGATTACACGTTTAAACGGATTCGTTTCGATATTCATTCGTCAACGTTTACGATATTTTCTACCGTTTAATCGAAATGACCATATTGACTTCCAAACTTTCTTAATCATTGCCTATTATCATTGATTTTATCAATTCCAGTGGTTTATTCCAAAGTAAAAAAAAACAAAAAAAGGATGTGTACAACCCTCCACACAGCATTTCCGTGCAAAAATTGCTTGTGACATAATACATTTTTGGTAAAAAATGAAGATACAATACAGAAAATATGTGCTGACTCAATCGTGATAAGCCCTGGACATTCTTTATTTGTACATGTATTAAAAATAGAAAGTAAGTCATCATTTGGCGACATATATATATGGTGTATATAGTACATAGAGGTACCACCGTTTAAACGGTATTGTTTCGGTTCTTAGAAATTGTGTAAACGTTTACAAAAAATTGTAAACGTGGGAGCCTTAGTTTGGATAGTGTAAAAAAAAGTAATTCTAGAAAAAATATATAGTTTATATATAATATATAGACAAGGGGTTGAACTTGCCAAATCGGCAGAATGTCACTAGTCAAAATAAGTCAAAATTGCAAAGTCATTTTTATGTAAATCATATTAGGTTATATATCAATTTGCAGCTAAATGACAGCACTTGACGTTGACAATAACATTATTGTTCCCACTTAAACGGTTTTTGAATAACAAACCGATATTTCGAATGGAACACCGTATTTTTGCTAGGTCGACATCAACCGTGCAACCTGATAACACTCGATTTTCTACGTGTAAAAACGCAGTTCTAAACCATGTCATTGTACCAACCTGCACTGAATCGATAAAACAAAACCATATATATTACATATAAACTTTTTTTTTCTTTCTAGAATTACTTTTTTACACTATCCCAACACTGTGCCGGGTCCCTATGGTAGTAACACTAACAATATGACTGAGTAACATAAAATAAAGAGTGGGTAACATGATACTTAATACAAAATTCTACTACATTCTACTTTAAACCTTATTTTCATCACATGGGGACAGTAATTATATTGTCAAAAACTGCTGTAATGTTGTTTGTGTTTCGAAATATATCCTTGAGTGACCTGAGTTTCGACGCCCTTTAAGATTGTTTTGCATGCGTCTATAAAAACCATGTGATTGTATTGTATAAAATGTTTAAACTTTTTTTAAAAAATCTCTAACCTTTATGAAATGGGTAAATTTAAGCTTTTTTCCTGCTATTCATTTTCATGAACAATCCTACTTTCACTTCATCCTGGAGCGGCCATTTTTATTGAGAGTGCCCTAAAACGATGCAATTGATTGGCTAATTTAATTACACACTACAGGAGACTGTACACCATAATACTTTTACTTACTTTGTTCACCAATATCAAGAGCATAGACCTGCAAAGTATCAACAAGTGACAAATAGTTTATCTATTCTTTATTTCTTTCATAAATAAAGCATTATTATATGTGGTAAATGCTATTGTTGTATTTTTTTAGTGGTTTGGATGGTTGCCGTTACTGTTTGACCTCCTCTGTTGAAAAATATAGGTTGGAAAATAGCACCTTTACTTTCTTTGTTGAACCTGCAAAAACAAATAATACATTTAGTGGAGCAACTAATTAAAATATGGCAATTCATTCCATCCAAATAAGATAATTTACATATCCAATTAATTTTCAATTAACATTCATTCATCGATTAATAACCGTAAAAAATCTACAACATGTACAGCCTCACAGTTGCTTTACCGTGAAAAAATGCGCCCAAAACAACACTATTGGGTAATTTTACTGCCACGTGACCTGAGAATAAGGAAATGAGGTCAGCAGACAGGGAGGTATTTTCCAACCCATTTTTTCAAGGAAAACATGACATAGTAAAGTGATGGTCAAAATTGCATTACTGAAATCATACAAAAATCTCTTAAATAAGGTATAACATGCTAAATCTTACCTTTGGGTGTCTTACTTACTACATATTGTTATCTAACCAACCAGAGGAATCCCCTTTTGCTATAGCGTAGTACAGTAATGACGTAAGCGGCCGCTTATATCAATTATGAGGCAAAATATAAATGGCGTCAAAATAGGGCAGCGTAAAAACGGATCACTCAACGATAATTAAATTATAATTACTTGATAAATACTTAAAATGGGAAGTACTGTACATGCCTGCATCTACATAGATACATCTAAATCATACTGCTTAACAATCAATTCTGATCATGACTAGCAGGTGCGTTGTCAGGGAACTGTTAATAAAAGAAATTATTTCTATGCAAATTTAAAAAGTTAAAAGAATTAAAGTTCTACAAGACTATTAATTTAAAAGACATAGCGTTCAATTTAGAATTTAAAGAATGGATCAAGCCTCTCAGTAAAGATGTTTAAACTCAGGGGCTAGATAGAACAGTTAAGGGAAGGCTATTTCAAAGACCTATGCTACTAGGAAAGAAAAAAAATTGATGGTATTGTGTCCTTGAGTAGGGTATCAGGTAGTTGGATTTTATACAAGTAGGTTACTGCACTGATGTTTCGACGCTGTTCAAGGGTTTGCCAATTAAGATCATTGTTCATTTTTGAGACACTACTTGTAAAGTCATAATCACTAAAAATATATCTAGCAGCTGATCTTTGGACTTGCTATATCTTATAGATTAAGTATTTCTGCCAAGGATGCCAAACTATGGAGCAATATTCAACCTGAGGTCTAACATGCAGTTTCCTTTATCTTTTTATTTGGGGTTTTAACATTTCTTCTAATGAATTTAAGGGAGTTAGTTGCTTTAGGTGAAATAAACATCAAGATTATTGCTGTTTTACTCCATTTACAAAATCTTTAAAAACAAATTCAAAAGTGGCTTCCAGCTTTGCTGTATCCAAATGCACCACGCTTTGAATATGGGAACGAAATCATTACCAAATGTCTCCGACTATAGCCAGACTGATTCTCATCTTATTTAAACATTAAAGCTGTTACATTCTTTTGTATTTTCAGTGGAGCAAAATTTCCTACAGTGTTTTGGGCACAGAGGAATGATGTCTTGTATCTCACAATATGTGTAGAAGATTGCCAAAATCCTACCATTAATTTAACAGAACAAAAACTTACATTCAGGTATGTGTTGTAATTGCTGCCTGCGAAACTTAACCGTCCTCATTTATATGAATATGCAATTATGTTAATTTCAGGAAGATAGTAGTGCTTTACCGACAGTTTTGCAATATTCTAGTTATTGATTTAAACCATGGGCATTCATTATTGCAGCTTCTAAAAAGAAACAACTTTTTTCACTCATATATTAGTAATTGCATATAATTGTGCATGTTGTTTGTTTTCAGTGGTAAAGGTGGAACAAATAAAGATTTATATGAAATATCACTACAATTTGAAAAAGAAGTAAATCCACAGGTAAAACTAGAAATATTATTAATTCCCTATAGACAGAAAATATATTAGATAAATAGAAAAATTTGATAAAATTAAAGGAATCTGTTAAAGAAGTTTTAATACATGAATACTTACCCATGCTAAAGAAATATACTTAATTGTCTATCTTTCTTTAGACAAACTGTAATCATTTTTTATGGAAAATCTTGATCATGGGCTATACTTGTAACATTTGTAAAGTTTGTTGCTACCAGCAGGCCAGTCAGTTTGAATATTTGTGTTCATCTTTGAGTAAATTCTTTTATTGTTAGAAATCTAGGAAATTCATACTAAACATGTGTAATTGGAATAAGACAATACACAAACTACATTTGTATGTCTAAAAAGCTGAATTCACTATAACAAGTCCAGGTAATTTGGTCCTTTCCTAAAAAAAACTGCCAGTTTTTTTATATTCAAAAATGTATTCATAAGTGTTCACCTAAAGTCTATAGGGTGTAGAGTTTAAAACTTAATATATATTCTCTGTTTGTTCTAAAATGTTGTTTTATTTCACAGTTAAAAAGAGACTGTACTGGGTGTAACAATTTTCGATTATTTGAACATATTTCTTTATTGTAGTTGCCTCCTCTTCTACCATATCACCATGATATTTTAGATATAATATAAAACTAACCAAAAAGTATGTCTTTGAACATGGTAGGTTATCTGTAGGAGGTTTATTCATTTTCAGTTTCTGACACATATCTGCTGTATCAAATGGTTACATTGTCATTTTCATAAGGTGAGAAAAATGTACAGTTTTACTAGAACTGAAATCAAGAACCCCTGGTCAAGAACCCTACTAATTGACAGCTTTCTGTCTGCTGAGAAATTTTGTCAGTCCCTTTTTGTGGTCAGTTCTATACTGTGACATACTTCTATGTTATATAACATTTTGTCTGTGAATTATAATGGGTACAATTAATAAATGACTGGGAATTATTAAGAGGATATTTTTTTTGTTTTTCGTGAAATATGGAATATATTTTCACTCAACATGATAAAATGCCACATATTTTCACTCACCGTCCGCGAGTGAAACTATGTGGCATTTTATCATGTTGAGTGAAAATATATACCATATTTCACGAAAAACGAAAAAATTACCTTTTTATTTAATTTCATTATTAAAGAAAAATGGTTACGAAGCCCCTTGCTTGCTACGCAACTCCAATTGTACAGCGCACAGTAATATAATTATTGTCTTGTTTTGCAAGCGATATTTAGCACTACATGGTGACGTCCTTTAAACAACTCTTTAAACGTCTGTACAGCGTTAATGACTGAATATTAAAGATATTGGTGTTCGGATTTATTTTCTTAGTTAGACCATTTTCTATCATTCTAGATAGTTTTCAAAACAAAATTCAACAAAAAGTTGTTTTGTATTTATCAGATTTTTCAAACAAAATGGCGAGAGAAGTCCCTTAAAATAAGTATGAATTTGACTCTGTCCATTTTCATATTTATATTTCTAAAAAAAAATATGAAATATATTTGACTGATAGAGCAGGTAAAATTAAATAATAAGAGGATATTTTTTCGTTTGAGTGAAATATGGAATATATTTTCACGAAATATGATAAAAAGCCACATATTTTCACGAGCAGGGACGGCGAGTGAAAATATGTGGCATTTTATCATGTTGAGTGACAATATACACCAGTTTTCACGAAAAACGAAAAAAATAACCTTTTTATTTAATTTCATTATCAAAGAAAATGGTTACGAAGCCCCTTGCTTGCTTCAATGTACAGCGTGTAGTAATATATTATTTATAGATGCGTCTTGTTTTGCACGCGATATTTGGCGCTACATTGTGACATCACGTAAACAACTCTTTAAACGTCTGTACAGCATTAATGACTGAATTAAAGTATTGGTGTTCAGATTTATTTTCTTAGTTAGACCATTTTCTATCATTTATAGATAGTTTTCAAAACAAAATTCAACAAAAAGTTGTTTTGTATTTATCAGATTTTTCAAACAATATGGCGAAAGAAGTCCCTTAAAATGAATATGAGATTTGACTCTGCCCACTTTCATATTTATATTTCATATTTATTTTCAAAAAATATGAAATATATTTGACTGATATAGCACCATATTTTCATGGGTAAAATTAAATAATACCAGGTATTTAAACATCAGGTGAAAGGTATATTTTGCAGCCTGACAGTAACTCTAAAATCAAGACTGTCAGAATATTGTTCCACAGCTCCGAGGCTGCTTACATATTTTCTCACGTATTAGTGATCAGTGATATATCCAGACAGAATATTGTTATATTGTTGTAGGTAATTTTGTAAAATTTTGATATTGTATTTTACAGGAATCAAGATATGAGGTTCAGGCAAGAAATATAAGTTTTGTGATAAAGAAGAAAGAATCTGGTCCATACTGGCCTAGGTTATTAAAAGGAATTAAAAAGGTAAATTCTTGAGTGTGATATTATGTTCTAGGATTTGTATAACTAAGAAAATAATATCAATTGGACAAGTTGTCATAAATAGAAATTGCTATGCATGCAGGATTAAACTTTAATTAAATTAATCTTATTGATTTTCCAGTAATATTGTCATGTCATCAGGTTGAATGTTTTAAGTATAGACTTCCTGTTATAAATTTAGATTTTCTGACTTTGTTAACCAGGTTTTCCGAAGGAAAAATCTGGTTATTAGATTGAGGTATGTCGGCAGGCGGGAGGGCAGACGCGGACGGGCGTAAACAATTTCTTCTGTGCGCAACTCCTCCTACATTTCTTAACGGATTTTGATAAAACTTTCACAGAAGCTTTGTCATCAAGTGCCCTGGTGCATATTGTCAGGGTTTTGTGATTGGATAACATTTGACCTAATTATGGCCCTTTGTTTTTTTCCCTTATATAAAATATATAGTGAACAATTTCTTCTGTGCGCAACTTCTCCTAAATTTCTCAAAGGATTTTGTTCAAACTTTTACAGAAGCTTTGTCATCAAGTGTCCTGATGCATACTGTTGGGGTTTTATGATTGGATAATTTTTGACCTAATTATGGCCCTTTGTTTACTTTCCTTATACACAATATATAGTGAACAATTTCTTCTGTGCGCAACTCCTCCTACATTTCTCAAAGGATTTTGTTCAAACTTTCACAGAAGCTTTGTCATCAAGTGTCCTGAGGCATACTGTTGGGGTTTTGTGATTGGATAATTTTTGACCTAATTATGGCCCTTTGTTTTTTTTCCTTATACAGAATATATAGTGAACAATTTCTTCTGTGTGCAACTCCTCCTACATTTCTCAAGGGATTTTGTTCAAACTTTCACAGAAGCTTTGTCGTCTAGTGCCCTGATGCATATTGTTGGGTTTTTGTGATTGGATAATTTTTTACCTAATTATGGCCCTTTGTTATTTTCCCTTATATAGAGTATATAGTGAACAATTTCTTCTGTTGCCCAACTGCTTCTACATTTCTCATAGGATTTTGTTCAAATTTTCACAGATTTGCTTTATCTTCAAGTGCCCTGCTGTGTATTGTCAGGGTTTTATGATTGGATAAGTTTTTACCTTTTACCTTATTATGGCCCTTTGTTTTTCCATAAAATTTAATTTTTAGTGTTATATATCCTATTAATCACAACAAACTTTATTTAGTTATAAAACAGAAACTATCTAGGTTGTTGCATGCCTGCCAGCTCATCTGCCTGCTTTTGGGTCCTGTAGAGTCAAGGTCAAGGTCATTGTTGCTAAAAATAGAAAATCTGTTTCCAGTCAGGTGACTGTTACTAAAAAAAGAAAATAGGTTTCCGGTCAATAACTTGTTTGGAATAAGATATTTTTATGAAATTTGTGGTAAAGCAAGTTTTTATGAAGACCTCACTTGGGATGGCTTTTTGGCCTCCTAGGGTCAAGGTTACAGTTACTAAAAATAGAAAATTTATTAATCATGATTTACATTGCACAAAGTTACATGGTTTGTTGCTTGTATTTGTATTTCAACTACAACATATTTATCAACAATGGTGATAATTGAAAACCTGGTTTCATGGCATTGCCATGTTTCTTGTTACAATGATATTTCAGGCTTTCTGGTTAAAAACAGATTTCGACAAATGGAAAGATGAGGATGAGTCAGATGATGATATGGATAAAAACATGGACCTAGCTGAGGTAAATACTTTACATGGGTCTTACTTAATTTGTATAATTTATAGCTTATTAACCAGGTTTTCTGAAGGAAAAAACTGTTTATGAGATTGAGGTATGTCCGCAGGTGGGGGCGTAAACAATTTCTTCTATGCGCAACTCCTCCTACATTTCTCAAGGGATTTTGACCAAACTTTCACAGAAGCTTTGTCATCGAGTGTCCTGGTGCATATTTTCGGGGTATTGTGATTGGACAATATTTGACCTAATCATGGCCCTTTGTTTTTTTTTCATATAAAAAGTAATATTCTTTTAATCACAACTACTTTACTACATGTAACAAAACTTTATATAGTTATTGAACAGAAACCATCTAGTTTGATGCACACCTACCAGCTCATCTGCTTCCTTTTTGGACCTTTAAACTCTAGGTCAAGGTCACTGTTACTAAAAATAGAAAATCTGTTTTCAGTCAATAACTAGAGTAAGAAATGAAATATTACAATTAAACTTATGTTCCTTGTCGATCTTGTTTATCATATTTTAATGTATAGCAAACTTATGTATAGACTTTGCTTTTGATTTTTTGGGCCTCCTGAGGGTCAAGTTCAATGTCATTGTTACTAAAAGATAGAAAATAGGTTTCCGGTCAATAACTAGAGTTTGGAATAAGGTATTTCAATGAAACTTTGTGTAAAGCAACTTTTTAAAGACATTGCGGGCCAGCTAGGATCAAGGTCACTGTTACTTAAAATAGAAAATTGGTGTCTGGTCAATTACTAAAGTTTGGAATGCAAAGTGGTGTATGGTAAGCTTTATGAAGATTTTGCTTATTATTGCATTTTGGCCCAAAGGTCAAGGTCACTTACAAAAAGTAGGTCAATAACTAGAGTTTGGAAATTGATATTTCAGTGAAACTTGGTGTATAGTTACATTTTGTGAAGATCTCCTTTGGAATCCTTTAGGGTCTCATAGGAATGAGGTCAAGATTATTGTTACTAAAAATAGCAAATTGATTTATGGTCAATAACTAGAGTTTGGAATATGATGCTTTAGAATTAAGCTTATGTGAAGACCTCTTTAAAGATAGCTTTGGGTCCCCTTAAGGGTCAGCCTTACTGTTACTTAAAATAGAAAATCTGTTTCCAGTCAATAACTCGATTTAGGAATTAGATACTTATATCATCCTTCTAGGACCAAGGTCAAGACCATTTTTTCTTCTGCTGTTATTACAAAATACCTATTCTTTACAATGGTGATAATTGAAAGCCTGAGGATTTTTTTTTGCATTTCCATGTTTCTTGTATTTTATTTGGTTTGGAAATGAAAAAAGTGTCTTTTGCTTTAAAATTATCAAACATATTAAGTCACATGACAAATTCATAAAGATTTGTTTCTGAAATACTAAGTACATAAAATAAATGCAAATGCCTTTATATACTGGTAACTATTTATCTTATGTAATTGAAAGTTTATAGAAAGCATTTAATAAATCTGGCATTTATTCACATTACAGCAAACTGCTAAATTTCTAAATCTTAGTGATACAGACTGTTTTGTTTTCAAAGTTTTTAAATAATACCATGCCAGCCTCCTCTTTGAAATCTTTGGTCACTTCCCTCTCATTGTATTCTAATAGCTAATTGCAGTGACGAGTCATTTTCTCTTGATTAAAAAAAATAAATCTACACGTTAAATGATAGCTCTTGTGCATTTTAGATACATTTTAAAGTGGTAGATAAAAGTGTCAACATATCTTTAGCTCACCTGTCACAAAGTGACAAACTTTTGTGATCAATTTTCATCTGGCTGGCATCTGTTCGTCTGTCTTTGGTCCGAAACTTTTACTTTAAATAACATGTCCTCATTAACCAACCACTAAGCCAGTTTCATCCAAACTTCACAGGAATGTTCCTTTAGTGGTCACCTTTAAAAATTGTTCAAACAATTTAAATCCATGCAAAACTCTGGATGCCATGGCAACCAAAAGAAAACTTAAAATATCTTTTTAAGAAACTCAAAGGATTAGATATTTGGCTTGAAACATCTTCTAGTGAGTGTCTACCAATTTTGTTCAAATAAAAGCCCTGGCGTCAAAATTGGTCCCGCCCCAAGGGTCATTGATTTTCCTTATATGTATCTAGTAATAACTTAAAAAATCTTCTTTTGAAAAACTAAAAAATACTTAGAGCTTAGATATTAAGCATGAAACATCTTTCTTTTTTTACATTTTCATTGCTGGTAGCAGTGATAGAATCTGCTGTAGTTGAACATGATTGTAAATTAATATCATATGTTGTTTATAATTCAAAGCATACAAATGTAAAAACAACATAGTGCTATTGTCCAGTTAATTTTAAATAATATTTTGGTGGCAATTTTCTTTCATGTACCTGTATTAGAAAATAAGGTAATGCCAATGTTTGATTTAAGAACTTTAATGTCATTTTTTGTTGATATTTATTTTATGGTTAGCATTTTTTTTATATTTTAAAGATGTCCAGAAATGATATAGAAGAAATAAAAAAACAGGCAGAAGGAATAAGAAAAAGAGAAGCTGAGGAAGAAAGAAAAATGGCCATGGAAGAAAGAAGAAGACAAGCTTCTGGAATAATTACACAACCTGAAGACAGACACAATCAAAGTGAAGAAGAGAGGAGGAATACTAAAGAAGAGAGGAGAAATGGTGAAGGAAAAGGAAGACAACATGCTGAAGAAGGCATGATACAAAGTAAAGAAGAAAGAAAAATGGAAGCTGAAGGAAAACAAAGGAAACATACTGAAGAAGAAAGGACATATATTGAAGAAGAAAGGAGACAAACTGAAGAAGAAACAAGAAACCAGTCTGAAGAATCTGAAGACGAAAAACATACTTCAGAAGATAGGAGACAAGCTGAAGAAGAAAGTGGAAAACAAGCTGAAGAACAAAGAAGTCACACTAAAGAAGAAAAAAGGAGCCAGACTGAAGAAGAAAGACAGGGACACACTAAAGAAGAAGTAAGGCATGCTGAAGTTGAAATGAAACATAGGAAAGAAGAAAGGAAACAAACTGAAGAAGAAAGAAGAAAGACTGAGAAAGAAATGAGACATACTGAAGAAGAAAAACGACAAGCTGAAGAAACAAGTAGACAGGCTGAAGAAGAAAGAATGAAACATACTGAAGAAGAAAATCTACAAGCTGAAGAAACTCAAAGGCAAGCTGAAGAAAGACTAAGACAAGCTGAAAAAGAAAGGAGACAAGCTGAAGAAACAAGACGACAAGCTGAAGAAGAAAGGAGGCAAGCTGAAGAAACAAGACGACAAGCTGAAGAAGAAAGGAGGCAAGCTGAAGAAACACAAAGACAAGCTGAAGAAGAGAGAAGGAAGCATATTGAAAATGAAAGAAGACATGCTTATGAAGAAAGAAGAAGACAGGCTTATGAAGAAAGAAGACAGGCTGAAGAACAAGAAAGAAGAAAAATGTTAGAGGAAGTGGAACCGAGAAATACACTCGAGAAGGTAACTTTTTTATAAATTGTAAATTTGACCATTATATTGCATTAAAAGCTGTTTTTATTGTCTGTATTTTATCTCTCTTTATCAGCTTAGGGATCACATTATTACCCCAAAAAGCAGTTGTGTTCAACTTAGTTTCATTGGCAAAAGTGTAAATTCAAGTTCAATTCATCAACAATATCATTAAAATGAACCAGAAATAATAGAGGTTAGGGGTATTAAAGTCATAAAAGATTCACATTGTGTCTTGTTTCTATATCATATTATTACGAAATTTCAAGTAAAGTTGTAGTGATGTTAATCATCTCGATTCCCACTGTCAAGACATTGTAAGTGTTCCCTTCTTAATATACCTATGATCTTCTCGACATTCTCAAGGACCTTGAAATAGGAAAGTTGAATAACGCAGAAATGGCTAATAATGGGTATAGTTTCACAATGGGTCTTTAAGTGACAAGTCATTTCATCATGCAAAAAAATGCTGCTTGTGTGAGACAACTTGAAATAAATGATGTGGATAACGCCTACTTGAGACTGTGTTCTTGATGATTTAATGGATCATGTGTAGGCGACACAAGTTTATTGGTCAAGTCCTTGAATTCTGGAGGTGCAGATTCTAAACAATCCGTTAGATAAGGGGAATTTTTTTTTGACAGTATCTTCAGTCATACACTATGCAGTTGCTACTTTACTTAAAACAACATTTTTAATGATAATCATTGTACGCAAGTGTTGTTCACTTGAATCAGATGGCTAGGTCAAAGGTCAAGGTCATACTTAGAGATTTAAGTAAATGCTTGTCAAAAGTAAAACATTTTGGCCTAGGTCTGAATAAAAGTTGAAAGTATAAATTGTTGGATAATGTTACAAAAACTCACACAAATTTTCACCATAGTAGGAGAATCTCGCTCCAAATTTATGTCTCTAAAGCCAAGGTCAATGTCACACTTTGGTCAGATGAAAAATTTTGTAAATGTGTGTAACTACTTGGTATATTCCAGATCAATATATGCAAGGCCAATGTCACCAGAGATGATTAAATGTAAAGAATTTGTACTACATGTATTGAGGTAGCTTCAGGTCTTAGGCGAACCAGTTTATGTACTGTAACATGACATGAACGCTGAAGACAAAGCTATAGAGTTTAGAGAAAGTTTATTTATGATCGTGCCAGGAATCTCACTCGCTCAAATTCATTCACTGAGCATGGCATGGAGTAAGGATGCAATTATGCTGATAAAAATACATGTATATAATATCTTGTACATAATAGTATATGATCTTGTAATTAATATGCCAATTATTAGCTATATATTTCTTATAATGAACGTGAACTATCTAAATGTTTCCGATTGCGATAGATTAAAAAAATTCAGCACTTCACCGCCTTCTTGCCTAAACGGTTGACAAATGGTTACAAGATTGACATTCCCGGTTATTTAAGAAAACAACACCATTAAATTTTGTTTTTAACTTTTTTACAAATTAACTTTTTATAACTTAAAAAAGGTAATTTACTAAAATTTACTTTAAAGAATTGTTATATAACACATACTTAACATTGTAAGGGATAGTGTTGTGTGCACAATTCAGACGTCCAAGTCTGATAAAATTGACAATAAGAGTAATCATGAATTAAGATATTTTAATTTCATGGGACTGAGTATTTATGACAGGCATATTTTTCAACAGGTGCACTCTTGTCTTTAGATGTATCATTTTTGAGACTTGTTTTGTTTTAAAGTAAATGGTTTCAAATATATACAGTGTGTTGGTGGACTCCTTGCTGTTGGTGCAGTGGCCGCAACTATGTTTGTTGGATATAAACTTATAAAGGCAATAACAAAGGAGAAGGAACCTGAACAAAGAAGTAATACGGTAGGTTTTTTTCAAGCATCATCCATGAACAGACGTAAACAAACAAAGAATGTAACATTTTTATTTTATTTTTGCATTTTGGGTGTTCTTTAGGGATTCTGTTTTCTCTATTGTAGAGATATGTAAATTTATTAAGTTTAAGGTCCAGACAGCTTTGATATTTGGTGTATGATATCATCTGTAGATCTCCTACCAAAGTTGTTCAAATTTTGCCTCTGGTTCAAAATTGGCCCCATGGGGGGTCATAGGTTTTCCTTATATGTATATAGTAAAAGCTTTAAAAATCTTCTTCTCTTAATTGACAAAGGCTAGTGGTTAGATTTTTGGCATGAAACATTGTGTAGTAGACCTCTACCAAGATTGTTCAAATTATGGTCCTGGGGGCAAAATTGGGCCTGCCCAAGAGGTTTGTATATAGTATAATTAAAAATATATATTTTGCATGAAGTACAGTCTAGTGAACAGAAGCATTCAATTTTTGTAATAAACACTAGCTTACATTACTTTTACACAAATAACAGTCTGTACTCAGATGAGCTCTTTAAAGGACAATGACCCCCTTGTGTTTTGGGTTACCTTTAAACCTGTTGATGAAGTATAATCTCATAATACATTTGCTGAAATACTTTTATACATATGCATATTACAGGCATTGGTAAGACAAAAGCATCCATTACAGGCCTTACAATCTAATAGTGCAAGGTGTGTGACTAAAAGGGATCCATTTCAAGAATCTGCCTTTGAAAGGCTGAAGAATGAAAAAGATGAAAGAAGGTCTAGATTTAGTAAAATTGGAGTAAACTTTGATGAGTGGCAGATTCCGAAGAAGCTTGGTTGTCTAGACCTTTATCTTGCAAAAGAAATTTGTGATGCATGTAAGCTAAAGAATAGTTGTTTATTGAATCGTTTAGTCCTCATTTTTGTTATGGTATTTTATGTTATTAAATATCATCTATCTTGTAAATATGTTGTATTTTTATAATACACATGTATTACGTATATCTCAGGGGAAATTAAAAATCTGAAGAAAGAGTATATGACCCGGGTCACGACAAAACCAACATAATGGGTTTGCGACCAGCATGGATCCAGACCAGCCTGCGCATCCGCGCAGTCTGATCAGGATCCATGCTGTTCGCTTACAAACCCTATAGCAAGTAGAGAAACTGATAGCGAACAGCATGGATCCTGATCAGACTGCGCACATGCACAGGCTGGTCTTGGTTCATTCTGTTCACAAACCCATTATGTTGGTTTTATTGTGACGGGGCTCATTATATTATTCATTCTTTCAGCAGTATTTTGTTTGATTGTTTGCATAATAACAATATGCATTGCCAATTTATTTTATCTATATAAAAAAGACTGGCGATCTTCAGATTTGTATTTATAATGATTTTCTATTTCAAATCGCTTATACATTTGTTTAATCCTACGATAATATTCTATTGTCTTATTATCAAATGTTTGCTGTCTTTAGATCATTAATTTCTTTAGTATAACCAGTGTTTCATGATTATATTTTTAAGCTGAAACAGAATTTAATATTGTTCAAGAGGATTGGTATAAAGCAACTGGAGCAGTAAATAAGATACTACTTATGCTGTTTGTGAAAATCCGAGATGAAGCTAGCAAATATGGTTTGATCATAGAGAAATATGTGAAACAAGGTATTTTGTCTTCTTTTAAAGGCACATTATATCTAAGAAATCAATGAAGAAAAATTAAAGTGTGTTTAATTATGTTTTAATAATGTATTTAGACCATGTTAGATGTATAATAGATTAAGATCGTGTTAGATTTATAACAACTAAAGAAAGTAGTGCTGAATATGCAGTTTTGTGTCGTAAAGGTAAAATAGGCAAACAAAGTAGTATTTTTACTTCCATACAAAATCCTAGTTCTCTATAGTTATACCATTTACCAACAAAGGGACAAAAAGATAGGTCATATATATGGCAAATGAGTATTTTCTGGAAACAGTTACAAGGTACCAACAATAAAATGCTTTTGAGAAATAGATTAAAGACAGCATTTCTGAGGAATAATGGGCCTTTAATTAAGTTGAACGGGCTATCCTACTCAGACCAGCTCTGACATAATACATGTACTTAGTTATGGTTTTGCTTCCAACTTACTTTATCATATGAGCCGCGTCACAACAAAACCAACATAGTGTGTTTGCGTGCAGTCTGATCCGGATCCATGCTGTTCGCTTACCAACTCTGTAACAAGTAGAGAAACTGATAGTGAACAGCATGGATCCTGATCAGACTGCGCAGATGTGCAGGCTGGTATGGATCCATGCTGGTCGAAAACACACTATCTTGGTTTTGTCTTGGCGCGGCTCATATGTATGATGCTGTGATTATCAGAATACATTTGAATGTTAGACCTTGCATTGTTTCACTATAATGCTTGAAAATTATTTGCTATTTCATTCTAATATGATAATAAAAAAGAGAGGTCATCAAAAGATATTGAACTACATTTAGCATAGTAGTAATTTTCCTGAAGTCATTTCGTTTATTGACGTCATATATGATGTCATATGACGTGCAAGAATTCGTTTTATATGCACATTGTGTAATTGTGTACTTGATTGCCCTATCTGTTTGATGGTATGGTGGCTGATTTCTATCATTTCGTGTCTTTGCCTCTAAAAAGTCGAAGGCCTAGACACAAAGACGTTATGATAGGCTTGGCCTTCGACTTTTGATGGCACCGATACATTTTATGTGAAATAACAATATTTTAATAGAAGAAGACACAAGATCTTCTGTAAATTACAGTGTTGGTGGGTAGAAATTTTAATATCAGCACGCTAAATTTGTTGTGTCTTCCTCGCGAAAGGCGAAGACAAGATAATTGCCAATTTATTGAGTCTTTGCCCCGAAAGTCGAAGACACGATAAATTAGCCAATTATCATGTCTTCGACTTTTGTCTGAAAAGACACAAGTACACAACAAATGTAGGGTGCCAATACAATAAATTTCTACTCGCTGACATGATAATTCTAAGACAGGAAAGGGTAGAAATCAGCCACAGTAGACAAGGGAATAGTGTGTAGTGTGTTTGAATTTACTAATAATGAAGCATTAACCCATTGCTTCATGAGCATTTTGTGAAAAATGGCTGTTTTCATTGAAAAGTCTCCCGTTACAAGTTCAAATTGCTATAATACTATAAAAAATGCTTCAACACTAATCAAACTTGGCACAAATGTTGACTGGACCATTGCCCTTGCAACAACATGCTCAGGCTTAAATTTTCTGTTACCATGGCAACGAGGGGACATCTCAAAATTGCAAAAAATCACTATTTTGCGTTGATTTTTTCCATCAAAATTGATTTCAAAGTGCTGCAACTTCTCAATGGATTGAGATAGAGTCAAATGCTTTTCAGCGTTGCTTACACGTTACCTTATGATCAATCTGGGGTCATTTACAGCCTCTCACAAGCCCAAAATTTTCTTGGCGATGAGGGGGACTCCGCCCCCCTTCAAACCCCCCAAACAGAAGGGGGCACATCCCCCTTCTGGCAACCCCCTGATGTATCTTTTGGTTGGGGGGCCGCGCCGAAAAAGAGGTCACTTTTTTTAACAACATTTCTCAAACAAAACCAAGTGTTTGGGGCCTAAATAAGGCATTTTTTCATCATTTGAGACAACAAAAAGGGGGGGGGGGGTGAAAAAGGCGTTAAAAGGCGTGTATATGAAGTAATGGGTTAACAGAAAATGATGAAAATACTTGAAATTACCCTAAATCGCGTTTTTTCATGTTTAAACATGGCCTGTCATATAAATTTGATGAAAAATTGTTGTTTTGTAGATTTTTTTATTTTTTTCATTAACCCATTGCTTCATGAGCATTTTGTGAAAAATGGCTGTTTTCATTGAAAAGTCTCCCGTTACAAGTTCAAATTGCTATAATACTATAAAAACTGCTTCAACACTAATCAAACTTGGCACAAATGTTGACTGGACCATTGCCCTTGCAACAACATGCTCAGGCTTAAATTTTCTGTTACCATGGCAACGAGGGGACATCTCAAAATTGCCAAAAATCACTATTTTGCGTTGATTTTTTCCATCAAAATTGATTTCAAAGTGCTGCAACTTCTCAATGGATTGAGATAGAGTCAAATGCTTTTCAGCGTTGCTTACACGTTACCTTATGATCAATCTGGGGTCATTTACAGCCTCTCACAAGCCCAAAATTTTCTTGGCGATGAGGGGGACTCCGCCCCCCTTCAAACCCCCCAAACAGAAGGGGGCACATCCCCCTTCTGGCAACCCCCTGATGTATCTTTTGGTTGGGGGGCCGCGCCGAAAAAGAGGTCACTTTTTTTAACAACATTTCTCAAACAAAACCAAGTGTTTGGGGCCTAAATAAGGCATTTTTTCATCATTTGAGACAACAAAAAGGGGGGGGGGGTGAAAAAGGCGTTAAAAGGCGTGTATATGAAGTAATGGGTTAAGAATAATTGAGGGTATACATGTACTGAGGTAATGCCGGAAAGTTGTCATGTGACCTTTACAATGTGGGTGTGACATAAAAACCCCAAACAAAACAAAAAAGATAGAAAGTAATAACAATCTAGCCTACTGTTCTCAGACAGCTCTTGTGCATTAATTGTGCAGCATGAGTATTATAGGAATTAGTTTGTATGTGAAACAAATCATTTACCTTTACATTTAAGTTATTTTATTCTGCAGACAATTAGTTTTCACATTGTTCTTTTGCATTTGCTTCAGTTAATGTTTTTTGTTTGTTATTTTGCAGGCAGTTCTCGTGAAGGTTTGAAAGTACATGCAGCTGACGAGTTTGATGTTCTCCTTCAGTACAGATTTAAAGACTTAAATGTTACGGTAAAGAATGAAAGTCATATAAGAGGCTTAAAAATTTAATGAATGACTTCCACTGTCAATTGAGTATTCGTGTTATTACATAAATGTTTAAGTAAATAAACATATCAATGAATCAAAAGTTAATTATATAAACTTGTAATACTGCTGGTTTGTAATTCCAATCTGTCATAAGACAATCACAAGATTACTGTTTTTAGCTCAATTATATGAAGTATATGGAGAGCTGTCCTACTCACTGAGGCATCCTCGTTCTGAGTTCTGATATAAGTTTTGGTGCAGTAAACCTTTTTTAACTGTAATTTTTTTATTTCTATGGGACTTCAAATATATGTTCCTTATCATCAACTTGACGGGGCGTCCGTGGCCGAGTGGTTAAGGTCGTTGACTTCAAACCACTTGCCCCTCACCGCTGTGGGTTGCAATCCCGACAGGGACTTTGGATTCTTTAATGTGAGGAAGCTATCAAGCTAGCTTCTGGAAAGTCGGTGGTTCTACTCAGGTGCCCGTTTGTGTCTGAAAATAATGCACGGTGGGGCACCTGAGGTCTTCCTCAACCAGTAAAGTTGGGACGTCGCCAAATGACCTGTGTCGGTGTGACTTAAAACCCAAATGAAACAAAAACAATCAACTTCATCTTATTTAACAAGGGACATAACTCTAGAAGCAACATTTTCAGAATTATCTCCCCTGGAACTTAGAATTTTACTTAAAATATTATTATGACTGGTGGAGTAAGACCTCAAGTGGCTATCCATACATAATTTCAGGCACAAATGGACACCCAGGTAGAACCATTAACATTTCTTATGCTAGCTGGATAGCTTCCACACATGCACGAATCAAAAAGTCCAATGCGAAGTTCGAAACCCGCAACAGTAAGGCACAAGTGGTTTGAAGTCAATGACCTTTACCACTCGGCAACGGATGCCCCTTACTCAAATCAAAGAAAGCAACTATGTACTATGAAATTATTTTTAAGATTTTTGTCTCGTTATATTGTATTATTAACGGTGGTTCTCGGTATAATAGCAAGAATTATAGTTCTTACTTGTAAATTTCCATTTACAAATGTACTTATAATCAGAGAATTTTCATTACTTGATTTGACCGATAGTATTCACTTTTTGAAATATATTGATTCCCTCTTTCAATAATATTAAGATAACCAATATTTCTGCGTGTTATTCTAATGTGTTACTCTGTTTACTGGAAAAAGACGCAATTGAAAAATAAATCATAATCAGTAATCAAATGAGCCGCGTCATGACAAAACCAACATAATGGGTTTGCGACCAGCATTGATCCAGACCAGCCTGTGCATCCACGCAGTCTGATCAGGATCCATGCTGCTCCCTTACAAACCCTATTACAAGTAGAGAAACTGATAGGGAACAGCATGGATCCTGATCACACTGCGCGAATGCGCAGGCTGGTCTGGGTCAAAGCTGGTCGCAAACCCATTATGTTGGTTTTATCATGGCGTGGCTCAAATTATGTTTCATGTAAGCAATTAATGTATGAATTTTAAATCAATTATATAAATGTGATTTGTTACATATAAGTCATGATTCACACCAAATTTAAGAAAACTTGCAGGAGTAATTTATTTTGCACGGGTTTAATATAATTTTCTTTTTGTAACAGCTTAGTAGTAGATCATTGGAAGCCTTCAACAATCCTACACGGAACTTCTTTGATTAATTTTTGAAACTAACTTGAATTACTAGACAAAAACATAAACAATCTTGACAATTAACTTATCAAATCGGCCTTCCGCCTTGTGTCAGGAATGCCTTACATTTGTTTTCCCGTACACCACAATTTTGATGTGGTGTGAAAGTTTGTCAGGCATCTGATTGAGAATAAAGTAAATGTTTAAATGGACACACTCTTGATCTTAATAATCCTAAAAGTCATATCTCCTTAAAATTGTATATAGAAATGAAGGGAATTCATAATACTGTTAACTTTTTAAAAATCTTATTAATTAATAATAAATTGATTAACTGTTATCATTATCTTATCTTTTTTTTAAGGTTGAGAACAAATCTTTGGATGACTGTATTTTACCAGAACTTGCAAATCTCCGTGTAAATGCATATAATCAGACTTGGCTCACTCATCCAAAACTTCACGATAAGGGTGTATTTAAAGAAATAGGTGGAAGGGTTTACTTGAACGCAAGACAACTCCATGAAAAAGTCTTCAAGTCCATAATAGCCACGTCATCTTCAGTTGTTGAAAGAAATGTGAACAGCGGTGAACATCGAGAAAAAGTTTGATTTTAAGATAAATCTCAGCACAAATCCGCCTTCAGAAAATATCAGATTAAAGTTGACTGAGAAAGATGATGAATTTTCAATATTTCATCATATCAATGTTATAAAAGTGCAGAGCTCTCATGGGCAAGTTTGTGGTTTGACAAAACGAGAGACAATCATTGATGTTGACATAGTTCCAGGTAGTCAAATTTCATTCTTACATACTGTTTTCTTTAAGGTTCTCTCTAATTAATCTAGCCTAATAAAAGGTCTGTCATCTGAAAATTCATGTAATATTAATACATTGTATTGTATTGAAGCCTTGTACCAGTAAAGTCTTAAAATTACATTATTTTTTAATCTTGCAAAGCTTTTTACTTTTTAATGATACCCCCCTTACCAGAAAAAAATTGGGAGGCAGATGGTTTTTGTAGTGTCCATCTGTCTGTACTTCCTTCCATGTGGTCCATAGCACATTGGTGCAATGAGTCACAATCGGGCAATGTGTCATGCGCAAGATTTAAGGTCTAAAGTTGTCAAGGCAAGGCACTGACTGAAAAGATTTTTTTTCAATAGAAGTACATTTTGTACTCTGATGTTCATGTTCGGTCAACAATCCTGTCATTCCTGTATGGATTTTAAAGTTGTTACTTAGAATGTGTTGGACATAATGATTATGCCTCACACACAAGAATCAGTTCCCTAGCTCAAAGGTCATGGTCAAACTTGTAATTCAAATTTTAAGTCATGATATGAATTTATGTAAGTATACCGATGTTCGTGTCTGGTTTACAATAATGTCATTAATGGTTAAATTTGAAAATTTAATGTATAAATGTGTTGGATATAATACTGATGTGCCCTGTGCATGAACCAATGTCATCCTTTAAGTGTGCGAAAACTTTTGTTTGAAATAGAAGAACATTCTGAACTCAAGTATACATGTACTATTCTCTTTAAGAAGTACAATATTTCATAAAATCTAGCAAGAGATTTAATTCAGTAAAATCAAAGAATTTTGCTGCTGAAACACTACTTAAAGATTAAACAGGGCTTTGTGCGGTGTATATCATTGTTTTGAACTTTTTATGCTCCCAAAGGGACTTTAAGGGAGGCATATTAAAACCGCACGGTTTGTCCATCTGTCTGTCCTTCCTTCGTGTCCAGACTGTAACAACTTGGCATAAATGTCTACCACATCAAAACAATGTGTCGCATCCTAGAATCACGTCCCTTCCTCATAGGTCAAGGTCACACTAACATTTTGAAGTTTCCCTGTATCACAATAAGAGTTTATAGCTACATACATTTGTGTATGGACTGTAATTTTGTCATGCATTGAAGGATTTTAGAATAACTTGGCATAAATGTCTACCACATCAAGACGATGTGTCATAGTTAAGGCTCATGTCCATCTGTCTGTCCCATTACACAGTAGTCATGTCCAGATTGTAACTTTCTCCTGCATTGAGGGATTTTGAAATAACTACGCACAAATGTCCATCGCATGAAATGTTGTGTCGCGTCCAAGAACCACATCCCTTTTCAAAGGACAAGATCACACTTATACTCTGAAGGTTCACGCTATCACAATTAGGGATTATTGGTACACACATTTGTGTCTGGACAATTAATTTGTCATGTGTCGAAGAATTTTAAAATAACTTTGCACAAATGTCTACCACATCAAGATGACGTGTTGTGTGTAAGGCGCATGTTTGAACCTCCAAGGTCAAGGTCACACTAATAATTTGAAGGTACTTATGCTCATAAGAAGATTTTGAAGGTACACATTTGTTTCCAAACTGTAACATTGTCTGTCATGCATTGAAGGATTTTAAAATAAATTGGCATAAATGTAAATTTATTATTAATTCATTATTTTATTTTATTTCTTATTATTTTGATTTCCTCAAAATTTATTATTTAGAACACTAAATTCAAAAGCCATAAATAGCTTAATATTGAACACTATTTATTTACTTAAAAATTAATAAGTACTTAATACATTTAAATAACTTAATTTATTCTTTCTTATTATCAATACTTATATATGTATGTCTATCTTTATCTATATTTGATTTGATGTATTTCTGTTGACACATACACAGGAGTTATTTTATTCTATCTATTAATAAATTTATTGTCTTATGTGCAGATCTAGCACTGATCAAGATTTTGCGCTGAAATTCCAGATCCATATCTCAATCTTTCAAGGTTTTATCAGAATTGCCTCCCTTGAACTTACTTGAAAAAAATGTTGTTTTTGAATAACTTCTTTATTTCTTAACGTATCTTCTTCAAACTTCATATATATGTTTCTTATAATCACTCAAATCATTTGTGAGAAGGTTCAATACTCTTTTAGCAAGGCTATTTCCAGAATTATGTCCCCCTTGAACTTAGATTTGTTTCGAGAAATTGGTATATTTTACTCCAACTTCTTCATAACTTATAGGATTTACTTCAAACTGCCACATCATAATAATGTGACAAGGTTTATAAATCTAGCATCCATATTTCCAGAATTATCTCATCCTTAAACTTTTAATTTTTTTTATTCATTCTTATAACATTCTTTAACTTCAAATTCAAAATAAACATTCATTATGAACAGCTTCATTAATAATTGTTCTTTGTTACACTCACATCATGTATGACATCTTGGATCTTTGTTTCAAGAATTATCTCCTCTTTAAGAATTTTGCTTTTAAAAATATTATATTTTGGTAACAGGGATGTTTAAAAATTAACTTTAGAGTGTACTCCAGTCTGCCTGTTCATAAAAACTATTTCCTGTGATCACTTTGAAAGAACTTCTCCAACAAATTTTCTTAAAATTGAAACATTAGTGATTGGTCAATGGCCCTTCAGAATGTTGCTGGGGTTTTGTACCGGTAGGGGACTTATGGATTGCTTGCAATACTATGATAATTGCTTGTTTTTCCTTACTGTATGTCACAGTGATCGTTTTAATATTTTCATGTCTTTTTAGGTATTCTGATTTGTGAAGAAGTTGTTCCGGATCCTGTGAATAAAGGGAATACTATGATGTGTCCTACCTATGCAGTATTGAAATGGAAAACTGATAATGACCGATCGGCGGCTCTCTACGGGAATGATCCTCAATTACTGTGGCGGATTTGCAGTTCTGGTTTCGAAAAACATGTAATTGATATAGCACAAGGAAAGACTGAGCAACAACATATACTTACAGCACTTCGAGTTATGAAGCTGTACTTCCGTAATGGTAAGGAGAAGGCAAAGTCAAGACACGAAACACCTGAGCAAGTTTTCACGGTGTTACGATCGTACTATCTCAAACATATTGCATTTTACTGCATACTCTTTCTTACAGTGCTCAATCATGTGCAGCTCAAGGATTTGGAAACGGCCTTGTCCTATATGTTAGAGTTTCTTTCTGTCTGTTTAGAAGAAAGAAAACTACCGCATTTCTTTCAGGCCAATGAGCACATACATGAGCTGTTTCCGGATGTTGAAGCTCAAGAGAACGCTTTGAGATACAACTTGTTTAAAGAGAAGCGAGGAGATGCCCTTAACCAGGCTACGCTATCCTTTCGAAGTATGAAACGTAAAATATGTAGCATCATAGGGAGCGTGGAAATCGCAGCCTATGTTGTTAGGGAATTTAGAGAATATATATTGGAAGGAAATTATTATTGAGAGATATAAATAGTGGATATGTGTGTATGATAGAAAGTATCTTACATTGTATCCTTTTGTTAAGTCATATTTTAGCTTTTACTACATCCGGGTCTTGGCATTTACTTAGAGCTTGATTCTGTTAAATTTAGATTAAGATTAATACTGTAATAGTTGAACTTTAGAGTAATGTCCATTTCGTTTCAATACAATATCTACTAGTATACTGAAAAAAGTTTTGCTTTATTTATTCTCTGCTGATTTACAGTGAAAGAAGACCCCTGCTTATTTTTTATACATGACTAGAATAAGCGTTATTTAATAAAATTATACAGTATATTATTAACTTTCAGTAACAGTTTTTTATCTTTGAATACCTGAATAATTAACTAATTCTACAAAAGTGTTTAGTAAATACATGTATACCAAATTTATAATTCCCTGCTGAAAGTCAGTCCTATGTCCTGAGCATAAAACTGTAACTACATTGTATTTCAGTTAGAATTCTGAAACTTCAAATATGATTGGTTTCAAATCATTGAGAAAAAGTGCAATGTGTAAGAATCATATAATGTGTGTGGATGGGAAGGGGGTTGTTTAAAGCTTCTGCCCGTACACACTGTTCATACTTACTTATAGTTTGGTCTGGAGCGTTACTATAAAAGAACTTAAGTAGAAACGAGAGATATGATTATAGAGAATTGGGATTTCTAAGAACTATAACCCTTAATAACCCTTAAAAGTATCATTCTGGAGTTATTGCCCTTTGCAACTTTTTCCTAATTTATGTACAGAACATTATACATGTACTACGCATTTGCTTGAAAATTTAAAGCTTTATTGATCAAATGTAGACAAAGTGCAGTGTCCTATAACCATAAATTATTAGTTGTTTGTTATCCTATATATTTTTACTTTTTGTTTTTAACCCAGAGCACATGACATAAATTAGTTGAGGTAACAACTTGAAGTGTTAGATTTAAAGACATGCAATATTTAAGAACTGTTACTCTCTATTATATAACTTTGAAGTTGAAATTGGAACTTTATAACTTGATAGATTTCATGAATAATCCTTAGTTTTCTAAGAATGGTAGTTATACCCCTGAAAAACAAAGTTGGGGTATACTGGAATCAGCTTGTCCGTCCGGCCGTCTCCTCGTCCGGCCGTCCGTCGGTTTTTCCTTGTCTGCCCAATAACTTAAGATTCCTTTGACCAACAGTCTTGATATTTGGTATTTAGATTGGTCATGATTAGTAGATGATCCTTATTATTTTTAGGTCACAGGGTCATAGGTCAAGGTTATAGGGGCCTTCACTTCAAAAAACTTGTCCGCCCAATAACTTAAGATTCCTTTGACCCACAGTCTTGATATTTGATATTTAGATTAGTCATGATAAGTAAATGATCCAAATCAATTTTGATGTCACCTGGGCAAAGGTCAAGGTCACAGGGGCCTTGACTTCAAAAAACTTGTCCGCCCAATAACTTAAGATTCCTTTGACCCACAGTCTTCATATCTGGCATGGAGGTTAG